CAAAATCTCCTTTAGATTTCAATCTGATTTCTGCTTGGAAACAGAGGAAATGTAGGTCTGATTGCTGAAGGAGCTGTGTAACTAGGGTTTTAGTTTGAGCGGGTTTTACCCGTTGATCAAAATCCCAATACGCGCCGTTTCGGTCGTTGGTCCTTTACAATTTTATTTTTTCCCAAGGTTGGTCCTTTACAATTCGGTAACACTCACTTTTGTTTTCTTTTTATTCTGTATTTTGGTAAATTTAAACATTTTTTTCACACTTTTTTAATTTTGTTTTGCAGAAAATGAGACAGGAATTTCGCTCGAGTACACAAAATCAGTATGAAAGTATTATTAATTGCTGCTGTTTTTCTACAATAAAATTGTTTCTTTTCTCTATCATATAACATCTGAAATTCGGACATCATCTTTGAGCCAAATAATTACAAGCACAAGATTAGAACCAGTATTGAAAATCAAAAATGGTGAAGATACAAATAAAAAATGATGACCTACAGAATCAAAACATGGGGGCTACAAAGATTTCTATTTCCTTATAAAGATGCTTCAAACATTACTGCGCCTTTCCTCTGTTTGCAAAGTGGGGCTTTTCTGTTCTCTTTCATCAGCATTGGTATTTTCAGTTTTTTCTCTTTCATCAGCAATGGTATTATCAGTTTTTTCGACAACAGGTGTGACACCATTTTCCACCACAGGCAGGTCGCCATTCTCAGTTACACTCTTTTCATTTCCATCTCCATCTGCATCTCCATCACCATCACCATCACCAACAGGTTTCGAGGGTCCTCTTGATGGAGTGACTGTCAATAGGCGGCCGATCCCGTCATACAAATTCTTTGCATCCATGATTAAAGCAGCCCCGCCAGGATAACAGCGACCAAAGCATGTTGCACAATGTGGGTAAGTAACCTATGAATGTGTTCATAAGATACAAAGTCCGTCAATGTCTATAGACACAAATGTCAGACAAGAAGCAGCCCAAGTTAGTAAACATTATACCTCAATAAATGCCCGACAAAGTGAGAGGAAAAGTCCAGTCTCATTTTCTCTCAGCATCCGAGTTGTATTGTACCTCAGTAAAGAGTCAGAAACAGTCTGCAATCCCTTGATTAACTCTTGAGCAAGGACATGCTTCAAACTTATTGGAGCACAGGGCCGGAGGTCATTCATCGCTGCAGACACACCTACAGCCACAAGAAAGAAATATATGCATAAATGCCGGAAAAAGAAGCAGCAATCAGCCATTCCTCGGGACTATTATGCTTTAGATGAACGTATTAAGACTTTATTTTTAAAATAAACCATGAGATATACGTCCCACATCACATCTTCCAAGAAATTAGCCGAGAAGCTTATATAGGATTTACCATTCACAAAAACAGCAAGAGGTGGATGTTCCATAAGAGAAGATGGTGGAGTTACATCATCCTGACTTTCATCACCAACACTATTTGATGAAAAGCCAACGGATGGTAGTGGGACCCAACGATGTGAATCCAAGACCACCTGGATTTAAGAACAATATCAAATTAAAACTCACTACCACAAAATTAAGAAAAAGAGCAAAAGGTTGCTTGCTACAAAGTGAAACTCCCAACCTATTGCAACCATTTGTATTTCTAATTCTAGAAACACTGAATTTAAACTCATTCACTGTCCATTTACCTGAAAATTCTCTACTGCTGTACTCATATTTTTTGAGAACAAGTTGAGAACTGCCCTGAAAAGCAAACAAGGTCAACATTTATAATGAGAAAAATAATTTAAGGTAGTAGTCAAGAAAAAAGAGGGAAGAAGATATTTACTCTTCAAAAAGTGATGGTAGCAAGCCCCGGAAATCTAGCCCAACCCAACCAAGCCCCATAGCACAATACTGTCAACAAAATAAGGTAACAAGGTCAAATAAACAAACACAGCTTCTATTACTCTTGATTTTCAAAAGTATTTGAAGGACTAGCATCACCAAATTACAAGCAACTTATTTCCTGGGTGTAAAACGGAAAAAGAAAGTATATGCCAAACGGTTATGTCATTTATATTGCAGACTGCTCTGCGGCATAAACATATTTATTCATGCAATTCCCATATCTCCTATAGTCCTAATGGTACACACTAAAGCAGTAAAAATCTGAAATGAAGGCTTTGGATCAGTTTATCATATGTAAAAAAGGTGGCGAATGTTATTTTAAAGGGAGAGTTAACTGAATAGTGATATATCTTGCAGATCAAGGGCCATTACAGAAACAACTATATTCAAGCATGTACGTATTTCCTTTTATAGCTGGATGTGAGCAAATAAAAAATAATAATAACAAATTTAACAGAAGATGCTCACCATGCATTGATCCAAAATATTTGATAGAGATCCGCCTTCAGTTATCTTAGGAAGCAGAATTTTAAGAGTCTTAAGGTGTGATGTAATTATATGCATAGCCCAACTAAAAAGAAGACCACCATCATAATTTTCTTCACTGCCTGATGTATCATCAGCAAATATTGCTCTATATTGATTAACAACATCAAAAAGATGCATTCTATGACAATTTATCATCCCCTTCAGATACTCGTAAGCATTTCTCTGGTCCAAATCCTCCAGAATTCCAGTAAGCCATGCCTCCCGACATCTCAAAAACTAAAAAACGGAAAATTAAGGTCAGATACAGTCAACCTCAATGTCTACAGGAATGAAAGATGTTCATTTCAAGTGTTTCACATCAAATGAAACCTAAATGCAAACAATGCAAGTTGCAACTAAACCCTTACCTGCAAACGCATTTCATACTCGCTAAAGACTCCTATTCTACGTAGGTATCCAATGATGCGGAGACATTCAGGTAACTGCAATACACAAAGATACAACCACAAAAACAATATATTAAATTCTACAATCAGGGTAGTTGAAAAATCAAGTTGGGCTGGTTGATACATATGTACAAGTCATTACACAATACCTGAATATTTGAACGAAGTTTCTGAAGAAGCTGAGAAAGTAGAGATTGAGTGGTCTGCCTGACTTCTGCAGCCAGAGCTTGAATAACAGGTAATCTTATAGGAGGGAGAAAAGAAGGCAAAAGAACAAAAAGAGCCTCAGTGCATTGCCTTTCACAAGTTAAAATCACTATTGGTTGACAAGGAGAATACGGGGACGAGACTCACTTGGGATGCACGGTTGAAAGCTTGCAAACAAATGCTTCTAAGTCTAGAGCTTCATCATAATTTCCATTCCTCACACACCTGCATAATAATGGGAATGAATGAGAAAAGAACAACCAATTCACTAGACTCAGAAAAGAAAGACATTTTCAGTCAGAATAAAAAGGTTCATCCCAGTTCACTTGTGCTAATTTAAGAATGCATTGTTTGTGTTTTTTGGTTTTGGAAAAGTAAATCCCAATCAGACACACGGGTAATGCCATAGGCTCAAAACAAGGATTTTTACTATGTACAGTAGTGATACAATTGAAAGAAACGATTTTTTACAGTAATTTAAAACACATACGTATCCATAAGCTGAGGAATTTCAAGTAAGTCGAGCAAAGTACTGTGATTGGCTAGCAACGTTTGGTTCAACTTCCTTTTTTCCAAAATCTGTTCTGCGGATTCAACAAACTCAGTGCACCCACTTGTCAACTTTGGGATCTCCCCTATCTACCAAACCCAAAATCACAAGTTAGCATTGCCAAAACGTATCATAAAATTCAATAAACAAACCAATAAAATCAGTAAGTAAGAAGAGTCAAGAATTAATAATTACCAGAGACTCAAGATGGTTGTCAATGGAAGACACTTCGTCTCGAATTGCAAGCAATGCATCCGCAGCGGCAATGAACGCTCTGTAATTACCCACCGCCACCTCCTGCATTTGCCTCTGTATTCGCTCCGCATCGACCCGAAGAAGCTCCGGTTCCTAAAAACCCGAACCGAAATAAAATCAATCGAAGTTTAATTATCAACGAAATGAACAATGAAAGAGGAAGTGGGAGAGAGAGGGAGGACCTTGTGGAGGCGATCGAGGGTGAAGGAGAGGAGCTCGGAGACGTAGGGTTGCTGGGAGACGGAGGCCAGAGGGAGGAGGCTGGCCACCGCCGACGAGTCCTCTGCGGCATTTTCGGACTCCATCGTGTGGTGGAGCTCCGAATTGATTGGAATTTTCGGATCGGACCCTCCGGTTAGGGATTTGGATGTTCGGAGGGAAATGCAGATTTGCAGATCTGCTGCTGCTGCTATACAGTGCAAGTCACCCGGGTTCGTTGTTCAGTTTGATGGAGTAGTTGTCTTGTCGTTGATTTGCCGCGATTCGGATCTGGATAAACTCCAAGGTAGTTTGTTGGGTTTATTGGGCCGGGCCTTTCCATGTCGGCTGGGCCCACTTTGTAACGGGCCCCACACTACTTGTGACAAGGGCCACCCAAGCATTCTCTCTCCACAACCCAACTTCCATTTTAAATTTCCAGTTTTGTCCCTACATTGGAAAACAAAAAAAAACTTTTTTTTTCCTGGTGAATAGATACATAGTAATAGTATGACTGAGTTCCCTTTCATTTTTTTATTAAATTTGTGGTTACCTTTTTACTTATGATCTTAATGCTTTGGATTTTTTATTTAATTTTATGGCAACCTCAATTTTCACCCAAATGGGAGGTAATTATGTTCATGATCAGACATTGGACTTGTTATTCTATTTCTTAATTGTTTCTGCGATGTGTTTTGTTATTTTCTTTGCTAACATATGAGAGAGAGAGAGAGAGAGAGAGAGCCCAGTGGTTATAGAACATAATAAATTTCCTTCAAAGTATACATATAAAAAATACCCAAAAATCAAATAAAAGGAAGAGTCTCTAAACATCACCAGGATTTGGTCTTTGATATACAAGAAATTTATGAACAGAGTGAATGAACAAGTAAGTAGAAAGCCTTTCTCAATCCAATCCAGCCACCTTTACAATGCAACCACATATTTTATCATAGACCAAAAAAAATTATAACTAAGCTAGCTACTCTCACCAAAAAGAAAACACAAGCTGAACTAAGAAGACAAATAAAAAGAAGGCATGAGCAGAGAGAGAAGAAGCCTCTGAGGCGTAAAAGTAGTAGTAGGGATAGGAATTGTTATGCAGCACTCCTGTTGTTGTTGTTGTTGTTGGCACTGGACCTGAGGGAGGCATGTTGAAGAAGTACACAAAAGAAGGCGGGGGAGGAGCGCCTTTCGAATATGATGAAGGTGATGGTGATTGTTTTGGTGGTGAGGGAGGAGGCGGCGGCGGTGAGGGCGGAGGAGAGCTGTAGTCAAATTGCAGTGGCGAGGGCGGAGGAGAGGTGTAGTAAGTTTGAGAAGGCGAGCGGTGCACTGGTGGCGGTGATGGTGGTGGTGAAGAAGACTCAAGTTGAGGAGGAGGAGGAGATGAACATATGACTGGACATGTTGTGCACTCACTGATACATAGTAAACCAGTCTCAGCCTCTCCCACTTGATCCTCATATGTCAACCCAGCAAACATGACCAAACCAATGAGCCCTGCCTTCAAGAACCAAGGAAACCATTTTCCTTCCATGAATGCCAACGCTTTGAAACTACCCATCTGAGAGAGGCTTAACCTTGAAAAATGAAATCCAAGTTATGGTGTGGCCTAGAGAAAACTTGTCATACTTATTGCCCTGTAATTGCATAAGGTAGTGAGGCCTTGATGGGTCCCTTTATACAAACGTGTGTATGGCTCCTTAAAAAGTTTAATTCAGATGCTTCTCTTATGATGGTAGAGTTAGTGCATTGCTGTAAAGGTGCACACTTTACTTCCACCTTTTTGTTTTTGAACTCACGAGGGTTAAATTATTTTATACCAATTGCTCTGCTTTGTTTGAGCAAAGACGTGCAACGAGTTTCCTCTTTGGGTGACGATTGACAAATCACAGATGTAGATGGAGATCTCACACAATTTGGATAAGCAGGAACCAAACAAACAGAAGGGATTAAACGCGTTAACGACACGTTAACTGCAAAGTAATAGTTAATTACTTTCAACATCTTTGGAGTATGGAGTTTGGAGAATGTATTTTGTTATTCTTTCAATTCTTTGCTTTCTAATCCTCTAGAGACCTCTAGAGATCTCTTTTTATTATGCCTTTCTGCAAACATAATCAACCTTTGTGTGGATCAATTCCCACCTTACAGTGTTGCACTTTATGCTGCTTCTTTAGTTATACTTTTCTTGGCAAGGTGGGCTTCTTATTTGATTACTATGACCGTTTTACTAACTACTCCCTCTTCGGATCTTTTAGGCCTACAGTGTTCGGCTACGCATAAATTCTTGCAAGTTCCTTTTGTGTCATCACCCAATCTTCTCACCCTTCAACTGCAGAGGGGAGGGTCATGTTATAATCAGGAAAGGAAAATTTGTGAACAGGCACAACATGAACAAAGCACACAGAGGCAACGGCTTTTTCTAAAACAACCACCAGAGAGTAACTTAAACCCATCAGTGGAAGAAGCCTAAGAATATAAATTTTTTTTTCTTACATCAATGTCCTATTATCTACAAACAGTTCTTCAGTTTCTTCACTTGAAAGTAACTTTGCGGATTTCTTCCATGTGAACTTCATGTGTCTCCATCTTCTTTGTATGTCAAGTCTACGCTTCAACTCTGTCCTCGGCAGTACTCTTATTCATTGATTCCTAGTTATTCAACAATGGAGGAGAAGATCAGATTAATTACATGACCACATGCAAATAGATAAAATGTTAAAATTAGTAAATTCAGTGATTGGCATGACTATGTCAAAAACCTGACTACTTGTAGTTGATGATCTTAATGTGGAAGGGCGTAACCCAGAGCTATGACTATGAGCAGTGGTGAAATGTCCAGGATGAGATCCTTCACCATGCCTTCCAAAGTCTCTTAATCGGTTAAGCTCGGGCACTACAACTGTGCCAAGATCCGGCCTGTCCTTCTTTCTTAGCTCTGCGCATTGTAATGCCAACTTAGCAAATGCTAGAGCCAGTTCGATAGGCCAGTCTGGCACCGCGGGATCAAGCATCTCAGAAAAGGTTCCTTTCTCAATGGACCTCCTGACATGGTGAGAAAGTCCCATGGCTGGCTTGGCTGTGATGATTTGGAGTAGCACTATGCCCAACGAGTATATATCCGACTTTGTTGTTAGCATGCCTGATTGTTGATACTCGGGATCTATGTAACAAAATGTCCCTGCAGCTGCAGTCATGTGATATTGTGTCACTTCATCAGCCAAAGATGGAGGAACTAAGCGCGCCAGCCCGACATCACTGATTTTGCTCACATAGTTACGGTCTATGAGGATGTTGGCTGGCTTAAGGTCCCGGTGGACAAGGGGCTCTGGCTTTGCTTGGTGAAGGAATAGAAGGGTTGTTGAAATCTCAGCAGCTATTTTGAATCTCCTCCTCCATGAAATTGGAGGGGTGTTGCCTCTTCTAAACAACAGGTCCTCCAAGCTTCCGTTGTCCATGTATTCGTATACTAGGCATCCAAATTCAGGGCACGCACCAAGCAAGAGGACCATGTTAGGATATCTAATGCAGCTCAGGACCTCAACCTGCATGTGAACACAAAATAAGTTCAGACTAAATGGAAAGCAATATGACATTGAACAAATATTTGGGCCAATAATTTGGCAAGCAGTGCATATCTGTACTTGTTTATGTAATATAAACTCAGGAAGTTGTATAACATCATACCTCCTGTTGGAACTGCTTCCTCCCTTGAGCAGCATCAGGTCTTAACACCTTAATCGCAACCGGTGTGTGGTCGAGTTTACCTTTGTACACAGGTCCATATCCACCTTCACCAATTTTGTTTGATGCTGAGAACTCTTGAGTGGCTTGTTCAATCTCTTCTATGGTGTACTTTCTATATCGGACATCATTATGCGCCAAAGCATTCAATGCCCGGTTCTTCTCTTGTGTCTCTTTCTTCGCCTTCATCTCTGCCTGTCTTCTTCTCTGAGCTTCCATCTCAGCCACCCTCTGTGATGCCTCAGCTGCTTCAATGGCAGCTTTGCACTTTGCCTTTTCCATCTCTGCAATGGCAAGAGCTGCCTCTTCAGCATGCCTGGCTTCCTCGAATTTACGAGCCTCCTCCTGCTTCCACTGACTAAGCTCTTTAGCCTGGATTTCAAAGAGTCAGCTTTAGTACCCTCTTGATCATACTCCAAGAACCATGTTGATTCAGTAGACAGCAGAAACAAAGGTGTCACTGAAAATTTCATGGCATAAACATTACCTTATTTTTTGCTGAGATTGCTTCTTTGCAGGCAGAGCTGTACATGTCCATGGTTTGTTTTAATTCCAGCTTCAATCTTTTCATTTCGGCTTCAATATCCCGCTGCAACGATTGAGAGCAGATGACAATCAGATCATTCTTTTATATGCAAAACCATCAACTTTTCTTACTGAGTAGCATGCATTATACTTGTATACACAACTTACTGCAGATTGTCTGGATGACTCCTTGGGAGAACATGATGCACTGGAGAAATCTAACCCTTGGCTTATGATGTCCACTGATCCAAATGAATTAAACATCCCTGGAAATTCATTCTCATCCGCATTCGAATTCCGGCTGCTAAGCGAACACCTTGACGAACCATGATTAGGAATGTCAATGTCCATTGAGAGATTGACTGGAGCACTCCTCGTCCTCTCTCGGGCCACAGGAATTTTCTCTGATCCTCCTGCACTGTTCCATCCTCCCCTTACTGCAGGCTGTCCTCTGCTTCTACCAAGCAACATCATACAAAGCACAAAGAGTTATGTGTGTTTCTAATTAAAATTGAACTTAATATATACAAGACAAATAAACAGCTCTATTAATTTTTTGTACCTAGCTCCATTGTCTGCTTCAGTTTGTTCTGTTGGAATACAAGGTGGAAGTCCCTGTGGGGATGGTTGTTTTGGTGGAGTAGCAGTATTGACCACCGGCCTCTTAGCAGTTCGCCCGACGACCATCTTCCCTTTCGAAATTACATATACAGAGCAAAACTCTGGTGCAAGCTTTACTAAGCTGGTGGGCACATCATACCCAATTTTGAACTTTCTATGAGAAACACAGCATCACAATGTAGCTCATTACTTCATGATCATTAGATAGATACATATATTTGATTAAGAGAGAACGAGAGAGAGAATGGGAAATTAAACCTTGTAAGAGCATTCCTTGTTGATGCACCAACTACAACATTATTGATGTAGTGATTGTTGATGTACTCCAAAAGTGCTTTAGCAACATCATGATCATCAAGGATAACCTCTTTCACTTGGGCCTAAAAATTAAAATCAAAATCAAAATCAAATGTGGTGTCACTTTATCTTTATTATGTGAGACTACATCTCTAATGAAAATGACGGACGGATGAATCCGCGTACCTCTTTACGTGCGCAGTATGCACGGTAAGGAACGAAAACATGATGTCCATCATGATTGCCCGATTCACCATCACTCTCTGCATATAACTCCAAAAAGAAACAGAGAAATCACGTTGACAAAGGCCAACAATATTCCAAAAATTAAAGATTGAGAAACAGAGGGTAAGGTACCTACGATGTGGATGATGGTTTTTGTGCCTAACGTGGATGAGGATGATATATGGGTTGGCATTGTTAGCTACAAGATGATCAATAGCAAATCGGACGGCATGGTTGCTGTTCTTGTTGTCCTTGTCAACAGCCACCGCCGTGGCATTGATTGGCGGAACGGTGTCGTCAGAGTTTAAATGGGAGGCCATTTGCGTTACACACCTAGCGCAGCACTAGTACTTCCACTGCCGCTGCAAATGGCACCGCCTCCGACGACCAACCCGCCACTAGAGCGAAGCTTGAAACACAAGAAAGGAGAGAGAAAAAGAGGAAAGAAAGCCTCAGGGCAATTAGCTGAGGATCCTTTCTGTTGCTTTGGCGGTGGAACTGGAACGCCAGCTAAACATAGAAAACGGACATAACTAACTAACTCTTATTGTGTTGACTCTCCTCCGTTGGCTTGATTTAGGCAATTTGACCTGGCCATGACCAAATCAAAGAAAACAACTATTTGGCTGACAGGTATTCAGTACTAATAATAATACTAAACACACCAACTTATTATATAAATTTTAAAAAAATTGATCCAAAATGAAAAACAAATAAAGGTGCAATGCAACTCTTTTTGGTGCGAATTGAATTTGCCGCTACCAGCGATCATGGCCCATGGTGGCCCAAATACCAAACAAGACAAAACGACGTCGGCTCGAACCGGTGCGGTCGAAATCCGCAAACCCTTTCTTCCCCAATTACTGAACCAACCGGAAATCAGATCACAATCGATTTCCCAATTCCCAGTGGGGCTCAGTTCTCTGGAAACGCCGTGGTGCGTGAGCAATGTCGTCGATATACGTATTAGAGCCACCAACGAAGGGCAAGGTGGTGCTGCAAACAACCCATGGGCCGCTCGACGTGGAGCTCTGGCCCAAAGAGGCCCCAAAGGCCGTCAGGAACTTCATTCAGCTCTGCCTTGAAGGCTACTACGACAACACCATATTCCACCGCATTATCAAAGGCTTTCTTGTTCAGGGCGGCGACCCCACCGGCACAGGCACAGGTAATCGCAGAAAATGTTGAGAATTTCGGTTGTTGAATATGTATAGTAATATGGGTTACTTCAGATTTAGGATTTTGAGCTTGAATTGTTGGTGGGTTTTTGCAGGTGGTGAAAGTATTTATGGTGGTGTTTTTGCTGATGAGTTTCATTCGCGTTTGAGATTCAAGCATCGGGGTTTAGTTGCTTGTGCAAATTCTGGTTCACCCAATTCTAATGGGAGCCAGTTTTTTATGAACTTGGACCGCTCTGATTGGCTTGACAAGAAGCATACTATATTTGGGAAGGTAATGATAACTTAATCGCTAGCTGCAGCAGTACAGCAATTATGAGTATCAGTAGAAAACCAAGGAACCAAACTCATTTCTTTTTTCTGTTTTTCAGGTGACTGGGGATTCAATATATAATCTTGTGAGGTTGGGTGATATTGAAACTGACAAGGAGGATCGACCCTTGGACCCACCACCAAGGATACTATCAGTAGAGGTAGCTAAACATGATCCTTAAGTAAACCTTAAGCTTTCCTCTTTCTATATGCTTATGTGATTTGAAATTTTGTTTTGGTGTTAAATTCCCTGTTTTAGGTGTTATGGAACCCCTTTGATGATATTGTTCCAAGAGTACGTGCAAAGCCATCGACGGAATCCACCAATGACGCTGACAACAAAGACACAAAGAAGAAAGCTGTAAAGTAAGCTTTTTCCTTTCCTGATGGAACTCATGCATGTCTGTTTATGTTTACCCGTGTCTGTGAAAATAAATGCAGTGATGCCACAATATATGTTGTCAAAAATGTCATTATACTTATGGGGTATGTTGTGTGCACGCTTTGTTTCCACAATGCAGAAAGCTGAACTTGCTTTCGTTTGGAGAAGAAGCTGAAGAAGAGGAGAAAGAATTGGCAGCTGTAAAGACAAAAATCAAGAGCAGTCATGATGTATTGGATGATCCTCGTCTTCTGAAGGACGAAGTTCCAATTAACGACGTGGTAATTATCCTGTATCTCTTGTTATGCCTTGTTTATATAGAATGGTTGAAATGTTGCTATGTTTAAGGTCTAAGGGTTTCTGATCTTGTGAATGTGATTATTGCCTAATATGAAGTGGATAACTCTTTATCTTTATGAAATCACATCTGGACTTATCCCCCATCACTCTTACTATTATTCTAGATTTATCCTCCATCAATCTTACTACTAAGATTAATATTGTCGTGACAACCAACTTGGCTAACATTTTTCATCGTTTACATATGCATATTCTGTCTGTCATATAATAGGATCATCCAAAGAACTTACCTCCGGCAAATGTTTTGAATGCAGAACTCTGATGCCAAAACAAGGCATGTACAGTTATCTGTCAGGGAAGCTCTAAGCTCAAAGAAAGACGAGCCCGGGAAAGACTCAGAATCCAAATTTTATAATACCCTCAATTATAGTGATGATGACGATGATGAGGCCAACTTTGATGCACGAATGCGTCAGCAAATACTCAGGAAACGAAAGGATTTGGGAGATCTCCCACCAAAGCCAAAGATGCAAAATGGTACCTAATTGTCCTCAATGTATTAAATTTTCTCCTTATGAGGAATAATGAATGCAGAATCCCTTTTAATTGACACATTCTTTTTATTTCCTTAATAATTTACGCCCATTTTCTTAACCTATCACATGCATATGCAGGGAGCTCTAGCCCAAATCAGCGTGAAACACCTGCATCAAGGTAAAGATGTTGGAAATTTTCTTGACATTATATTTGTTTGCAAGGATTCCTTCAAAGAGTTCATGGCTTTATCAGTTTCAATTCAATGTTATAATGAACGAAAATGTACATCGAGGCAAAGTTTTGGGTGTTGGGGATGTTTTGGTAGATTTTTGTTTTAAGCACTGTTACGAAGACTGACACATCTGAAAATATATTCAAAAGAATCTCTTCATTTCCTTCTTGCCAGGTCCATTGTTGAAAGCATTAATGATGATCAACAAAAGGTTGAAAAACTATCGTTGAAGAAAAAAGGGATAGGATCAGAGGCAAGAGCTGAACGCATGGCAAATGCTGATGCAGACTTACAGTTGTTGGGTGAAGCTGAAAGAGGAAGACAATTACAGAAACAGAAGAAGCGTAGAAATCAAGGACGAGAAGATGATGTATGTTATGTGTGATTGGCCCTTTTATGTATTGTTTTCTTGATTTACATATTTACTCTCCTCCCTTCAACCATTGGAGTAGGTGAAACTGACCACTTTTAAAATCTATTTAAACGTGATAATGTAGTAGATGCAAGTAATGGATTCCATCAGCTGGCTTAATGAATCAGAACCCATGAATTGTGCATTGAAAAGTCCCTGTTTTGCGGAATTTGGGACTGCACTCACTGCTTGTGTGGATATCATCTATAATTCATTTGTATAACTATTTACCATAAGCTAACTTTATTGTGTATATATATAACCCTGTTTTTATGGATTGGATGCTGTTAGGTTCTGGCAAAACTTGAGAAGTTTAAGAAGGGTATATTTGAAAGTCGCACAGCCTCAGGTAGTGAATCTGGAGGTGGCAAAGATGAAGATGCATCTGATTGGAAAGCTGTTCGGTTAAAATTTGCTCCTGAGAGTGGGAAGGTAAGCTTCTCCAGTTCATATTTGTTTATGCCATTTCATTTCAATCAGAAACAATGCAAATCAGGAAAGCAATTAATGAAAATGCAAATGGAATTAGATTATTTCATCCGCATATGCAAATGGAATGACATAATTTAATTAATGAAAAGAGACTCCTCTTCACATTTTAAATATTCTTTGAACAAATATCAATTTGCTCGTCATCTAGATTTCTAATTTTTTCTATGGCTTAAAAGTCTTTTTCTGTAAATCACTGTGCAGGATCGCATGTCTCGCAATGAGGACCCAAATGACTACGTTGTGCATGACCCTCTTTTGGAGAAGGGGAAAGAGAAGTTCAACCGGATGCAAGCCAAGCAAAAGCGACGAGAGCGAGAATGGGCTGGCAAATCCCTTACTTGATGTCATCTCTGCCATGCACCAACTTTTTGGGTTTGTGAATATTTGAAACTGAATCGAAGCTATGAGAATTACATGCCATTGTCCTGCTGAAACTGTGCACCGTTGCCACATTTTCAAAAAACTAATCCTCGACTTTTTGGCTCCAGATTAGGTTAGACAGCTCTAATGTGTTGTATTTGTGTATACTTAAAACAAGTCTTAATGAGGCTGTTGTAGGAAAATCAAATTTCTCATTTTATGCATTAAGATTTCTTGTTAAACTGCAGTGCAGGCTTTACCATTTCAAATGTTCTAGACCTAACATTTCTAGACTTTATTCAAATGTCTTTGTAATTTGTATTGGGGTTTAGCCGACCCCACTAAAACATCTGACCCAGGATTTCATCTTGGACCGGGATTATTTAAATCAATCCGTGTCCGGCTTGAGCAGCAAAAATCCAATAATATCATCAGTAATTCGGACCCGTTCAAGGCCATGGCCTTTGGTTGACCAGGTCAACATTTTTATTTTTATTTTTATTGAATTTTTATTCAATATGTATGTCAACATTTTTTTAATTTTATGAAATGGTGGGGAAAGAACCCCAGAACCCAAACCAACAGCTACACAACTGGAACCAAACGAGGGTGACCAACTCCTGAAGAGTCATCAATCAAAATGGAACAACAGTATGTCAACAGTTTTAGACTTGCGAAAAACGTTGGTTTTTTCTTCGAAACTTGTCGTCTGTTTTCATCTGTAGCCAAGAACTTGGAAAGACAGGTCTTGTTTCTTTGGATGTATAAATAAATAAAACTGCTGAGCCAATATTAGCAAACGTAATTGCCAATCTAATGTTGGATTACTATAATAAACGAGAATCTTTCGAAGAGTACAACATTAAAACATGTCCTCTGTTCCTCATCTGGTCGATAAATTCGCAGTGTTGTTCCCTTTTTAACCTCAGTTGGACCGCCTCTTGGTTACAATGTATTTGTTACTTTTTCTTTTTCTCCGGAAATTGGGACAACGAAAATAGCTTTTCAACAACTGTCCTATTGCGTATGGTCAAAAGTAGTGTATATTTTTGAATTTTGGTACCTCGTGGGGGCCCACTCTCACCGTATTGTAGCCAACTGTACATTGTAGTGTTCCAAAATTAAAAATAATATTAAATACATGTGGAAAAAGTTTCCAATGAAGCTGTTGGCAAATCAAAACGAGTAAGAGGAGTTGAAAGTTTACACCGCTTTTCTTATCTTGTTGGACAAGCATGGACTCCATACCAATCTTCCATCTGCAATCTTCATATTATATATGCTAAATATATGACTTCCTTTTGGTTTAGAAATTACTCGTAACTAATAATACCCAAGTGATACACGACATTTTGAGATTAATATGAATGATATTTATTTTGTTAAATAAAATATTCATATGTGAGGAGTCTGTAACTCAAATAATTAAGAGTAGTTATTCATACACTCGAATTCATATGTTCGAACTCAAACTCCTCAAGTAATTAAGAACAGTTATCCATACATTCGAGTTTGTGTGTTCGAACAGAATTCGTGCTTCTCTTGCAACAGTTAAAAACAAAACAAAACCCTTTAAATGTCATAATGTCAGCATGATGTGGATTAGTTGTGGGTTCCACAATATCATACTGGCCCGCAGATCTAAGGTTCCATTTATCAGGCCCAACACAAATACTTTTCCAAAAACTATTAGAATTGTTCCGCCCAATAAAAAAAATGCATACTGGAATTGTCAAAAAGGTTTGAAGTTTGGCGTTGTTATTCTCACAAAAGTAACATTCCCAATCAGACTTTCAAAAAAAAAACCAAGAAAAACGAAAAAAGAAAGCATTTCCTAAGTTCCAGGTAATCGCTAGTCACCGTCTTACACCCACCTACCACCGCCACTCCGAACCCGCGTTCACACCTGACACCTTTTAAACGCTCTTATTTTATCCGCATTTTCACACGCAAAACGGGCCCCAAGTCAACGTTTTGTACAAAATGCCATCTTATTCTAGTCCTCTCATCGCATTTAATTTCCAACCCAATTCCTGATCAATTTACAAGTGTCTCGACGATGTCGAGTTGGTTTGGAGTGTTTTTTGAAATGACTAAAAGCGAGTTCTGATTATTAAAAGTGTTTATAATAGTATTTAGCATAATAATTTATAAGTACTTTTAAATCACGAAACGTTTTATAAACAGAATTGCTTCCTTCTACAAACGGAACTTTAATTAAGAACGATTTAATTTCCTTAATCATTGCATATGATAGATAATCTCCTCTCTTATTCTAATGTGGACAGCCAGTGACATATGCGCATAATATAATAAGGGTCCCATTTTCTCAATCCCAATCCAAATTTTCTATCTTTGCGTTCACACTGGTGTTTCCATTTCACACATACAATTAAGGTTATTGTATACTGTTCAAAGCCAAGGACCTTTTCTCCTCTCTCTTTTTCTATTTTTGCTTCTTCTCCTCCCTTTCATTTCCTTGTTATTGTTGTTGTTGCAGTCAAGACCAGACGTCTCAGCTCAGCTGCTATATGAAACTGGAGCTCCCAAATAGCCCATACCCAGAAGACTTACCTCTGCACCCTGCTCCGAACCTCTCTGCACACCCAAATGAACGATAATGGCAATTCCAAGAAACGGCGTCGTAAGGGCAACAATAATAACAACGGCAACGACCAGGACGACGGTGACAAGAAGAAGAAAGACTTGAAGGGCATCATCGCTTCCCTGTCGTTGCTGGAGGAGCAAGAGAAGGAAGACGAACAAGAGCACGACAGGGCCTCAAATGACGACGCGTCGTTTATCGAAGAGAAGCACAAGACGAGAACCAAAGCCATGTTAGATTACTACTCCGATTTCCAGGACTGCTATTCGGAGGTCGAAGAATCCGAAACGATGAAGCGAAAGCGGTCGAGAAGCGCGGCTTGCGCTGCGGCTGCGGCAGTGGCGGTGGCCGCCGACGAGTCCGACAAGGCGAAACCTGGTACTGGGTCGGCGGCTGGTCATCACAGGAGGCTGTGGGTCAAGGACCGGTCCAAGGCCTGGTGGGACGAGTGCAACCAACCCGATTTTCCGGAATCGGAATTCAAGAAGGCGTTTCGGATGGGAAGGGCCACGTTCGATTTGATATGCCAGGAGCTCAAATCCGCCATTGAAAAAGAAGACACAACTCTGAGAAACGCAATTCCGGTGAGGCAGAGAGTTGCTGTTTGCTTGTGGAGACTAGCAACAGGTGACCCTCTTCGCCTTGTATCTAAAAAATTTGGTCTTGGCATCTCAACTTGCCATAAACTTGTTCTTGAGGTCTGCTCTGCAATTAGAACTGTGCTCATGCCCAAGTATCTGCAATGGCCTGAGGACAGTGTAGTGAGGAAGATCAAAGATGAGTTTGAGGCCATTTCAGGCATACCCAATGTTGTGGGGTCCATGTACACAACCCATATTCCAATTATAGCTCCAAAGATCAGTGTAGCTGCTTATTTCAACAAGAGGCACACAGAGAGGAACCAGAAGACCTCTTACTCAATCACAGTGCAAGGTGTTGTGGACCCAAGAGGGGTTTTCACTGATGTGTGCATTGGTTGGCCTGGATCAATGCCTGATGATCAGGTTCTGGAGAAGTCTGCTTTGCATCAGAGGGCCAACAATGGCTTGCTGAAAGGTGTTTGGATTGTTGGGAGCTCTGGGTACCCTTTGATGGACTGGGTTTTGGTGCCCTACACCCAGCAGCATCTCACTTGGACACAGCATGCTTTCAATGAGAAGATTGGGGAGATTCAGAATGCTGCTAAAGAAGCATTTGCAAGGCTGAAAGGGAGGTGGTATTGCTTGCAGAAGCGAACCGAGGTGAAGCTGCAGGACTTGCCCGTGGTGCTCGGGGCATGCTGTGTTTTGCACAACATATGCGAGCTTAGAAATGAGGAAATTGAACCAGAGCTGAGGTTTGAGCTTGTGGATGATGAGATGGTGCCAGAGGTTGCTTTGAGATCACAGAGTTCAATGAAGGCTAGGGATGCCATTGCTCATAATCTCTTGCACCATGGCCTTGCAGGCACTGGCTTTCTTTAGTTAATAGATACATAGATACTATAGAGTTTGCTCTCTGTGCCCTGCTGTGCTCTCTCGGATCAGATTGATCAACTAACTTGTTACAGTTTTATTTGTCCTGTTTTGTTGTAGAAGTCGTTGTCATCATTTCCTCCTTATTTTGTGATTCGTTTGTAGAAGGGGGGCTCTCTGTAAAAGGCATACTTGCCCCTTCCCACAAATGGATGATTGTAATTTGTACTAAGTTTTATACATTAATATCACAGAAACACTTTGTTGTAACCTCAGATTCCATATGAAATTGAATGCCAAAATATATGAATTCTTTTTGTTGCATGCTTTTGCTTCCTAATATATTATATTTATCTCATGGCATTTTCCTTTTTCTTTTGTGCCAACCTCAACAACTCAGTTTATCATTTTATCTTAAACCAAAGGGGCCAAAGAAGGAGAAGGCCATAAATGTGAACACACTCTCTCTCTCACTCCTCACTAACCTTTGGGGCTTTGTTTGCCTAATCAATTTGTAATAGTCTACTTAGTTTAAGTTTAAGAAATACTTAAAGACTGGGGCACTGGTATCTTTCTTATTATTATATCAAGTCAAGATCATTAATTAAGTCCAACTAGCAGTTCCCCAAAGTAGGAGGCATTTTCCATGCTAAACACTTCAATTTGAAGATGGACATTATTTTAGGTTTTTATAACAAATTATTATTATAAAGGCTTTACTGATGTCAACCTCATAATGCAAAATAATTTGTATTATTGCTAGTTTTTATATATAAACATTTTTTAGTCGATCTGCAAAACTGTTTTTTCATGAAGAGTTACACGATATTCATTGATAGTCTTCCTCTCTTCCAGTCCAGAATCACGTACCATATAGGTTTAGATCTTACATTATAGCTTCAAGTTCTTCAAGCATAAAAAAACCTACTACCGTCCCTACGCTTCTCTGATCATGGCAAGCTTATGCCGGAAGCCCGGGATGAGCTCGTTTGATTTCTATCAATACCAAATGAAGACCCTTGGATAAACACCAAAGCGATATTTACAAATAGCAAGTCAAAACCTACTAAAGACATCATGAAAGAGGCTCCAGCCAGCCACATATTTCGGCATTCCTGTGCCATTGTCCTAAACTTGAGTTAAGCTGCACTGTGTAGACCCCTCTCCCCCAGTCAACAAACAATGCAGCAATTTTAGCGAATGGCTTGCCCATTTCAAAACTACAACCATGAAATCTGTGGAGGCCAAGTCAAGATTTAAAGCCCCTGGTGTATGGAGCTGCTCGTGTAGTGTAGCATTCCACGACCTAAGTATATCATTCTAATTGTTGATTTACACAATTCACTATCAAAACGAATGCTCATATTCTATAAGTCAGACAGATTTCATCCCAGCATTGTTTCCATCACCGTGGGATTCCAATTCGTTGTTCATTGCCATCGGCTGGTAGACGAAAAGGGAAATGTGCAAATTGGATCCTTAATGCAGAAGAATCGGGTTTCTTGATATCAAACTTGTAACCTGCGTGCATCCACATTTCAGAGCTTGATAAGTGATGAATTCCCTCAAATTACTAGAAATCGCTGAAGCTTTGTCAATTCATTGTGTTAAACAGGATTCTAAACAATACAAAGTTCTTTACATAATCAGCTTCTGAATGTAACATACAATTGCCGGAAATAAACTTTATTATAGTATTATTACAATCACTAACTGCCAATATAGTAAATTTGATATCACACTTTGTGCTGTAAGTGGATAAATCATGGTTAATTGCACATATAATACCTTGAAGAGCTTCCATAGCAGTCAAAGCACACTTTGGATCAGCAAACTCCACAAAGCACAAAACCATAGCCTTATCTCCACTCTGCAGTTCATTTAAAAGTCTAGTAACATGGAGACAAAGCTCAAACAAAAGTAAAGTAACCCAGACATCAATAGTAACAAATAACTACGCAAAACTACAACGAAGTCTCTGAAGATTACTCAATAGAAGCAGGTAAATGAGCAGACTTACACGTCTAGGCTCCTTGTGAACAACTTTGATTTCTTTAAACCCAATAAACGGACGGAATATATCTACATTGCAAATTAAGGTTTTCAAAATGACACAACAAAGCAATATAATGAGCACATTCCCGTCAGGGCAATTCGATATCCATAAAATCTGAATCTAAGCTCTGTTGCCTCGACAGGAGCCAAAGGATACGGCCTACTTCTCTTCGGGTACAGTCGGTGGGAAGTCCATCAACAAACAAAACGTTTGATTCCCCTTTCAGAACTGGAGGACCATCAACATTGCTCAAAGAGCCAGGAGGCCTTTCTTTACTTATGTCAGCAGGAACACTTGCACTAATGCTAACTGCAGCAGCATCCTGTCTCTGGCTTAGCAAACTTGGAACTTCCAAAGGAGATGGATAGCCCTTTATGCTAGCTCCTGCTGATGCTGCTACACCAAGAATAGGTTCAGGTCGAAATCGAATGCCCCCAGTATCATCCACAGCATAGGCCCCAGGGGTCAATGATCTTATCTGCAAGTACATCCAAACCATTCAATAACAAAATTCCTTCATATACATATACATATATACATACTCATATGGTGTTAAACAAAGTTCTTACATCTCTCTGCAAAAAATCAGACGAATAACTCGGAGGCTCAGTAGAGGGAAGAGTAGGATCGAATAGCAATGAGGGTGTTTCAGACGACAAGTAACCAGGAAAGGTTGGCCTTCCAACACTGCCTGGAACGCAATTAATTAGTAAAAAACACAAATTATCCAATTAATACAAAGATTATTAAGGATAATATGCACATAATCAAATGCTATACATTATAAATCATTCAATTGATGGGGTCATGGTTTGTTTGGATGCTAAGAAAATGCGAGAAAGCGAGTGGAAATTGTGTGCAATTTGTTCGGGAAATGAAAATTTGGCGGTCATGGGATGCGGGGGAGGGAAAACTAAAGAACCTCTGTCAGTGCCAGTGGGAGTGTAGTATATACGGTAGGGATCGCCCATGTCTTCCACCGCCACCTCCACCAGTTTCAGAGCTCGACTCTCGCCGACTCTCTGGTGAAGCTTGCTTTTCTGTAGCGAAAAACCTCCTTTTGCCTTTGGTTTGCACTGTCGAATTCAATTGGCATCCATACGACGCTGTTTTGGCCGGCAAATGGTTGGAGGAGCTGTACAACTGTACACACTTGATCCGAACTCAACAAAAAAAGTCCATACATCGCAGGCCAAACAACCCAAAATAGAAGGGGATAATCCTGTGCGGTATATAAATTTACAACTGGTAGTTAGTTGTCAACTTGGCTGGGCCAATTGGTCAGTCTTCCTTTACGTTTGGGCTTTGGCCTTGGGCCTCTATTGACCAAAAAAGAAAGGCTTTTTACTACAGTAAGTACTTAGGTGTCTTAAATAGGGATTTTTAATTTTACACAAATTTTTTTAATACAAATGATAATTTAAATTATAAGGGGATGAGAGTTTTTTACACACACACGCTATCAAAGTGCCATAGAAGTTCAAACCTGAGACCATTGGTCTGTAAATCAGAGTCATTTTTCACTGGACTAAATCTCGTTTTTTACACATAATTTGAAAGACAAACAATGCTACATTTTTTCAAACCTTTCCTTTTTTCTTTTTCTTTTTTCAATCAATATGACATCATAATGTTGGGTTATATTCCAATGCAATGTCATAGTATGCACATTAAGTGTCGTATAAGGTTGAAAAACAAAAAATAATAGCAGAAAAAGTTGCGCTCTTAAGCATTTTCATCTCACTATAATTTATGTTGATTGAGTAATGCACAAACATAAGTTGGAAGGCAATATACGATGTAGTGGGATGTCCTTTTGGAATTCGATATGTTATATTGTTAAATTGTTAATTTGATCTCTCATTCAAATAAAATTAAGTCATATAAGAAATTTATATACTATGATAACATAATATATTTTCCACAATATATTATCATATCTAATATGATTTTGTTGGGTTTGATGTGTTTTCTTAATTCATAATGCAATAAATTAGTGTTTTTTTAGGGTGCGGGAATACACATGACAATTAAATATGTATTTAGATAATAATTTATTGTTACTCTCTAAATGGTAATTTTAGTTACTAGTTCATCTTCAAGTTCCATTTTAACATAAGTTGTGCCTTCATGAAAGTGACGATTGCATGTTTTTAAAGTTTGTCATTATTTATCTTTAACAGAAAGTTGGGAGATTCATTATTATACCTAATATAGGAGCTCAAATTATAAAATTATCATATATGAAATGGACTTTAAAAACAAACCTAAATGCCCATTTACAACATAACAAATACGTTTTTAACTTCTTATAAATTACAAAACTGCTATCAATTTCTTAAAACAAGTTCAATCCAAAAACCTCATATAAAAAACTCAAAATACTTAATAGGGTATCAAAGTAATCTAATAATCGAATTTAAATTCAATAGAGCCATCTATTATTTTTTGGGTTTGTTTATAGAAATTCAAGGATGTAGGGTTTTATATTATTAGTACTAAGAACGAGTGTATAACTAAATATCTCAACAAAGTTTATCTCATTTTATAAATAATTACATTTAAACAATTTTATAATGAGATTAGTGCTTATCTATGTAACTAAGTAAATTTTTACCCTTATGCAATAACAATTAGCGATGAGTACACATATGCGATTGTGTTGCTTTGATAATCAGAAATCAATAATAATGCCATTAAAAATCAATCATGAGTCCACGTAGGATTGACCGTAACATTTTTCATCAAATAATTCACGCTAAATTATTACACACAAAAGACCTTTAAAGAAAAAACGGCTATTCTAGACCTCTCCACAGGGGATACAACTTGCACGGTAATTACGACACGAGGTCCAGGGTGTTTTAGCAGAGACACTACATCACTGACCTGGACATTGAACAGATCCACATCCTATGAAAGGCGAGTGAGAATCACGCCCCAATCACTGCCAACTTACGGGGCCGTCTTTGTGCTTTTCACGTTAAAAAATGTGATAAAGCGTCATAAAATATGACAACTACACTTTCTCTCGCAACAGCGTGGAGTGCGTCACACTCCCACTTGCAAGCGCGTGCTTCCACCACTCATCCTGTGGCAGCGATCGTGAAAGTTATTGATAAAGAAATCAACCAGCTCCGATCGCCTGCTTCGAAACTCCGTGAGCTCGCCACTGCCGGTCAATCGGTCCCCGCCACGTCAAGATGAGTCAGAGTGAAAAGTACGACCCGAACACGTGGCATGCGAATGGCGGTTGAGGAGTAAATGGAAGCTAGAACGAAAGAGGTTTTCTGAGGTTCTCTTTCATCATCTACTCGTCGTCGTTGCAATAAAAACGGGCTCCAGAGTGAGTCTCTAGAGAGAGAAAACTGATACTCTCTAGAGAGAGAAGGAGACGATACATAGACTGTAATGGAGGATCGAGAGGAGCAGGAAGAGGAGGTGTTGGGGTCGAGCTTGACGATGGAGAAGGTGGCAGCAGCCAAACAGTTCATAGAGAACCACTACAGAGCTCAGATGAAGAACATTCAAGAACGAAAAGAGAGGTATGTTTCAACTTAATTGCTTACAGATTTTCACCTTGTTATGCACTTAAGCTTTGTTTGATTGCTTAAGTAATGTAGTTTGGGAAGTAATTTGGGCTGTGAATCATGAAACTCTTCATGTTTGGGGATACGACTTGACATAGCATAGCTTTGGATTTCGCCATTTCATCAATTGCTTTCAATTTGTGCTGTTTGGTTGATGTGAAAATGTGGCAAGAACGAAATGTGTGTTATTATCATGTTTTGGTTAATTGAAACATGTGTTTCTCTTTACATTTGTGTTTAGGAAATGTGGGGGATAAGTAAAGAAATCAGAGTTTCTTAGATAGAAACAAATATGGTAGTTTCTCTATTGGGCAATAGATTGAAGTTTGCTAAATCTGAACCGTCTGGGTTCTGATCTTGTTATTGTTATATTTAGTATTTGGTCTCCTCGGATTATCTTGTTATTGCCATTCAATTTCATATGGAATCTGAGGTTACAACAAAGTGTTTCTGTGATATTAATGTATAAAACTTAGTACAATTTACAATCATCCATTTGTGGGAAGGGGCAAGTATGCCCTTTTACAGAGAGCCCCCCTTCTTGAAACAAATCACAAAATAAGGAGGAAATTATGACAATGACTTCTACAACAAAACAGGAAAAACTGTAACAAGTGAGTTGATAACAACAGATTAATAAGCAAAAAAAATATGAGAGAGCACAGCACAATTATCTATCTATCTATCCACTAAAGAAAGCTAGTGCCTGCAAGGCCATGGTGCAAGAGATTATGAGCAATGGCATCCCTAACCTTCATTGAGCTCTGTGATCTCAAAGCAACCTCTGGCACCATCTCATCATCCACAAGCTCAAACCTCAGCTCTGGTATATGCTGTACATCTATTAGACTACTACCCTCATATGTATATCAACTAATTGTCGGCGAAAACATTGATTTTCTAAAAATCTTCAAGATTATGCTCAATCAGTATTTTAATCAGTCTTGATCAACAATACTCAGATATTTGGTGGTGTCCACTCTTGCAAGGGCAGATCGTCTTTCCCAAAATCTTCAAATTAAGAAGGGTCCCCTAAAATTTGAGGTTAAGGATAGCGTTATCACCTTTGCTTTTGATAGAGTTCCACACCAAAGTTCTATAAGGATAGGTAGTGGCAAATAAGAAACTTCTCTTCTCAAACACTGCAACTTTGCATGAACAATTGAGTCGGTGTCTTCGGATATGTGATAGATCACGTGTGCATATTCTATTCAGTTTCTAAAATTTGCTTTTTCATACGTATTACTGCCCTGTGTTGTATTCTTAAGATTTAAATATTCTGGTGAAAATCTTTCAAGGACACTGCAAAATGTTTTAGTTCAAAGATGCAACTAAGGAATTACTGACATGATGTTTCTTTTTGTTGCAGACGATGGGTGTTGGAAAGGAAATTAGCTTCCTCAGATGTGCCAAAGGAGGTACAAGTCAACCTGATCAAAGACTTAGAGCGAAAGGAAACAGAATTCATGCGACTTAAAAGGCACAAGATTTGTGTTGATGATTTTGAGCCTTTGACCATCATTGGTAGGGGAGCCTTTGGTGAGGTCAGTATTGAACATAGTATCCTTAAGAACGTAAATGTACTAAGCTTTTCAGTGTTCATTGGATCATGTGAGCTTAAAGTTAGCTTTCATTTCAGAAACTATGCTTGTTCTATTTGCTACTTATATATTTTCCAAATGCAATTGCTGATAGTAGCATACCTTTCCTAATGCATGCTCAAACTACAGGTCCGATTGTGTCGAGAGAAAAAATCTGGCAATATCTATGCCATGAAAAAGTTGAAGAAATCTGAAATGCTTAAGAGAGGACAGGTAAGACCATACATGTGACTTTGTTCCAAACCTACCACTGGAACTCGTTCTAAGATTTTCTTCATTGAACTATTGCTGGTCATATTTTTTCATTTTCCCTTGTAGGTGGAACATGTTAGAGCTGAAAGAAACTTGCTGGCTGAAGTTGCCAGCCATTGCATAGTTAAACTTTACTACTCCTTTCAGGATGCTGAGTACTTATATTTAATAATGGAATATCTGCCCGGTGGTGACATGATGACTCTGCTGATGAGGGAAGACACCTTAACTGAAAGTGTGGCTAAATTTTACATTGCACAGAGTGTACTGGCCATTGAATCTATCCAGAAACACAACTATGTACACAGGTTGAAGACAAATATTACTCTCATGTTATTAAATTATTCTTTTGTTATCAAAATATTTGTTGGTTGATGTATTATTTTGGGTTGATATTTGTATGCCTTAGGTATTTAGTCTTGTCTCACCACTTTGTATTCACTGCCTTTTCAGAGACATTAAACCAGACAACCTTCTCCTGGATAAAAATGGTCACATGAAACTCTCGGATTTTGGCCTCTGTAAGCCTCTTGATTGTACAACTTTACCTGCACTGCATGAAAATAGAACTATGGATGATGAAAATTTGACAGAACCAATGGATATCGACGTATGCGTTCCTGATGCGGATAATAGGAGTAGTTGGAAAAGCCCCCGTGAACAGCTGCAGCATTGGCAGATGAACAGGAGGAAGTTGGTACGCTAACATCTTTACTGACTTGTTTTTGCAATACATCTTCAGCCTTACCCCTTAAAACGTTTCCCTCACTATATCCTCCCCCCCCCCCCCCCCCCCTCCCTTTTATGGATAGGCATTTTCAACTGTGGGGACCCCCGACTATATTGCACCTGAAGTGCTATTGAAGAAAGGATATGGAATGGAATGCGACTGGTAACTGATAATTGAATATTTTATTATCTCTCACCTTCTGTCATCTTTTTTTGTTGGTGATATGCATTGTTTGATTTAGGTGGTCATTGGGAGCAATAATGTATGAAATGCTTGTTGGTTACCCTCCATTTTATTCAGATGATCCAATAACTACATGCAGAAAGGTAACATGATACTCCTCACATAACTCTGAGTGCAAAGTTTCCATGGTGAGTCATAGGTGTGAGCTAAGGTCACTTCAGTTTCATATACAAAGTTCTCCTCACTGTATTTGTCAATTTCTGTCAGATTGTTCATTGGAGAAACCACTTAAAATTTCCAGAAGATGCAAGGTTGACAGCTGAGGCTAAGGATCTTATTTGCAGGTTGCTCTGTGATGTTGAATATAGGCTAGGTACTGGTGGCGCACATCAAATCAAAGTGAGGCTCTAATATTTAAATAAAATGTTTTTCGGGATCCTCACATCGATATGTTCTTTGCCTTATAATTGTATAACTATGTTGTATCAGTCTCATCCTTGGTTCAAGAACATTGTGTGGGACAAACTCTATGAAATGGAGGCAGCATTCAAACCAGAAGTGAATGGGGAACTTGATACCCAGAACTTTATGAAGTTTGATGAGGTATTATACAATATCATCCTTATATTTTCTTATTTCATGGTTTCTTTATATTTGCACCAACATTATTGTTTCTTCTACTAATATTACTTCTATAACAGTTCCACTAATTTACACCTTTTTAGCTCCTATATGCTTTCATTTATGTGATATCTAGAAGCTTCATTACGTCACTGTGAAACATAATGTGTTTATTGATTTCCTACATCTTTTGCATTTGTGCTTAGTTGGAGCCTCCAGTGTCATCAAGAACTGGCTCAGGTCCCTCACGAAAGGTTTGTAAACTATGCATACTGTTTATGTACTCATGATATGCATACATCATTATATAAGACATGTTATGTAATACTTTGCATAGTCAGTTGGTATTATGATTGTCTGTCCCTTTGAAGAGACAACCCAGTAGACATTCCATAGGGAAAAGAAAATATCCTACCTGGATTTCATTAAAAAAAAATTTCAAATTTTTCTTTGTGTTTCCTTTTTTATTTGTATTTTTCTCTGTGATGCGGTTTCTCAAGTTAAAATTGTAAACATTAGCCAGCCACTGTGAAATCTGCAGTAGCGCCATTTGATGTCAAAAATTCTGTTTTTAAATTTTGTGACAGGGGGATTTGGTTGTAGAAAATCAGTCTCAACTGGCTTTTGCTTATCTCTCATCTTGGGTAGCATTTTTTCAAAATGAATATGCATTGTTATGCAACAAAGGTCTTTAAATTACTATTGCCCTTTTGTTATCTTTAAAGGTCTCATGTCTATTTTCCATAGGATCCACCAAAATCTGCAATAGCCTTTTCATACGAACTCATGCCACGTTTTGAAGGAATTTATAATTTAGTACGAATGTATGACTGTTGATACTTATCGCCTTATAATTTCATGCAGTTGCAATTGACTCCCAAAGATCTAAGCTTTGTTGGCTATACATACAAGAACTTTGATGCTGTAAAGGGGCTTCGCCAAGTTTTTGGTATGCAATCGTGACTCCATTGGTGACTGGTCGTTATTTTCTGTTTCTATTTCTTTCCTCATGGCACGAGGGAGGAATTTGGTGACTCATAAAAGCATTTTCGACTAGTTTTTTTTATTTGATCAGTATCCATGTGCTTCTGAGTGAGGGGATTTTTCATGCTCAATTATGGTTGCATCCGTCACCTGAGTGTATGCTGTTCTTGTCTTTCTACTAGAGAAATACAAGATTGACTTCGTGTTTGACTTTGCATAGGGGTGGCGATGACATTGGCTTCAGTTTATACTCGTTTTGGCAATGAATTTTATTTTCATTTGCATAATACACGTTGATGGTGAAAATGAATGTCCTGTGTGAATTCCAAAACCCCCATCTTACGCTTCAGGTGTGGGTAGACAATATGCTGGGCTTGCCATGTCTGGAATTCATTTCAGACAAAATAGTAGTGATGGAATAATCAAATGGCAAAATTCACTCAGTGGGGTGTACTGCCCCCCTCGTCAAATCTCTTCCCTCCTGAGGTTAAACCCAAACCTCTTTTAGAGGTAGCACATGGTTAGAAACTTAGAAATGAAAATGGTGACATCATGAATTTCTTATAGGTTAATCTTTTTTCTTTTAATAACATTATTTTGTTGATAATTTTGTCGATGTGGCTTTTGTTTGTTAGTATGAAATCCAGCCTTTGCTTTCATGGAAATGTAGATTGGACAGAAAAGTATATCACCTAACTGTCCACCTAATGAGTCTAATGCTTTGTTCTTGTTTGCAGGATCTTATTACTTTACTGGTATTATCTGATGTTATTCTGTTATGAATCTTAGTCGATTAAAGTTTAGTCTCTAATATCTGCAGGTGATTCAAGAGTAGATTTTACTAGTGAACGGGCAGCCAAGGAAGCAGAGTTACATATGCTTGCGTCATCTGGTGATCCCATGTTACCATAACACCGAATCCCGGGGGACGAAAAATGGCAAGCCGACTGCACAGACATATGCTCGTGTGCTTAATTTGGGTTCGTAATTAAAAAAGAAGAAAAGAAACTCAGCATATCTCGCGAATTGGCTGCCATACAGCTTGCCATATTACCATTTTAGTGTACAGTAGCTATTGAAAAGCTTCATAAAGGCCCAGAAAAGGGCAAGTGTTATCATCCTTGCCTTCTTCAGTAAGGTTTTGTGAGTTAGTAGAAGTTAGAATGTAGTCTGACTGAGAATTCCGGAACTGGTGTCCTGGCTGCCCAGGTTGGCAATGTTATCATCCTTGCCTTCTCTAGCGGCAGTTTCCAGCCAAATCATAATTCAACTTGGCCAATTACCAAGAAACTCGGTACTAGTCATTTTTGAGAGAATTTTCTCTGTTGTTGTGTTGTGTAATCTTTTAAGGGATGAACTTGAATTGCACCTCTTATTCTGTGTCCAAAATGGAATATTACAAATTATGAGGTCTTTTAGTATGCCTTCCTTTTCCATTGTTAATATCACTATTCTAAGGCCTTCTTCTTTTCTTAATGGGTGATTTTATTGGCACCCTATTATTTGTTCTTTGCACACCATGCTAATTTTAAACATGAATAACTTATTTTATTCTTGTACATAATTACCGTTAAGGACAAAAAAATATTTAAAATATAAATTAAATTTGCTCACTACACCCCACATATGTTCTTGTAACCCTAATTAGACTTTGTTTTCAAACCATCATGTTCCTACAAACTTAAAGAGGTTTATACACTTATATTGGTGAAAAAATATATTGTATTTATTCATGAAGGGTGAGACTGAAGTTAGAGAGGCTTCGAATGAGGTATGAGTTTATTTTTTGGTGTTTATCAAGTTTAGGATTTCATAATGGTCACTGGTTGCGTTCAGCACACCAGTACCGAATGCGATAGGTAAATTCAGTGGTATGCCAAAGAAATATTGCACCTATTTCGGTTGTGTTTGACTAGCCGTTAACTTAAGATGCGGTGGAGATCCACCGTAACATGGAACGGTGTTCGGTGGTGTATTACCGAATTTTTACCTACAATTCAGTAGCAACGAACCGAAATATATTTAGTTTTTCAGTAACTTATTGTCAACCACAAAATTAATGTAAGCTATTTTGACTTTACTCTCAACGAAGGTAGATACAATAATCTTATCTACATTCATAAGTTGCTTTAATCCAGACATCTGAATGTACCATTTGAATATATCATTATTTGGATTAGCCCACTAATTCTACTTACGAATGGTAGACGTCTTCGACTTGCACCTAAGAGGCTCACATTCCTAGTCAAATTAAAATAAAATAAAATAAAATTTAGGTTAATTACCATGAACCAGACTTATATTTTGCTTTCTATTGTTACAGTAAAACGACTTATCTGGTTATTAAGCTGTTATGTGAGTTTAAAACTCGTAAGTAAAGATGGATCAATGAGACCTATTCGAGATGGCTCAGTAGGCTCGACATCTACCTCAACATTACTATCATGAGTAGCAGCTACATCTTCAGCTACATCTTTAGCTACATCTTCAACCTCTATAGTATCCTCAAAGTGATTTAGGGGACCATGATGGGACTGGTCCTCTTAAGGGGCTAACCTCACTGTTTTGTGTCTCCTCGTTGAGACTGTGGGACTCTGTCTATCATGTCGAGATGATGAAACCCCAATAGTACCTCTGCGAGTCCTCTTCATATGTAAAAAATAATATTAAGTACAAACTGAGTAACGAATTCAGTAGATTATCACTAAAAAACTGAAACAAATTTGGTGGACTGCCACTAAAAAACTAAAACAAATTTAATTGACTACCATTGAAAAATGAAACATATTCAGTGGATATCCACTGAAAAACGGAAACAAATTCGGTAGACTATCACTGAAACAAAATAACGATTTCAGTGGGATTTACACAAGTAAGTTAAGGAATGAAGTTCATGAGGGCAATTTAGGAGAAAAAAATGCCCTTTCTTAATATGTCACCTTGGACGTAGGAGAGATTTGGAATTTTCTTTTTTGAAGTGAAACTTTTGGGTTTGACTTTTTAAATATCATTCTCAATCAAACGTGAGAGCAAGCAAGATCGCTCTATTCTTTTCTTTTTATTTCCTGGCTTTTGTTTTTTTGTTACCCAGCTCAAGGGAAGTTTGAGCTCAATACTTCTCTGACCCAAATGAGACAGAAAGAGAGAGGGCCCTGAATTTTTTTGGGTCAGGCCCTAAATTTTAGGTCAGACTCAGAGAGACCTACAAACCAAACCCAGAAGACGATAAAAGGCGAGAGACCCAATAAGAAAAGCGAAGTGGGCCGTTTCATTTTTAAATTTGAGTAATTCGCGTCACTTGGTGACGTCGTTTTATGACACTACTCAGTCAGCCAGGTAGTCCGAGTCTGCGAGACATCTTCACTTTCTTTCTGTTTGTTTCGGCATTGTTTTCATAAATAAATAAAAAGAAAAAAAAAGGAAAAAACAGGAAGATAAATAGTGGACACTTGACAGTATTTTATTTCACTTTTATTTATTTATTATTATCTGTTTTCAAATCTAGATTTGTGGAAAATCTTCCTATTCAGACCAAATGAGTATTAGTAACGAAATTTTCGAGTGGATTTGTATGTACAAAAGGACAGTTGAGCCATTTGGGAGAAGGCGTTTGGTTTGTCTAAATTTCAAAAGGCAGTGTCGTTTTGACTTGTCATTGTTTTTGGAAAGGAAAATGCTAATTTCTTTTCTTCCATAATTGATTTAGTTAATGATTGCAAAAGTCAACTAATTGATTTAGTAATCAAGCTAAAAGTAGGGCAAAGCTGAGACATTTTGCAGAGCTTAATGAATAATTATACAACTAAATGCCATGTTTCCCCAAGTATATTACGAAAATTGTATTCTACGGATATTTTATATACAAATTATACGAATTTAGGTTTTAAAGTTGGTATGGCACAGTTTGTGGAAGTTGGATGTTGAAATCATATCACTGCCGACCTACTATGTCTGTCTGACGTATACAGCAATTCATATTGCTCTCTCCGCTTGATGCATCATGCTTCTACTAAGTTTTACTACGCAACATGACATAGTAGGTGCTTAGTTCATAAAACAATGACTCCCTGTTTTTTTTTAAGGGCTTGTTTAGTAACGCTTTTGAAAAATATTTTCAGAAAAGTAAAAACGAGAAAATGAATTTACCAGCCTATAAGCATAATTATTTGTGGAAATTAAGACTGAAATGCGAGGGTAGGCTGGTTTTCATATTTAGCCAACCAAATTCTCAATCTGTGTGTGTTTTTTTGTTGTTGTTGTTGTGCTTTTGGTTTCTAAGGCTACAAACTTACATGTACTTTCTACCGAGCCATATAAAACCTCACAAAATGCAGTTGTGACTAGTAAGTATTCTCCCTATGCAAAAAGAAAAAAAGAAAAAGAAAAACCTTGTAAGGTATATGAGAAAAGTCCCTTTCTAATATTAGCAAATATGTATAAATAACTAAAAACCCTTTTAAGTATTTTGATAATAATTTTGAATTAGAGAATGAAAAGGGAAAAGATCATGGGATGGGTGGAGATGCTTCAATATGCTCTTCTAGATTTGACATGTGTCACCTTTTTCTCACTCTTCAAATACACTCCTCAGTCTCTCCTGTCCTAATTTGTTTTCTCTATTTTCTTATTGTTTTTACTTTATTTTGGGTATTTCTTCTCTCCACTCCCTTTCTTGCGCTTGCAAGTCTCAGCTCCAGGTACGTGTATAAAAAAGAAGTCATATTTTAGCTGATTTTTTAAATGGTAAGCATACCCATATCTTGTTTCTTGATTTTTTTTATCCTTCCCATGGATTTCAGCTGTTAAAATAAAGTCTCTGGACGTAGAAAATGATAGAGAGAGAGAGAGACGAGTGAAAGGGAGGGAAGAAAAGACTATACAGTTGACAAATTAGGTAGTGATTCTTCTTTTCCTTTCTTCTTTTACCTTCTCCCTTTTCTTGCTTAATAATTGTCATAATTATTTGAAAGAGAGAGAGTTCAATTACAAGAGGCCGAGATAGCTTGCCTCAGATCCAGGGAAGTCAAGTAATAGTTTGAAAAAAAAAGGTGCTTTCTTTCATAGGGTTTTCCTGTGATTCTTGGCTTTGCCTTTCTTGGGTTTCTTTCTCATGACCCCTTTTTCTCTTTCTTTCTTGTGTTAGATAAGGGGTTGGTTTCATATTTAATCTGATTTTTTGTTTTTTTTTCTTTCTATTTTACAGTTTTTCATTTGTGCATTTAAAGGTTTTTCTGGTTTTTTCTTTCTGCCGTAGTTGATGGAGGTAGATAGAGAAGAGTCCAGAGAAGAAGTTGACAAGGCCTCAAACATGTCTTTTTAGCCTATTTAGGGCTCATATTTCCGCAAATAGAAGTGTGGATCCATTGTTGTTGGCCAGATCTGACTACCCATTTCCTTTTCACCACCTTTTAGCTCATCTATACATTCACATCTCCTGAATTTGCACCCTCTTTTGGCCTTTATTTGGGTGCCTTAGGCATGGACAATGGTCTGTTAAAACCCACCATTCACATTCCAAAATCATTCCCAATAAGAGAAGAAAGTCAAAAATTGATTGAGAAATGACAGGTTGTGTGATGTTAGAGGGGTCAAAGGGTAACTTTTTGTACTGCCCAGATAAGGATTTTGATGGAGGAGATGTCTCCGGCGGTCACGGTGCCATTTAGAGTAGGTAACTCAGTTTGTGATAACCCAAACATAGCTACCCACATGGATGTCACAAGACTTAAGCTAATGACAGACACGGCGGGGTTGCTATCTGATTCTGTCACCAGGGGTTCCAGTGAGACGGTTGCAGCTGGTGAAGAGGATTGTAATTGTAGTTATTTGGAGAATGAAATTAGTTTTGTAGAAGTTTCAGTGCCAAAAGAGGACGAGGAAGGAGAAGCTCCTTTGTTGGATATGATATCTCAAGACGGAAGCAATTGGGTTTCTGCTGCTGATGTGATAGCTCGGGAAAGTGAGGAAGATGATTCCTTATCATTGGAAGGCGATCAGATTCTTGATAGCTCTTGTTCACTCTCTGTGGCTAGTGAGTCAAGTAGCTTATGTTTAGAAGACTTCCTCGTTTATGAGGCTAGTCCTGACATAGGGACACTGACTTCTGTAGACGTTGAGAAGGGCATTTTCTGTGTTGATGTTGCAAAGGCTTCAGATTTGGGTGATTCAAAAGTTGAGACAGAGATCACAACCGACCCCCTTGCTATGACGGTGAGCCTAGAGGAAGAAAATCGTGATGGGTCTGACCCAAAGCCATCTGAAGTTGTTCAATTGCCTGTGGAAACAGTGGTCAGAGAAACAGTAAGCCGCAGTGTTTTTGAGGTAGACTATGTACCACTTTGGGGGTTTACGTCCATGATTGGAAGAAGACCAGAGATGGAAGACGCACTTGCCACTGTACCTCAACTTTTAAAAATTCCAATTCAAATGCTGATTGGCGACCGGGTACTTGATGGCATGAGCAAGTGTTTAAACCAGACTGTTCATTTCTTTGGAGTCTATGATGGTCATGGAGGCTCTCAGGTACCATTTCATATTTCTTATCTATTCCTTGTGCATAGTTTTCCTACTGCATATCATGCATATAATGTGTTTCTGCCAGTAACTGTGTTTCGTGGGGTTGGGTTTCACTTTGTTTAGGTTGCAAACTATTGTCGTGATCGTGTACATTTGGCTTTGGTTGAAGAGATAGAGTCCGTTAAGGAAGGCCTTATTCATGAAAGTGTCAAAGACAATTGCCAAGAGCAATGGAGAAAAGCATTTACCAATTGTTTTCATAAGGTTGATGCTGAAGTTGGAGGGAAGGCTAGTCTTGAGCCTGTTGCCCCGGAAACTGTTGGTTCCACTGCTGTTGTTGCCCTTATTTGTTCGTCTCATATAATAGTAGCAAACTGTGGAGATTCAAGAGCAGTTCTGTGTCGTGGTAAAGAACCCATGGCATTATCAGTGGATCATAAAGTAAGGTTCTCTAACTGAACTACTGTATCTTACAGTTCATGACTGATTATGCAAACTGATCTGCATTCGTTATTTTAGCCAAATCGGGAAGATGAATATGCAAGGATTGAGGCAGCTGGGGGCAAGGTCATACAATGGAATGGGCATCGTGTTTTTGGTGTTCTTGCTATGTCGAGGTCTATAGGTATGTGCTTTGTCGTGATTTTTTTTTCTTTCGCAATTCCATGCTTCTTTCATGGATGACTTCTGTAGTACTTCACATAATACTATTATATATATACAGTAAAGTAGTAACTAAACTTTGTCCAGAAATCATATATTCATGAAGATTTGATGTTAGGTCCAAACATGATATGTGTTTTTTTAGACACAAACTTATTTTCTAACCAAGGTACATAGAAAAAATACATCCTAGTCAAACTTGGGTAGTCTAACACTTCGTAAGGTTAAATTTCAACCTTGGTTTTGAGTTGCAGGCGATAGATATTTAAAACCGTGGATCATTCCAGAACCAGAAGTGATGTTTATTCCTCGAACAAAAGATGACGAATGCCTCATTTTAGCCAGTGATGGTTTATGGGATGTTATGTCAAATGAAGAAGTGTGTGACCTTGCTCGGAGACGAATACTTCTATGGCACAAGAAGAATGGCGTTACTCCACTTCCGCTGGAAAGAGGCGAAGGAATCGATCCCGCAGCTCAGGCAGCTGCGGAGTTGCTTTCGAACCGTGCTCTTCAAAAAGGAAGTAAGGACAACATTACTGTAATCGTGGTGGATTTGAAAGCTCAAAGGAAGTTTAAAAGCAAAACATGATGGCTTCTTATGATCTGATATCGTGTTGCCCATTTGTTTTTCACCTGGGCTTCATTGCTTAACGAGAACCACAGTCTGTATGTATCATAGAACATCTGCCATGCCATTCTAGAATCTTCTGTTTTTTTATTTTTTTAAGTGTTTGATATACGCTGTGCTGTGTAAATCTTAGCTGCTTGGTAGTAGAAATAGGAATGGGTGGCAGTGTGATGCTTTTAACATTGTGGGCAAATTGTATTCATTATGCCTCCGAGTTAAACAGCTCAGTGAGGTATTTACCCTTAATATTATTTCAATCCTAATGCTTATAAAAGTAGTAAATTTGGAAATTTGCTTGCACATTTGTGATCTTCTCACTCTGATTTTTGTTATATTATTCTCAATGGACTGGTGATTGGTTTGCCATTGACATAACGGGCGAGATTGGCTACCGAGCAGAGGAGGCCAAAAATGGAACCTCAGTATTTTCTGTGCACCAACTCCTTCACAACATCAGCAAGATTTTTCTCACTATCAACACTCTGAACCCACTTGGCGTTGATGTGTACCCTCTCGATGCTCTGCTTCAAGGTTCTAGTTATTGAAGGGTTAGGACGGGCTTTGAAGAACTCATCTATTTCCTTCACCTTCTCAATTGAAGCAAACTGCGAAGGAAAATGAAGGCGTTATAAACCATTTGCTTATGTAATTTCGGATCTAAATTAAACAAAATAGGAACCTCGTAGAAAATAAGATTTTTTTTTAAACGAACCGGAGAAACAATTGCTGCGACAAAGCAGGTAATTAGAAATCCGGAACTCCAGGTGTTCGAGATGTGCTCCCAGTTATCCTGTATTTCGAAGCATCCAAAAGGCAAAATCAAACATAGCAAACAAAAGTGGGAAAAGAAGAAGACTCAAAAACAAAACACTGAACCCCTTCACACCCAAGTTCGAATTTCCCTCCCGTAGATTTGATAAATTTAGAGTAAGTTAGACTATCGCTTGTATAAAAGAAAAAAAAGGAAAAATATTAGGGTTTAAAGAAGCAGTAAAAACTAGTGCTTGAGAGTTACCTTCAGCCACATCCAAGCTGTTTCCCGTCCTTTACTACTAACAGAAAGTCCCATGATAGCGTCCTGACTGCGGACCTATATAGATGGGTATTGAAGTCGGTATATCACCAAGCTTTGAGATACTCTAATTTACTACTAATTTGTAAAACAATCAAACTGAAATTAAGAGATAAATAAAATCTGAAATACCTCAGAAGTCAATAAAAAGTTGAGAACTTCCAGTGTTATGATTGGATCAGGACACAATGCTAATGAACCTGCAGGTACCGAGAGAGAGATTATTGCCACATTATAACAAACTCAGATGTTTGGAATGATTTTACAAATTAATCAGTATTACTTAAAATGCGATTTTTCTCCTGGCTTAGATCAGTCTCTCTGTAAACTCTAAGAAGAGATTCATAGCCTGATCTGTTAGACGTGCTTACTCTTTGCATTACAGCCACATACACTGCCTGCAGCAATAGTTCATGATGAACATCAGCAGGGAACTTAAAAGGACAAATATGGGTGCTTAACGAATGGTTTAAATCAAAACAACCTTTCTTATGTCGGCAGGAAGGAGTGCCGTATTTCTGTCATCTAAGAAGGCATGAAAGCGCCTACTTGCTTCATTTATTGTCAGGTCATGTCCAAACACAGCAAGGGCAGCTAAAATTTCTCCTCTCAACATTGCATCTAAATGACTCTCGCCGGGTTTAGGGTCCCAACCAAGCTTCCTGTAAACAAATTCAAACATAAACAATAAACTACAACAAAAATTAAGAAAAAGAAAAAAGTAAATCTTGTGGATAGTTTGAGAGTGTCAAACATATGTAGCATCAAGAAAGATGTTTCCCGAGATCTTGTTTCTACACAAAGGCAATGTTCCATATAACCTCCCATTTTATACGGTAGCTTCAAAATTTAACTAGCAACAAATTTGATATACAACTGACTTATATCACTTAAGGTTAAATAAGCAGTGGACAGAGCATTTTCAACTCCCAGAATTCTTAATCACAGATTTCTATAGATGCTTGAGCAGTTAAAAAATGAAGAAAAAACCTTACTGTGCAGAGTACTGGAGAAGGCCAATAAGGAATTGATTAATGAGATCCAGTAGCTCGGGTACAGCATCAGCTGCAATTCTTGCCAGCTTATAGCTTATCTGTGAAAAGTTAACACCATAATCAAGCCAAGGCCATAAATACAGTAACATAAACACAATGCAGAGGTGAACATTACGGTAATCAAATTTGACAGCACTGTAAAGTCAAGTTCCTCTCTGTAAGCACCCAACAAGGTAAGCAATGATGCAAAAGACTGCTGGCAAGCCATAGAAAGGGCAAATGAATCATCTAAAACTCCTGTTAAAAGGAAAAACTTGATGAAACTGCTGGCTAGCCAAGGTAAGCAATGAAAACTATCAGCTTCGCTATCAAAGAGATGTGTGCATAAAAATATGATTACCAAATCTGTCAGTTGCAGACAAGTATTTGTTCTCTATAGCATTTCTAAGTTTATCTGCAAGTTCCTCATCATATTTCACCCTGTAAAAACCAGTCTGATCCACATTGACTTTTATCCAGCTGCATAATGCATTGTTTTCATTGCTTCCTCTACTTCCAGTCTCTGCTATTGAGCAACCCAGAAATTCCTTTATGTCAAGAGTTCTAGACTTCGTTTGTAGTAGGAAACTCTTGCGTACATTATATGAGCCACAACATAATGTTATCGGCACAATCCATTGTCCATCACCTTGAGAACCACTTGACAAGAACTGTGTCTGTCAATTATTACTTTATTTATCAGATATTTGTCCGTTTCCAATTACCATGGAATTAAACCTAAACAAACAATTTAACAGCTTATATATGCATTAGATCTCAGACACTATTTCTTGATAATTGCATTTGATACTAAAACAAGATTTTGAAGGAGGCAAACACAAGGAAACCTGATCAAACTCCAATTTCTGATCTTTGATTTTGACGGAAACAACTGGGTAACCTTTTTGCTGAGTCCATGAATTCATTAGCTTGTTCACAGGTTCACCAGATCCCTCCTCAAGGGCAGCCCATAAATCTTCTGTCTTTGCATTTGAGGATGCGTGCTTTCTTATATATGAAGCAAGTGACCTCTAGATGCATGAAAAAATAACATGTAATCAACTCTGTAATTTAAATAAGAATCCGGTTTGATAAGGAATGAGAATACGAATTTAAAAATTCAAGAAAACAGGATGAGAAACATTACACCAAACACCTTTATCATAAATGTAAATTTCTCAGAGAATAAGATAGTTGCTTCAAGCCAGAGGGGGTTTCTAAAATAACAAAGGACCAACCTGAAAGCATTCAGCGCCGAGATAGCTTTGTAGCATCAGGATAAGAAAAGCACCTTTTGTATAACTTATGTCATCAAATATTTCATCAACCTCATCAGCATGATTTATCTCCACCTGACGGTAAAAAATATTACCAAAAAGGTTACGTAAACCAAGTATATACTAACACTCTCCAGTACATAATGACCTAAATATAACTGCGAGTAAAGCCTGTCATACAGGTTAACAAGGATTGATGCCCGCAAAAAGAAAATTTTTGGGCAAAAGAACTCAAATGAAACCCATGAAAGCCTTAGTCCACATAAATGTACCTCGATGGGGTGAGATTCTTCAAGAGCATCCAGCCTAAGACCCCCAGTACATTCATCAAGAAACTGAGTCCATATTTGCCACTCTGGGAACAAGTTATCAGTAGCTAAATAGCTCACCTAATGACATTAAAATACTTACTTTAAGTCCACAAACAGGTAAAGTAACAAGTACAAAAATGAAATGAAGTGATACCCATGTTGCAAATCCCTCATTCAGCCACAAATGTGTCCACCATTCCATCGTTACAAGATTGCCAAACCACTGGTGAGCCAATTCATGTGCCACGGCAACTGCAACCTTTTATGAAAACTGCATGAAGTGATTAAACATATCTTTCGGTGCAAAAACAATAGCTCCATATTATAGTAAGTTATTATCTAAATTCTGAAAGCTAGAGTAACATTCAGGATTTGCATATTACATTTTGCTTGTTGGAAGCTGCAGAATGCTGCTCATCAAAGAGCAAAGCTGCATCACGGTACGTAACTAAACCATAATTCTCCATGGCCTCAGCAGAAAAATCAGGGATTGCAACCATATCCAATTTGGGCAAAGAGTAGGGCACAGCAAAGTATCTGTAGAACATGTCATCATTGATTTGATAATGAATGCCAAAAATGCAGTATAATTACAAAAGTGCTACTACTTATAGTCCACAGCATACATTAAGTGTAATTTGCAGCTTGAATATGAAGGCTATAACCCATGATCAGTAATTTTTTTATTTTTTTTATTTGGGTGATTCTGTGATGTATAAACATACTCTTTGTACAATTCAAGTGTCCTGACAGCAACGCTCAATGCAAATTTCCCTTGGTTTGCCTTACCAACTTGGCAATATACCCGCACTTTGACCCCTGTGATGAGATGAAAGTGACAACATCAAGAAAGGGTTGTATTAACATACACATGAAACAAGGGCTATGGTATATGAGTTTACCATCAGATGTATGATCTTCAACATAATCAAACAATCCAACAACAATGGCCACCAAATATGTAGACATAATGGGTGACTCCAGATATGAAACTGTCTTCAGATGTCCATCCACTTTTTCTTCTACAACCGGCATGTTGGAAAGAGTTACTAATTCAGACGGAACATCAGCCAATGTAATCTTGAATGTAGCCTGTCAATCAAAGTGCCAGTAAGAATGAATAAGGTCAAGGCATAAACTGTAGAAGTGAAACAATTCAACCAAAACTGGAAGATTGATTTCTCTACTAATCTACAATCATACACAACAAATCCTTTTTTTCTCTTTTCCAGGACCCAAAGTGCATTTAGAACCATGTAAGGGATCCAGAATTGATTTTTAAAAAAGCCACAAGATACTAATAAAACTTAAGCCAATTCCATGAGTGTGAGAAAGAGAGAGAAAATGTGTGCGTGTGTGTGACCTTCCAAGCAGGTTCATCCCAACATGGAAAGCACCGCCTGGCGTCAACCGGTTCAAACTGTGTAACTGCCATATTTTTCTTCTCAGCATTATGCTCATATGTACTGCACAGAACAAATCAAAGTCTAAAATATCTATAACAATGAATTAAAATAAGATTGAAAGAACAAAAAGAAGATAGAGTTTATGACACATCCCACATTCAAATAATACCTTCTATAAAACCCCTTCATGCTGTCATTCAAGATTCCTTCAAAAGAAATAGCCAAAACTCCCAGCCCAAATGGAAGTGTCTCCCCAAACTCCAAAACCAAAATCCCATCTTCTTCGAATATCTCAACTTTTGAAGGCTTGAAAACCTGCTCAAACATTCAGTTACTCAAATTCAGTTAACATAGCAAATCCGCCTGTGAAATGCAGGTAGGTAGGTGATATTCCAAATGGTCCTTCCTTTTCCTACACCGCAAACTCCTCCACTATCCTTTCATTTCTTTTTCTACAAATTCTCGGCAGCCAAAAACAAATTCCGAACCGATAAAACAAAACAAAAATTAAACCGAAATAAAGCAAATGCAAGGATCAGTTTGCACCTTGGAAGAGTCCTGGTGAGTGAAAGACACAGCACCGGCGTTAACAGAGAGCTTGGCGGCGTTGAGGACGATGAATCGGGTATCGGCGACGATATCGAGATCGACGGCGACGGAGCCGCCGAAGTTGCAAGCGGTGAGGTCCGGTTTGAGGCGTATGTCGTATCCTTTAGGGACGGCGAATTTCGGAAGGCGAGGTTGGCCCTTGAACTGCTCCATATTTTGATTTTTGAGAGCAGAGAGAGTAGAATTTTCCTACGCTCGTTTAAAATTCAAATTCAATCTTGCGCATGTATCTATCAGAAATGGAGACAACGGTGAAACATTCAAAATAGCAGGAAGAGAGAGAATGGTGAAACATTCAAAATACCAGAAATACCCTTAATTAATTCATACATTAAGAATTGAAATTATTAATTAAATTAGGATAATATTGTAAATTTATAATTATTTTTCATATTTAAAAAAGTAAAAATAAAAACCAAATCAGATAATAGGTCATATTTTTATGGAACATAACGCATGTGTCAAGGGGCTAATTAGGGCTTAACAGAAGACGATCAATTACCGCTAAATTACCCGTGAAGTTAACGGAACTCCGGAAAACTGGAATGAGCAACGCGCTGCCACGTGGCATGAATTTTAATACAACGTTTAGAAAGAAGTTATAACCAACTGATATATAATACTGATTAGTGATATCAACGGCCCACTAATCCATTGATAAGAGAGTCATAACGAGAAAGCAAGTTTTAGGGAGCCCATCAAGCGTGACAATTTTCCAGTCGATAGGGAAGAGATAAATTCAAGAAGGATCAACGGTTATATTTTTTTTACCGCGGACATTAGAGAGGGAAGAGATTCGAATTTGGGATTTAATTTCAACACAAATGAAATTTGAATTTAGGACTTCTGTCTAAACGTATTAACGTTTCCTCTACCTTTGTTTTCATCCTATAAAAATAGTATATATGGGGTTTGATCAAATCATATGGATGAGAGAACACTTGTAGTTCTATTTTATCAAATCGTATTAGAAAATTAGTACATTTATTACTATTGTTACTTTTTATTCTTCTTTTGGCAAATAAAAGTTACATGACTGTCGAAATACAGTCCCAGAGATGTCTTCTTAGAATTTTGATGACGGAAGAAGCCAAACATGATACCCTAGTATTTCCGGTATGCCAACTCCTTCACGGCATCGGCAAGATTTTTCTCACTCTTAACACTCTCCACCCACTTGGCGTTAATCTGCACCCGCTCAATGCTCTGCTTCAAGGTTCTAGTTATGGATGGGTTAGGGTGTGCTTTGAAGAACTCGTCTATTTCCTTAACCTTCTCAAATGAAGCAAACTGCAAGAGAAGATAACCAGAAAGGGGCAAAGAGGGAACAACAAGAAGGAAATTAAAAGGCAGTAGAAACCGTTGCTCTTGTAATTTCAGATTCTAAATTAAACTAACAAAAACCTCAGAAGACAAGAACAAAAGTTTCAAGAGAAAACGAACCGATGATACAATAGCGCTGACAAAGCGAGTAATTAGAAATCCAGAACCCCAGGTCTTTGAGATGTATTCCCAATTAGCCTGTATTTCGAAGCATCCAAAAGGCAAGCAAAATCAATCATAGCAACAAAGTGGGAAAGGAAGAAGAAGAAGGAAGGAAAAAAAAACATATATATATATATATATATATATGAAAAAATCGTATAAAGAAGCAGTAAAATCTTGTGCTTACCTTCAGCCACGTCCAAGCGGTTTCCCGCCCTTCACTACTAACAGCAAGTCCAATGACAGCATCCTGACTGCGAACCTACATAGATGAGTATTGAAATCAGTATCATCAAGCTTTGAGATAAAACTTTCAACCTCCAATTAAGAGATAAATAACATCTGACATACCTCAGGAGTCAACAAAAAGTTGAGAACTTCCAGCGTTATGTTGGGATCAGGACAAGATGCTAATGAACCTACAGGCACAGACACTTATATTACTGCTAGGATCTAACAGACTCAGATGTTCAGCATTATTTTACAAATTAATCATATTTACCTAGAATGCGGGTTTTCTCCTGGCTTAGATCAGTCTCTCTGTAAACTCTAAGAAGAGATTCATAGCCTGATCGGTTAGATGCGCTTGCTCTTTGCATTACAGCCACATATGCTGCCTGCAACAATATTCCATAATGAACATCAACCGCAAACTTAAAACGTTAAACACGAATGTGTAATTAATTATTTACATACCCTTCTTATGTCAGGAGGAAGGAGGGGTGTGTTTCTGTCATCCAAAAAGGCATGAAAACGCCTACTTGCTTCATCAATCGTCTGGTCATGTCCAAACACAGAAAGGGCAGTCAAAATGTCTCCTCTCAACATTGCATCTAAATGGCTCTCACCGGGTTTAGGCTGCCAACCGAGCTTCCTGTAAATATATATAAACATAAACAATAAACCTTTTAAAAAAAAATAAAGAAAAAGAAAAAAGCAAAGTTTGGCACTGGTTAAGCATTTTGCTCCTGCCCTAACTTCTTTGGCATCAGAAAAAAACTAGGCACTTCAGTAGTTAAAAAAGTTCAAGCTTACTCTGCAGAATACTGGAGAAGGCCGATAAAGAATTGATTGATGAGATCCAGTAGCTCGGGTACAGCATCAGCTGCAATTCTTGCCAACTTATAACTTATCTGTGAGAAGTGAGCACCAGAATCAGCCCAAGGCCATAAATACAGTAACATAAACACAATGCAGAGGTGATCATTACAGTTATCAAATTTGACAGCACTGTATAGTCAAGTTCCTCTCTGTAAGCACTCAACAAGGTAAGCAATGAAGCAAAGGACTGCTGGCGAGCCATAGAGAGGGCAAACGAATCATCCAAAATTCCTGTAAAAGGAAAAGATTGATGAAAACTACAAACTACAATTTTCACTATCAAAAAGATAAGCAAGTGCCTGTAGAAATAGATGATTACCAAATCTGTCAGTTGAAGACAAGTGTTTCTTTTCTATAGCATTTCTAAGTGCAGCTGCAAGTTCCTCCTCATATTTCACCCGGTAAAAACCAGTCTGATCCACATTGACTTTTATCCAACTGCATACTGCGTTGTTTTTATTGCTTGCGCTTCCACATCCAGTTGCTACTGAGCAACCCAGAAATTCCTTTATGTCAAGAGTTTCAGACTTTGATTGTAGTAGGAAACTCTTGCGTACATCATATGAGCCACAGCACAATGTTATTGGCACAATCCATTGCCCATCACCTTGGGAACCGCTTGAGTAGAATTGTGTCTGCCATTTATTAATTTACTTATTAGATCTTTGTTTGTTTCCTTGTACTATGGAATGAACATAAACTAACGAATTAACAGCTTATATATATATATTAGAGCTCAAGATGTTCTTTCAGAATTTCATTTGATAATCAAACAAGATTTTGAAGGAAGCAGACAAAAGGAAACCTGATCAAACTCCAATTTTTGATCTTTGACTTTGACAGATATAACCGGGTAACCCTTTTGCTTGGTCCATGAATTCATTAGCTTGTTCACAGGTTCACCAGATCCCTCCTCAAGAGCAGCCCACAAATCTTCTGTCTTTGCATTTGAGGAAGCATGCTTTTTTATATATGAAGCAAGTGACCTCTGGATGCATGAAAAAATAACATGCAATTAACTATGTGACTTTTATGATAAATGGGTTTAATAAAGAATAAGAACCAAAATTCAAGCAAAAAATATGAGACACAAAGCAAACATGTTCATCATATGAACAGTAGCACCTGATTTCTTAAACAATCATCATTTGAACAAAAACAGTTATCTTCCTTCATTAATTTTATAACTTAAGGCATACACAAATAAGACCATAGTCATTATGTTCAGTCTGGACCATACTAACGATGGATAGAAGGCTGGATATCAGCCCAACATTAGATTCGTGCTAAAAGACTATGACCAAGCAATTCGGCCAACAGAGTAGATATTTAGCTAACTTTCTCAAGATCCCTGTCCTCACAAAATTCCTGCATGCCTAGAAGCCTTGATTGTTTGGAAACTTCAATGTAATAAATGTAAAATTCTTATAAATAAGGTAGCTGTTTCATCTTCGAGGATAACCACCAACAAGCCAAAGGACCTACCTGGAAGACTTCAGCACCAAGATAGCTTTGTAGCATCCGAATAACAGAAGCACCTTTTTTGTAACTTATGGCATCAAATATTTCATCAACCTCGGCAGCATGATTAATCTCCACCTGGACAAAAAGAAAAATATTAAAGCATAATATACCACAAACACATATACCAATACCTTTTGAAAAAAATAATGCCCTGAAAAATATAGTGCTGAATGTTACTATTTAAAGCCTGTCATGCAGTTGATCAAGGTTCAATGCAGGGAAATAGCAAAATTTTGGATAAAAGAATTAAAACGAAACCCATGAAAGACTCTGTCCATGCACAAGTACCTCAATGGGGTGAGATTCTTCAAGCCCATCCAGCTTAAGACCAGCAGTGAGTTCATCAAGAAACTGAGTCCATATTTTCCATTCTGGAAACAAGCTATCAGTAGCTAAATAGCTCACCTGATAATGTCAAAATACTTACTTTAAGTCCAAAAGCATGTAAAATAACACGTAAAACAAACGAAATGAGATGATACCCATGTTGCAAATCCCTCATTGAGCCATAAATGTGTCCACCATTCCATCGTGACGAGATTTCCAAACCACTGGTGTGCCAGTTCATGTGCCACGACAGTTGCAACCTTTTACGAAACCAAATGAAATGATTAAACATATGTTTGGGTGCAAAAACAATAGCTACATATCTTATTGAACCAAAATAATTATGAAAGCTAGAGTGACATTCAGGATTTTCATTTTACCCTTTGCTTGTTAGCAGCTGCAGAATGCTGTTCATCAAAGAGCAAAGCTGTTTCTCGGTATGTAACTAAACCATAATTCTCCATGGCACCAGCAGAAAAATCAGGGATTGCAACCATATCCAATTTGGGCAAAGAGTATGGCACAGCAAAGTATCTGTAGAACTTTTCATCATTGATTTCATATTGAAAGCCAAATAATGCAGCATAAGCACAAAAGGGGGAAAAAACCTAGAGGCACTACTACTTATAGTCCACAACATGCACCAAGTGTAATTGCAAATTTGAATATGAATGAGTAGTAATGTATTGTGATTTTGTGATCCATAACATACTCTTTGTACAACTCAAGTGTCTTGACAGCAACATACAAAGCAAACTTCCCTTGGTTTGCCTTGCCAACTTGACAATACACCCGCACTTTGACCCCTGTGACGAGATGAAATGTTACACCATCGATAAAAGGGTTGTGCTGACATACACATGAAACGAGTGATATAGTGGAGGACTTTACCATCAGATGTATGATCTTCAACATAATCAAACAATCCAATAACAACGGCTACCAAATAGGTAGACATAATTGGTGATTCAAGATATGAAACTGTCTTCAGATTTCCATCCACTTTTTCTTCTAGAATCGACATGTTGGAAAGAGCTACTAATTCAGATGGAACACCATCCAATGTAATCTTGAATGTAGCCTGTCAATCAAACAGCCAATAAGAATAAATGGGTCCAAGTTATAAACTCTAGATTTCAACAATTTGACCAGAACTGAAAGATTGATGTCTCATCTATACTTAAACAAAATCACTTGATACTAATACAAATCAAGATCTTCAGTCAACTGTGTGTGTATATATATGAGAGAGAGAGAGAGAGAGAGCGACCTTCCAAGCAGGTTCATCCCAACAAGGAAAGCACCGCCTGGCATCAACCGGTTCAAACTGTGTAACTGCCATATTTTTCTTCTCGCCATTATGCTCATATGTACTGCACAGAATAAGTCAAATTTTAAACGTCTCTACACCATTGAGATATGATAATATTGAAAGAACAAAAGAAGATACACGGCTGTACAACAAATCCAGCATCCAAAGAATACCTCCTATAGAAGCCTTTCATATTGTCATTCAAAATTCCTTCAAACCCAATAGCCAAAACTCCAGGCCCAATCGGAAGAGTCTCCCCAAACTCCAAAACCAAAATCCCGTCTTCTTGGAATGCCTCAACTTTCGAAGGCTTGAAAACCTGCTCAGACATTCATTCACTCGTTCAGTTAAGATCAAACTATCTTTCGAAATTAAAATAACAGCAAAATCAAATAAACAAAGAAGAAGATAGTGATTTTCCAAATGTTCTTTCCTTGTCCTGATCTGAGCAGCCAAACAAGACATACTAAAGTTGACAATGTTACAAGCTTCATATCAACTGAAGTCCATTCACTTACTCATAGATCATGAACAGAGCATTTCAAAATCAACAAAAGCAATCAGAGATTGATTAATTCACTTGATATTTACTAATTGAAAAACGCATTTTTTTACAATTGTGTAAATCAAATGCATCGATCAGTTGTACCTTGGAAGAGTCTCCGTGAGTGAAGGACACGGAACCAGCATTGACGGAGAGCTCGGCGGCGTTGAGGACGATAAATTGGGTATCGGCAACGATATCGAGGTCGACGGAGACGGAGCCGCCGAATTTGCAAGTTGTAAGGTCCGGTTTGAGCCGTAATTCGTATCGTTTTGGGACGGCGAATTTCGGAAGGCGAGGTTGACCTTTGAACTGCTCCATATTTTGATATTTGCGAGCAGAGAGAGTTACAGATTTTTTTTTTTTTTTTTTTTTTTTTTTGTTTTTGTGGTCGACGAGTTCAGAGTTTAGAATTGAGAATTCGAAGAGTATGAAACTGACCGAGAGTCGGGGGTTATCAACTTATCACGACTATTTAACGTCTAACGTATGGTACTTTTTTTTTTTCTTTTTTTTATGTTTTTTTTTTTTTTTTTTTTTTTTTTTTTTCTTTTGGTTTCTTCCTGTTAAGGAAAGAATATGATATAACTAGTTTTATAAATTCTTTACACTGTTGATTTAAAACAAAAAAATCAAGAGGATTTGTACCCATTGTTTTGGTATTTTATTGTGGGGGTAAAATAATATAGGAAAACTTGTCCACTGAGCAATGTGATTCAAAGCTGTGACACTTGATTAAAATAGATTTTCCGTGAAATATTAAATACGTTAAATGTTTGTTCTAAGTATGTGTGTGAGTGCAAGTTGATAATTGATTATCAAAAGGAGGTTGTATTTGATATAAATCTGAGTGTTAAGTTATTTATATGTGAGTCACCGATTGATTTTTAAATGTCTTAATTTAAACTCCCAAATTATTCGAATTGTGAAAACGTTTTATTTTGTTGTAGACAAATCATTCTTAAATTTCAATTTCATATATTGTTGATATGATTTTGCCATCTACAACACCCTCTCTATCCTTTCACAAGGAAGGCAACTTTCTCCAAGACTTCCACGGCAAGAAATAAGGAGTACAAGGGAACTGAAGGATATATTCGTCGGATGGGATATGAATAAAGGAACCAGGGAAAGATTGACAAGCCTTCACATCCACAGTTCAAAGTTAGGTGCAAAGACGAGGGAATAATAATTATAAAATACCAAAAAATTAAGGTTCGTTCGAGGCATTTGATTCTCTTGCAGTTTCCAATCAAACTTCTCGTCCTTGGTGTTATTGGGGTTCCTTCCTTAGCTTATGGGGTTGGTTATATTTTATCATATTTTATATTTTATAGTTGATTAACATAGAATCATGGAATTTATGCGTGACTTAAGATGCTCACTCTTTTCAAAAAAAACAAAAAAAAAAAAAAAAAAAAAAAAAAAAAAAAAAAAGATGCTGCTCTTCAATTTTCAATCAAATTATTCATTATTATAATAGCCTATTCGTATTCGTTTCCGCGCCTGCGAGAGGTTTTTTTTAAAAAAAAATTATTTTATTTTAAAATTAAAAAAAATCATGGGTAGTTGTGTTTCATAAAAATATGATTCATTATTTGATTTTTCTTTTAATTTTAAATTTTTTTAATATGAAAAAGTGTGAATTTACCATATTATCCTCATTTAATCAATAATTTTAATTCTTAATGTTTGGATTAACCAATGACATTTTCTAATATTTTGAATGTTTCACCATTTTTTGCATTTTGCTTTATATATATAGATTACAATGCCAAATGAGCCCTAAGTTTAACATATTAGATATACAAAAAGTCTTGTTCCCCTCCAATTAAAAATAATTTATGTCACTGGTCAAAACACAGGGGAAGCATATATTAATATTTGTAACATAATTATATATTAATATTTTGTATCAAACTGGCATGCAATATCATTGATTATTGATATTGTTTTGGTAATTTTATTAACTTATTAACAAATTAGAACGAGACTTAAACTTACACAATTTAACATTTACCAAGCACATCATTGTAAATATAACACTAACATGTTTCCTTAAGGAATTATTTGGTTCGCGGAAAAGATTTGATGGGAAATGGAAGATTTCTTTCCTTTTCATGTGTAGTAATGTTAGGAAAATAACAAGGAAATACCACTTTATTTCCTTTCACATGTTTGGTTTACATAGGAATGTAAAACAAAGGTTGTTTAAATTTTCAATTATACCCATATGAAATCAAATAAAAAAATACAAATTTATAAATAAACCCAATCCTAGACATGTATTTATAAAAAAACCCAAGCACTATTTAAACATAGAAACACACCCAAAATCAACCCTAAAATCAACAATTGTATATTTTTTGGGTGTGTTTATAAATGAGTTTTGAGTGTGTGTAATGATGGGTTTTGGGTGTGTTTATAAAGTGTTTTGGGTGTTGGGTTTTTTTATAATTTCAACCCCCATTTTGGGTGTTTTAGTGAAACTCCCATAAAAAAAGATGCATTTAGTGTTATATTGTAATTCTAAATTATTAACATAGACAAAATGATCATGAAAAATTTGCATTTAATGTTGGTTCATTCTCCCAAACTTTTCTATAAAGAGGGAAAACAATACCCAATGAGGGAGGAGAGCTTTATTTCCCTCTACTTTCCAGTATGTCAATCAACCATTTATCATGTTTGGACTTTCCCGTAAATCAAATGGGGCCTAAATGTTTAGTTAACAAGCCAGAGGCTTGTAACTCAAATGGTTAAGAACATTTACCCTGCACGCAAGGTCCTACAATTCCCTCTTCCCCAATATCAATTGTTAAAATAATAATAATAAATAATAAATAGAAAATTAATAATAAAAATGCAGGCCCAGTTGCCTGATCAAAATTCTCAAAAGGCCCGAGAATATGAGCCCCAGTTATCACTTTCCCAGTGCTTTTGAAACAGCCCAATCTAGCCAAGAATATATATACCGGCCCATAACGTTTTTCATCTGGGTGTGAAATCGGACCTGCCACCTGTGACGGGATGGGGATCCTCACAGACTCACAGAACAAGAGAAGCCCCTCTTCTTCTTCAACATCACCCTGTGCTAATCTCAGAGCTGCTTACCACAATTGTTTCAGCAGGTCATCTCTCATTTTCTTTATATGTAGCTTTTCTATGTTCTTTGCAGACAAATCGTTTCCCTTATTCCCCGTAAACCCATCTTCAACCCTAATCTATTTCTCAATACCGTCAATCCATTTTTGGTTTTTCTGAGAAGGGTTTTGATATTACGTGCAGGTGGTATTCAGAGAAGTTTGTAAAGGGTCAATGGGACAAAGAAGAATGCGTTTCAGAATGGCAGAAATACAAAGCTTGCCTCTCTGTAAGTTTTCGATAAAAACCATCTCCCGAGTCTTCATTGAAATCATCAATACTTGCTCAATTCGTTTGTTGGGTTTTTTTTTGTTCTTGTTCTGGGCAGCAACATTTGGAAGATAAACAGTTGAGTCGCTTCTTGGAGGCTGAAGGGCCTGTGAGCTCCACCATTGAAGTTTCTTCCTCCAGAACAACCAAAACCGATGGCGCTCCTCCTGGTTCTTCTCAGTAGTTTTTGCTTTCGTTTATGTTAGAACTTGCTGTGTTCAAAGAGCAAATTGTTTGACGTCTAGATTGTACTTTTGCTGAGCTAGTTAATCAACACGATGATATCATTTGAAGGGTTCCTGCGTTTACAATCTCAAGAGGAACATTATTGAACAACAAAGATACAATTCATTTCCATTGACATTGCTGCTTTTACAATCTCAAGAAGGAACATTATTTGAACAACAAAAATACATTTGATTTCCATCGGCGTTGCCTCGTAGCGAAACAGGCTTTCATTACTTCATTTCTTCTTGAATAGGAAATGAGCAACCATCCACTCTTCTCCATTGTTATACCCAAAGAGTTCTGCAACGGAAATGAAGAATGTTCTCCAATATACGGTCCACTTCACAGCCGAATCCTTTCCATAAGTTGACTCCATAATTGGTTTTATGGAAGCCATATTCTGGTCCATTCTCTTAAGCCACTCTTCACTGCAAAACAAAAGGGTTTTCAGCTTTCTCTTAGTATTTGAGGCATCCCAAAGTAAAAGAGTTGAGGTTTACCTTGTCTGTGCATAGTGTTTCCCATTAACAAGCCAATGATTGACAATGGAAACGTCATCCTGCAAAAAAAAATAATCACCAAGAAGCCATTAACAAGTGATTTGGATGACCTCTGAATCTCCTCCTTACTTAATAATGCTACAAGATTATCAAGCCTCAAGTAGTAAGACTGTTAGCAAGCAAACGATCGAATTCGAAGTTTGACAGTGGGAAAGTAATGTGAGGGGATCACCTGAAAATAAAGTAGTAGATTTGCTGAAGGCATTGTGCCCCCACTGAAGAAATACCTAGTAATCCAGTCATCTTCACTATTGTCCTGCATCAGAAAAAAGGCAGGAAAAAAAGTTATGCACTTAACGTGGATGATGTGCCACTAAGCAAAATGAAATCTTCCTCCGGTTTCACCTCAAAATGGTAAGCAAATGCTTTGTGGCAGAAATGATGAACAAACAGAAGGCCATCCTGTTTCATCCACCTGGAAATCTTCTTCAGAAGATCCTTGTAGTTCTTCATATGCTGTCAAATGCAAAAACCAATTCTTCAACAAAATCAACAATGTAACATCATGCCTACAACATCACATAGCATGAAAAGGGCTTTACCTCGAACATTTCGATCGAAAATATTCGGTCATAGGATGCTTCCATCTCAAATGTGCTGATATCTGCGACTATGATCTCTACATTCTGCAGCTGAAGATTCCTACAAATTGGCAACAAAACTCACTTGAATCAAAGCACATAGTCTATCAACTCATAATCTGGTTAACATTAACATATAATGTTACGCACCGGCATTGCTCTTCTATGAAAGCCTTTTGTGTTGTTGAATTGCAAATCCCTGTAACCTTACAGTTGCTATATTTCTGTGCAATGTACAAAGACAAAGATCCCCAGCCACACCCAACATCAAGAACAGCGTGACCATCTTTTATCTGTGACCTTTCACAGTAAAGCTCCAGCATTGCCTTCTCAGCTTCCTCCAGGGTGCTTGACCCATCAGTGAAGTAACAACAACTGCAATATTAGCCCATATTTACCAAAATTAGACCAACTCCCAAAAATAATGGAACAAAAAAGCAAAAAAAAGAAAGAAAAACACCCTAAAAGTACCTGTATTTGAGATTTTTTCCAAGCACTATTTTGAAAAAAGATGTGGGCACTTCATAATGTTGAGCTTTCGGGTCATCAGTCTTTATGGCTATGGGCATCTCCTTCAGAGCTGTATTAACAGAAATAATACCTTAAACTCCAATTAACTACTATTCAAACTATCATTTGAGAGTACAGAGGAGAGGAGGGGTTAGTTTACACTGTACGAACTGGAGGAGGTCAGAGAGTTGGAGCTCAGAGGTAGGCTTGTAACCGGATCGAAGACGACTTGCTAAGAGCAGGCGGGTCAGCCTCCGTACAACCGCATCCGGTAGCAAATTTCGCTCCAGCGAAGATAGCGCGAACCGGACCGTAGCATCGTACGGTGCTTGCATTATCCGGTTCATTCTCGCTTCGTTTCTTCCAGCTCCGCCCACTCTCTGGCTACTGGAATGGACTAAATTAGCTGTCCATGTAGTACCTCATACCAACCGTCGACGTGGACCCCAGCAGAGGCACGCACAAAAACAGGTAAACAAATAAAAATTAAAAAAGAAGAAAGAAAAAAGAATAAAAAGTGTGCAATGACGATTATGACCCTGTGAAGCTGCTATGAGTTGACACAGCCACGATTCAAACCTACTCCACTTTCGAGTACACTAGAGACAAAACATTCATCTTCCTTTCGCCTTTAACATTTGTCACGTTAACGTTTTCCCGGAAAATTTTAACGCGATTTCCGAGGAGATACCTAAACCAACCAGACGCTTCTCTTCAGCAAGGCATCTCTATGGAGTTCAGAGACTGAGACTAAAGCGAGGTTGGTTCATGTTAGTATTGTAAATTTGGTGATATTTCATTGGTTTTCTTTTTGAGCATTTCTGATTTGGTGTATCAGTTTAATTTTGATTATGATTATGTGCTAAGTAGCTATTTTCGTTTTGTTTTTGTTGTTTGATCCAAAAGAATCTCTAAGATATCAGAGACAAGCTGGATTGCTTACAAGTTCCCATGGTCGCTTTGGTTGGTGATTATGTTATCAGATTGTTTTTTATGCAAAGATAAAGATGATGTTGCGCAAAACTGAGTCTGTGAGCAACAGCAGTGCTGGGAATTCCAACCATGGTCAATTGCTGCGTGACATTGAGGAAATAAGCAAAGCCCTTTACTTGCATAAACCCCCTCCAAAGGTTTTGCTTTCCCCTTCTAATGCACGATCCAAATCTGCTGGAAAAACCCGTTTTCCGGAATCCAAATCAAATTTGAATTCAAACCCAAGATTACTCAGGGAGGATTTGTTGCATAAGGACAAGAAATCATCTTCAGTGTGGAACTGGAAGAAACCCTTAAAGGCTCTCACTCATATTGGGAATCGGAAATTCGGTTGTTGTTTTTACCTTCATGTCCATTCAATTGAAGGGTTGCCAGAAAATTTCAACAATCTTAGTGTATGTGTGCATTGGAAGAGAAAGGATGAGGTGGTAGAGACTCGATCTTCGAGGGTAGTAGAGGGCGTAGCTGAATTTGATGAAACTGTGATGCACAAGTGTTCTGTGTATGGAAGTAGAAATGGCCCTAACCATTCGGTTAAGTATGAGGAGAAGCTTTTCTTGATCTACGTTTCTGTGAGTGGGGCACCAGGGCTTGATATTGGGAAGCATTGGGTGGATCTTACGAGACTGTTACCACTTACTTTTGAGGAGTTAGAAGGGGAAAAGAGTTATGGTAAGTGGACAACAAGCTTTAACCTTTCAGGCAAAGCTAAAGGTGCTAGTTTAAATGTTAGTTTGGGGTTTTTGGTGACGCGTGATAAGTCAGTTGATGTGAGCGTTAATCCTAATGTTCCTGAGCTTATAAACACGGAGCAGAGAAGGTCAAGTTCTTTGGATAGTGGAGCAACGATGCTTCGGCGAGTTGGGAGTGTGCCAAGTAGTGTAAACCCCAGGCCTGCCTTCTCATCTCAGTCTCTTGATTTGAAGGTCTGTCGAGAAGTATTACTGACGGGAGGGTTGGAGCTCTCGAAGTCAATTAATTTTTTATGTCAGGCACTTGATGAGGCGAACTTGAGTAGTGCGACGGAGTCAGATGCGGAACATGTGTCGCCACTCAAACCTAAGCCTGATCTGGACCTTTTGGCTGCTGAAAAAAATGAAGAATATGAGGATGATGACACTGAATTTAACATTGTAGAAGTGGGGACAGAAATGTCTGAACAGTTGAAATCTGATCAAGTTCCTGGTCATGCTAATGATGAGTCTGCTGTTGAAATGATCTATGTTGATGAGATCATTAAGGATTATAACGTAGACCTCGATGAGAAGACTATGGTTATTGCAAAGGATGCCTGTGATAGTTATGTGGAAGAGGTTGCGATGGATGACAGCAAACATGAAAAGGATAGCATATGCACCGAAGGATCAACCATGGAAAAAATGGATTCTGCTTCTCATTTTCAGTTCATTTCAGAATCAGCAGATTTGGATCTTCCATTTGTTTCAGGAGAGTTTTTTGGGGAAAAAAAACACATGGAGCTTAAGTCGACTTACAAAGCAAGTAAAACAGGTAAAAAGTCACTTAGCTTGGATGATGTTAATGAATCTGTCTCAAATGATTTCTTAAGCATCCTGGGGATGGACTGTTGCATGAGTTCTGATAGTGATGCCGAGTCTCCTAGAGAACGTCTCTTAAGAGAGTTTGAGAAAGATACTCTGGCTTCAGGAAACTTATTTTTCAATTCTGATTGGGACAAAGAACAGCCTGAAATTGGATCCTCTGTTTCACCAGGTTCTGATTTTGGAGATTGTTTTGAGAATTCTGATTTGTCTTTGATAATCCAAGCTGCTGAAGAGGAGCACAAGAGAGCAAGTGAGGTATTAAAGAGAAGGAAGGCAAAAATTCTTGAAGGCTTGGAGACTGAAGCTTTGATGCGAGAATGGGGATTAAATGAAAAAGACTTTCAGAATTCTCCCCGTATCTGCTCCGGTGGATTTGGTAGTCCAATTGAGCTCCCCCTTGAAGAGCCACTCCTACCTCCGCTTGAAGAAGGCTTTGGTCCTTATGTTCGGATGAAGGGTGGAGGCTTTTTGCAGTCAATGAATCCTTCACTTTTCAAAAATGCTAAAAATGGTGCGAACCTGGTCATTCAAATTTCTAATCCAGTTGTCATACCACCAAAATTGGGTTATGATGTTATGGAGATAATGCAGCATCTGGCATTAGTTGGAATTGATAAACTGCGGGAGTGGGTTAATCAATTAATGCCGTTGGAAGATATTACTGGGAAGACAATACAACAAGTTGCATGGGAGGCAGCACCAAACACAGTGGTGTCTGAGAGGTTTGTCAGCACAATAATTACATTGATTTTTGAAGTAGTGATTTCAAATAGTTTTCTACTTGTTGGCTTACTTGTCGTTTTTGTTTCAGGTTTGAGCAGATTTTATATGGTGGGAGGCAGGATGAAGGATTTCCATCTAGTTGGAGTTGTAATAACCTGAGATCAGAATTGGGAGGTAGTGAGATGGGATCAGAGTCTGTATCTCTAGAATATCTCGCTCCTTTTGCTATGGCGAAAATTGAAGCCCTCTCACTAGAAGGGTTAAAAATACAGTCCCATGTGTCAAATGGAGAGACACCTTCAAATGTATTTCCTCAGTCTGGTGGGAAAATGCCAGCCTTCGGAGGGAAGAGTGCCAATCATGGCGAGGTTCTCAGGTCAGGAGGAGTTGGAGGGTTGCAACTATGCGATTTTGGAGACTTTGATGATGACGTTGATGAATTAATGGCTCTATCTCTATCACTGGAAGAGTGGTTGAGGCTAGATGCTAAAATCATTGGTGATGAAGATTACAGCAGAGAACAAATATTGAAAATCCTTGCTGCCCATCATGCCAAGTGCTCAGATTTGGTCGGTGGAAGGTTGACACGAGAGATACACTGCAATGATTTATCTGGTAGCAAGTGTGGACTTTTGGGGAACAACCTCACAATTGCTCTCACGGTGCAGCTTAGAGATCCCTTTCGAAACTATGAACCTGTGGGCGTGCCAATGCTTGCTCTAATCCAAGTGGAGAGATTTTTAGCCCCTTTAATGCCAAAAGTGTCTAATGAGCTGTTAAACAGTAGCAAGGAGAACGAACACGATGAGCCATTGTTTGAGGATATTGGTGACAAGAAAGAAAGGGAGACAAATGAAGGAGATGAAGGAGGCAATCCTCAGTTTAAAATCATTGACGTTCATCTTGCAGGAGTGGATGCTGCTCCTGGCAACAGGCAGCTTTGGGGTACCACAACACAGCTGCAGTCCGGGTCGCGATGGTTGCTCGGCAGTGGCATGGGTAAGCCCATTAGTTTTCCACTTTCGAGCTCAACTGCCATTGTAAGAGCATCCCCACTTGTTTCAGCAAAGCAGCGTAGAGATGCTTTATGGAGCATTTCCTCTCATTCTCAAGGAGCAGGAGGAGCTACCTGGAAGGATTCAATAGCTCCTCATATTCGAAATCCCAACGTCATATTTCCAAAGGAAACCATCAAACCACACGTAAACATGTAGTAGTTAGCTCTTCCTTCGTAGCATATATTCTTTTGTTTGTAGAGTGAATAGAGAGGTGAAGGCTTGTTATTGCCTTTTCTTTTCATGTTACCCAAGCTAGTATCATACACATCTGGCCAGACCAAGTGGCCAATTTTGCGTACAGGTTTTCTTTGAATGATAGAATCTGTTGTGTTACACTTCAGACGAATGAAACAGATTCATATGCATTGATGATTTAAAGCAGAAGCTTCTGGCTTTCTTTTGTAAACCATAAGAAGAAAGTTTATTATTTATTGAATAAATTCAATTCCTGATAATTTTATTAAGAAATCTTTTTTTTTGGTTGGTTAGGGCAGTCGCTTTGTTCACATCAGTTTGTGAACAAAATTTGGAAAAAAACTTTTGGTGTCTCAAGTATTATTGAAAATCATGTTACAAGGGAAGCCAAAAATGCTTCATAACACAAAATTAGAGGCTCAGATGGTTATGAATGCCCTCATACGTTGTAATTACAAACCTTCGATCATCTCTATCTCTTTCTACTCTCTTTTTCACAGGGCAGCCTTCAACTGAACACTTGTAGTAATTCCTGCAACCAAACATAACATGCTCATATCAGATCAAACATGTCTAAAATCACATCTATATTCGATCAATCTTGCTTTATTTTTACTTTGTTTTTTACCTTGGATTTGGGCTGTTCTTCACCATCTTTTTACCATACTTCCTCCACTTGAAACCATCATCCAATATTTCAACCTCTGATTTTGTTTTGAATGCAACTCTTTCTCTAACTTCCTGCCTCTCCCGTACGCTGCCGCTTTCATTCTCTTCTGCTAACACAAACACAACCAAATGGCTCGAGCATGAGATGAGAGATAGAGATTATAGAACAGAAAGAAGAATTAACAAGTAGTTTTATTTTATATGCTTACTGCTATTAGACCCTCCAAGTTGGCTGCTACTTCCACGAGACTCATCAACTTCATTTGCTTGATAGCCCGAATTCTGGACGGTCTCCAAAGCCATGGAAGTCGGATGATCTTCATCTAGCCACTCACCAATCATCAAGTACTCGGAAAACTCGAAATTGGACTGGTCGGAAAAGTCATTCTCAGGTGACTCTTGTGCTCTAAAGTTGTTGCTGTTAGACATCAATTTAGCTACTAAAAATGTGGTGAATGCCTTTTAACACATAACTTTGTGACCAAACTGCATGTTGATATCACGCATATATCATCGTCTCCATGGCTCAGAAGGAGGCTTCATCGTGACCTTCCTAAGCAATGATGGGAAGCTTCAATGCTGATGCTAAGTTGGAGTGCCACATAGACATCTGAACATATAAATTAGGCCAAAACCAAGTCCGGAGACAGAGAGAGAGAGAGAGAGACAGAGAGAGAGAGTATAATAGTACAGTAGTGGGGCATGGCAAAGGATGACTTGAGGGAAGACTTAAATTTGATTTGTGCGACTTAACTTGAGGGTCTCGTGCTTAGACCAGCGCCCATTCACCTTCACATTTGAGAAAATAATTCAAGTCAATTGTGATGACGAGTTGAGGCGTGATATGCTGGTTCTGGTACCACATAATCTTATATATGCAGTACTGCAGCAGCTGAGCTCATAAATTTTGACATTTCATGTTACATTTGTTACAGCTGTTTGTTTGTGTCCTGTCCACACGTTGGTTGCTCTTCAATACAACTTACTAGCACATGCTAGGCCCGTAAAGGAAGTGTTTTTATAGAAAGCACTTTACTTTTGCTCATTAGTGTTTTGGCTTTTATTCGAAGCAAAACACAAGAAGTGAATTTTTCTAAAATGGGATTTCATTAAAAATCAGCCATGAGATGGGTTTTTCCTTTTTCTTTTTTCTTTTTTCTTTGAGTCAAAGTTACCTATCAGTCTGATTTGAGCATTTTCCCCTTACAAACGTCTCAAGCCAAGTCATTGAGACCCATCGTTCAATTTCAATCAATCCGTCAACAACAAGAATTAATCAAAAAGCTGATAATCCTTTCAAATTAGGATCAGGACAGCTGACAGGCCTTACGAAACGATTAAACCAAAGGAAGTTTGTTGGTAACTTCCAGTGCCGTTGTTAAAGGGTCCACTCATTAACACAGATTTCCAAGGTCGAGCAAACCAACCCTTTCTGCCTTCCCATCGGTTTCATTTCAGTCTTTGGAATCTTATCATGTCAAGATCAAGTTCGGCAGCTAAGCAATACCGTTGAAATACAAATTTTTCATACAATTTAGTGGGAGCTGTACGAAGGAACAAAAAAGGGTGTCAAGGGTGAATTTGTCTCCTTGTATCGAAGTTTGACACCTTATTATACGTTAGACTAATTTTACTTTTGTTGATACAATCGATATTAAAAGAGGTGAATTTATTATAGGATAAGTGTAACGATAAATATTCTGAACCACTGTAAGAGCATCTCCAAATTTTAGTCCCGTATTACATTTTATTCTTTATTTTTAAATCACCCGCTACATTAGGGCAGTTTGAACCCAACAAACGACTAGGTAGGTACCCTACGACCAAAAAAATAAACGAATAGGTACCCAACGACGTCGTTCGCTGGAAAATATATATGCCCCTTTCTGTGTTTACTGTGCTCTTACCGTGAGGCCATGGCGCGTCGAAAGCACAGAGCGACCCCGCCGTCTGCAGCCGCCGAGAAATCGGATAACCGGCGTCACTTAAGCATGGAGAGGTCGGCTTACTTCGCTAGGAGAGAGGCGGCGAAGGTATTGAAGCTCGTTCTCCAAGGAGACGCCAAGCGCCAGTCCGTCGGCTCCATTAAGACGCTCGTTTACGGTCCCTCAGTGAGGAACAAGAAAGGCACGTTTGCTTTGATCTGTCAAACCCTAAAGTGTAAGTTCACGACCCTCGCCAAGTTCAGAAATGCACACGTTTTCATAGCTTCGGTTCTGTTTGGCCGCAGAGAAAATTGATTTTCTGCTTTTATCTGCTTTCAGATCTTTTGATAATCCAAGACGTGTTGAAGGCCGCCGACGTATTGAATAGCAAGTGGAAGGTAGAAGAAGAACACGTTCTCTTTTATCCATGGAAATTAGAAATTCATTTATTGTTTATTTATGTATTTGTTTATTAGTTTGGCTAGCATTTTAAGCACTGAAATGGTTACTTGTGGTATTGCAGAAGCAAGACGAGTTAGTATACATAGTCACCTATGATATTCTTTTTGGCCAGGTAATGTCTTTTAGGCTGTCTTTTATACAGCATGAGCTTTTGTGCTACTAATTTCATGCCGTGGTTGTAATTTTTTATACGAACTGTGAATTTGAAATCTATAGGTGAGTTCATCAGCGGTCGGGGATGCGGAGAAGTTTCTCATGCGTCGCAAAGAGGCTCTGCAGGCAGCTCTAGCGCGGCTTTTAGTGAAGAAAAAAGTGAAGAGTGTGGAAGAGTTTATAGCTCTTTATGATATACCTGGTGTGTATGTGTGTGTTTGGCTTCACATTGTTATTTTTACATTCATCTTGTTGAGCCTACTCTTCAGTTGTAGGACTACCAGAGTGAAACTGATGGAAATAAATTATGTTGATTTGCAAATTTGTATTTTGTAAAATACCAATGGGGATTATGGTATTGGGCAATGGAATACTGATTTGTTGGGTTGCCATGTACCTAAAAGTTTAAACTGTTAGTATGCGGACCAAAAATTAGGAAATTAGTTTTTGTTCTAACCCTAATTTCTGTTGCAGATATTTCAAATCCTCGTTATGTTCGTGTAAATACTCTGAAAATGGATGTTGAGACTGCCGTCCTTGAATTACAGAAGCAATTCAAGGTATTTCAGGAACTTTTATGGTTGAATTTTTTTGTTAGAATGTGATTATGTTCTAAAGTATTTTGTTTGTTACACATTAGAAGTAATCTTATGATTGAGTTTTTCATGTGCTAGTCTTCTGTAGTTTAATCATTGTGTTACTGAGACACTTTTTCTCTTTTGGTTTTCTTACATATAGGTTCAAAAGGATGACCTGGTTCCTGACTTGTTGGTTCTTCCACCGGGTAGTGATCTCCATGATCATCATCTAATAAAGAATGGAAATGTCTTTATGCAAGTAAGAATTTCGATAATCTTTTGCAAGAGTAGTTTTCTTATAAAATTTTCAACCAACCCTGGTGTCGTCTGATTCTTATTTGTTGAGGCACAACACTGATGGTTCTGTGCCATTGAAAAATTTGTGTCTTAGCTGTGATAGAAATTTCTCATTCATTTGTTGATCATTTTATTACATAGGGAAAGGCAAGCTCTATGGTGGCAGCAGCCCTTGCTCCAAAACCAGAATGGGAGGTTGGTAAAGTTTGTACATCACTAATTACTGTGCACTCTGGTTGCTGTCAGCAATTTTTTTCTTATGTTTCTAGCTAGGATTGGGGTTGAGAATTCGAGATTGATACAACAGTTTTATTCCTACTAAAGCTGATTTTCCTTGAAGGTTCTCGATGCATGCTCAGCTCCTGGAAACAAAACTGTACACCTTGCAGCTCTTATGAGAGGAAAGGGAAAGGTCATAGCATGTGAGCTGAATGAAGAAAGGGTTAAACGTTTAAAAGAGACTATCAGACTCTCTGGTGCTTCTAGTATCCTTCTGCCTATATTATTTGTTTATTTTCATTTTACTCTCTTATTTCTTGTTGGAAGTAGTGGAATTACAGAAATCTTATTGTTGCATGAGATTTCCCATTTCTATGACTTGAGTAATATGAAATATGATACTTCCTCATGTTTGCTGTTGCCTTATCAACTTAATATAATATGACATTTGACTTAACCTGGACGGTAGATATTAAGGTTGTGCATGGAGATTTCTTAGACTTAAACCCTGAAGATCCTCCATATTCCAAGGTAAGATATAAATTAACTTCCAATCCTCTGTCACTTTTCTCCTCTTAGTTGCAATTACATGTTTCCAAACATCGCCCATGCATGCTTACAACCAAATTCAATTTTACAGGTGCGCGCCATTCTCTTAGATCCTTCCTGCTCTGGATCTGGGACTGCTTCTGCAAGATTAGATCATTTGCTCCCATCTTCTGCTCCAGGTAACTTCTACGGTTAGATAGCTCCTTAAGTCTGTAATTGCTTGAAATTCACCCTATTGAAATATAATGACATAGTCTGCACCATCTGAGAGTGTTTATACGCCTCTGGCAGAAGTTTGGGACAGAAGTCTCATCCAATAATGAGAAAGGAAGTTTATTCAGTGTAAAAGTCTAAGTTCCTTTTGTTTTTGCAGATTAGTTTAATTCTTTGTTTTCTAAAATACATAGGTCAAGCTGCTGATTTTACCAGCACAGAAAGACTGAACAAGCTTGCGGCCTTCCAGAGAAAAGCTCTAGCTCACGCTTTATCTTGTAAGTTTGTTTCTCTATCAGATGTTGCCTGATGGTTTTTATTTTCCATTAATTCCAAAGACTCAACAATCCAGTTGTTGATAATCTGCGAGTATTTCAATGATATCAATGGATGTGTGTACCACTTTTGCCAGTTCCGGATGTTGAGAGAGTTGTTTACAGCACATGCTCTGTCAACCAAGTTGAAAATGAAGATGTTGTTAAATCTGTTCTACCACTTGCTGCATCCAATGGTTTTCAACTGGAAACTCCCTTCCCAGAATGGCACCGCCGTGGTCTCCCGGTTGTCGAGAGCGGTTAGTAAAATTTTAAACTTTCACAAATATGTTAATAAAAATGATCAGATATTCACATTTCATTGTTTTCTTGGCTCGCAGCTGAATGCTTGCTTCGGACTGATCCCAAGGAGGACAAAGAAGGCTTCTTCATTGCTCTGTTTGTCAGGAGGAGCTCTGGGAATCAGTCAGAGAAACCTAACGCCGACGGACACACTCACAGAGCTTCGACGGCAAAGAGAAGTTATGTGGGAGCTCATCTCAATCTGTTTAAAATGTTTGCACATGCGCATTTGAGTCGGCGTAATTGTAGTCATTGCGATTGTTGTTAAACGGTCTGCCCTCAATTTTAAAAGTTTTATTTTGTTAATTAAGCACCATTTTAGGTCCTTAGATGCGTGTTTTCATATTTTGTAACTAAAATGCCACACAAAATTTAAAAATAGAAAAAAGAAAAAACAGAGAAATATTACAACCATATGGTTCATTGATAAAAACCGCACTTCACAACTGATCAGAAAATGCAAAAGCTTAGCACACCAGAACACAAACAAACAAGAAAATGAAACACATCCGGATTAATACCAAAAGGCCTTAAAACCTACCCATTCCCTTATCATAAGCTATAAGCATAATGAAGCTCATAAACCCAAATCTCAGAGAAAACTCCTCAAGCAATCTTGACCTCAATGGTCTTGGGCTTCTTTGGCTCAGGCGGAGGCAGCTTCTCCACAGTCACAGTCAGGACCCCATCTTGGCAAACAGCAGAAATGGCTTCCACATTGGCATTCTCAGGCAGCACAAACTTCCTCATAAACTTGCCGACCCTCCTCTCCATCCTGACATACTTAGCCCCCTCCTTCTCCTCCTCCCTCTTCCTCTCGCCGGAGATCAGAAGCACATTATCGTCCTCCACCTGGACCTTAATGTCTCCGGACTTGAGGCCTGGCATGTCCACGACGAAGACATAGGAGTTGGGATACTCCTTGACGTCCGCCGGCGTGGAGGCCATGGCCTTGGCGTCGCGGACGTAGGTGCGGGTGGGGGCGTTGAACGATTTTTCAGGCTCGTCGTTGAAGTCCATGATGTGCTGCAGTGTGGAGAAGAGTGGCGAATCCAATCCCGCGATTCTCACGTCCATATTTCTCTTTCTGCTGGCTGGAATTCTCGCTTTGAATTTGTGCTTGCTTAGTGCTTTGTTTGAACTCTGAAGGTGTCTCTGAATTTTTGTTGCTGTGATGGAGAAGAAGAGCGGGGGTTGTGGTAATTTATAGAGGGGATAAATTGAGGAACCAGGTGCTTAGCGGCGAGAGGAAATGGAAGGTTCTGGAGACACGTGGAATGAAGTAAGGGGTTCCAGTAGGTTCGCTTGCTTATTCTGTGTGCGTCTAGAACGTTGTGGAAGGTTTAGTAGAGTCGGGGTCACGTTGGTCATTACGGTAAACGTATTTTTGGTCAATTTTTTTATAACTACAAAATTTAGAATTTCTAAGAGTAATAGAATTATATTTTTATTTTTATTTTTATTCATGCATCCTCCAACCCCAATTCTTCTCCACCACCACCCAGTAGCTCCCTCCCGACCCTCTGCGTAAACTCTACTTTATACCTCTCCCGCTGTTCCCCTCCCCCGAATCCAACAAAATTTGATGTAGGTTGTTGAAGAATTGAGTAATCAAAAGACAGATATGTATACTCTTCTTCGGTGGGTGGAGAGAGAGAGATAGAGAGAGAGAGAGAGAGAGTATGACATTGCAGGGGGGCGGGGCATGGCACTGCGACATTGGAGTTGGAAGGAATTAGTGAGGTTAGGTTTTTTATTTTTTTTAATTATTTGTTTAATAACATAACTATTGTATGTTCTAACATATTTAAATTTTATTGTTATAGGGAATTAACCGAAATGTCATTAAACTTAATTGAAAATTTAAGGAAGTTAGATATAGATGATACATTGCAACACTATATAAAATTTAAGTGATAATCACACACAAGGCTAAAATTTAGGTGGTAATCACACACAGGATAAAATTTTCATATGATATTTATGTAAATTTCTCATAAAATAAACTATTTATAACCGCATTTGTTTACTTTTTCCCCAAATTAACTAGTTAAAAAATTAATGTATTACTTTCCTTTAATCTAATTGTGTTCAAATGTATGGGTGAATTATAAACTGTTGTAATAGCTAATAGATATAGGTATAAGTTATAACCACCATTATTGATCAACGTATTTACATATATGTATTTCAAAAGGAAGGGACATCCACATTCACTCATTAAGACACAAAAAAAAAAAAAAAAAAAAAAAAAAAAAAAAAGATTACGTACAAAATGTGCACCATGCATTAACTACAACCTTCCACTCTTCTTATTCAAACAATAAGCAAAACAAAAGAGACGGAGACCAAAGCATACGATAATTACACATAACGGAACCCCAAACAGAGAAATATGCATGCACGCAGCTTTATTTACATATACATAGTACATGTACCATACAGATCTTCAGTTACTGCCCCACAAAATTCATGCACGCCCATCAGAGCCCCGCCCGCCTTGCCCTCCATGCCCGTCTCCTTGCCCTTTCCTGTCTTGGCCCCCACCTTGTCCACCTTGACTGCCATGTTGGCCCCCTTGCCCTCCACCTTGGCCTCCCTGCCCGCCGCCTTGATCACCTCCATGTCCTCCTTCGCCGCCCTGACCACCGCCTTGGCCGATTTGTTTGCCCTGACCGCTGCTTATTTGGACCTGAATAGTCTTGGGCTTCTTAGGCTCAGGCGGCGGCTTCTTCGCCAGAGTCACAGTCAACACCCCGTCCTGACACTCGGCAGAGATCTTCTCAATATCAGCATTTTCAGGCAGCACAAACTTCTTGAGGTACTTGCCAAGCCTCCTCTCCATCCTTAAATACTTAATCCCCTGATCCCTCTCCTTTTCTCTCCTCCTCTCCCCGCTCACCACCAGCACGTTGTCGTCCTCAACTTGAACGTTGACCATATCCGGCTTCAGCCCAGGCACGTCCACCACAAAAATATAGGCGTTTTGAGTCTCCTTGATGTCGGCTGGCGTGGCAGCCATGGCCTTGGCCTCGCGCACGTACTGGCGCGAAGGCGCATGGTGGCTCGACTGGTTCTGCTCGTCGGAGAAGTCCAGTAGGTCGTGCAGAGTCTCGAGCAGGTTTGGCTCGAACCCCATGTTTCTCAGGCTCACCTCCATACTCATGATATTATATATCAAAATGAAAAGAAAAGCTTGGATCAATATATGAGATTTTCTTTGGTTTTATATAGCTGGGTTGAACTTGAAGTGAGGAAAATGTGAAGCGGTGTAGTTTTGGTTGTACATCTCTCAGGGTAGTCTAGTTGTCAACTTGTCATTGTTCTTGGAGTGACAGATAGGCGCGCAAGTTTTGGAGTTATGTAATTGCTTGCTAATGACAGAGACAATCTTTGGTTTAGGTATTGACAAGTGTCTGTAGATTTGGAAGAAATGGGAGGAGGTGTGAGGGTGACGCCAGATCTCTAGCTCTGCTTTTTGTGAAGTGATGAGAGCAGAGCAGGGATCGGTGTTTTTTGTCTGTAAGCCTGCTACGTGGTTGCTCAGACGGAGGTTTGGGATCCGCGTGGCCATGCCATCGCCTAAAACAAAATGCATGAGCTGAGGATGTGGCAAGCCTACAGAGTCTCCAAAGTTTATTATAGTAATTATAATTTTGGTTACTCGGATTAAGATCGAATTAACTTTCAATTTTTCAATTTTAATAGTCACATCAACATCAATTGGGATTCCAATGCACGTGCTGCGTGCGTGCAGGGGCAATATTGCCATTTCACCCCAACCCATCTCTCTCTCCTTTTCTCTGCAACTTTTCAACCCAGCGAGAAACAGAGTTTGAGCTTAGAGGAGGGGAATCGGAGAAAATACAAGACGTTTTTGTTTTTGTTTGAGGTGAAAATAAATGCTTTATCTCAACTGCATGTGCGTAATAATCAGACGAGCTCAGATTTCAAATCCGGCGACAGGGTGGGTCTTCGTGGATCCGGCGACGAGGCCAACTTTTTCCTGTGTAATTTATTTGAGCGATTCGATTGCTTTTGTGGTTGTTTGGATATTAGGAGATGGTAAGGAAGTGATGCAAGGCTTTGGAGAAGTGCGATGAAATGATAAACAAGCTGGGTTTGTTCTCAAGAAAAACCCACAAAAGTTTTCAGTACCCTACAAAAATCTATCTCACGATACAAAAATCAAAAGAAAAAGACAAACAGACAAACAACACAAACAAACTTCGAATTTTTTCAAAGTTGATACACACATGTTCTTCCCCAAAAGAAAAACCCAACACCAATGACATCAAGTTTCATTCTACTCTGAGTCACTGACTGAAATGACGAATGATTTTCAAGCAACATTGACGTGGATGGTCTTGGGCCTCTTGGGCTCCGGCGGAGGCAGCTTCTCCACCCTCACAGTGAGAACCCCATCTTTAGCCACCGCCGAAATCGCATCCAAATTGGCATTCTCCGGCAGCACAAACTTCCTCATGAACTTCCCAATCCTCCTCTCCATCCTCACGTACTTCACCCCACTCTCCTTGATCTCTTCCTCCCGCCTTCGCTTCCCGCTCAGCACCAAAACGTTGTCGTTCTCCACCTGCACTTTAATTTGTCCCGCCTCGATTCCCGGCATGTCCACCACGAACACGTACGCGTTCGGGTACTCCACCACGTCCGCCGGCGTCGCCGCCATCGCTTTTGCGTCTCGGACGTACGCCCGAGACGGGTGGTTGTTGTTTCGGGGCTTTTCGGGCTCTTGCTCTGCCAAGTCTAGCATGTCTTCCAAGACCGCGAAGAAATTGCCCGCGTTTCTCAAATCCATGTTGAACGCAAATTGTTTGAGAGACTCAGATATATGAGGCAGCAGACAATCAACTAGTATGGAAAATGAAGGATGAGAGTGGCGCATTTATAAAGGGGTTGAGGAAATAACGAGAGAAAGTGAGAGATTTCTAGAGCCTACAAAGAAAAGCTGCAGTTGTCTCTATATATCCAGAATAGTGAAGAAGGTTCTACTGCAAAATTAATCCTTTTCTAATTTAACAAAATCCAAGGAAAAATAATTTAAATTTCCTGTTTTCTCTTTGGGAGGAATTTGAACTTGAATGTAAGAGGTGAGGGCAAGGCGGGACTCACTGCGTTTCCCTTTGATTTTTAAAAGGAAAAAAGTCACTTTTAGTTCCTGTAATTTGCCACTTTTATCACTTTGGTCCCTGTCGTTTTAATTTAATTAATTTTGTCCCTGTAGTTTTCAATTTAAACAATTTTAGAACAAATTCCAATTTCTGCTAAAATAGAGTAACTACCGTTAGTTGTTGAGGGGCATTTCAGTCCAAAGACAAAGAATGGAAAAAAAATTAAAAAAAACAAAGAAAATGAGGTGTTCAGCTGAAACCATGGGAAGTTGTTGGTTGAGGCAGGAAGGCGGAGATGGTGGCCTAGGAACGAGACGCAGGCGCGAAACCCAGGCGATCTGGGAAAAGAGGGAGAAGGCAGCGAAAGGGAGGCGTTCGAGCACAAGAACGATCGAAAGGTTAGGTTCTCAATTTGAATCCATTTTAACTGGAGCGAGACCCAAATGCCGATGATTGATCTCAACGAAGAGGAAGGCGGCGAGGGCTGCGAGCGAGAAGAGGTGAAAGTGGCAAGGAAGAAGGAGCTGAAGAAGAAGGCGATCTGGGACAGACCCAGATGCCCAAGTTCACGACCTTCTGGTCCTAGAACACTGGTTGGTTGGCCCATTTCAAGGCCTTGGAGGTGCAATTTCTTCTTTTAATTTATGTTGTTTTTTATTTGATTGTTTTGATTGAATGATATGTATTTATCTATCAAAGTGGCTAAAGTTTACGTTGCATGAGTTCTTGGGTAATGAGTATTGCCATAAGCTATCTGTTGACGCGGAAAAATAGTTTGGTAACCTTCCCGATCAACTTCGTGATGTTGGGCCTTCGGTATGCTCTAGGCCTCGGTAGAGCACGTGATCTGCATGATAACAAACGCTCGGTAAGACCTAGGGTACCGGATGGTACCGGCCGAAAGCGCTCCATTGCTTAAGTAAGTACGAATTTAGTAAAGTTGAACTGACAGATCAACAGATAGTAAGCCGTAAGCTCTAATTACCTCCATTTTGGGGAATTGTGCTTCTTTTATAAACCTTGGGAGGTGTGCAAACTGTGTAGAATTTCGATGTGGGACTGTGGACATTCACTGTGGATATGCCAAGTGTCCAGTGAGCATTTGTGACTTCAATCTGAGATCGGGATGCCGGGTGTCGAGGGCTCCCCTACCGATGACGCATATTGTCCACGTGTTTAGCTCTTATTGGCTGCAGATTTGGGTATAAACACTACCAATGTTGAAATCATCAAGATTGCTGCTCTATCCTACAAGAAGTCTTTGCTTAAAAAACAGATTGCCTTGGGTGAGATTTTGTTAAGATGGCTAAAGAATTGGAATCTATTTCCTACCTGGAAAGCTTTCATATTTAGCATCAGACAATTGATCAGAAAGGTCTAGAAGGACCACCTCACAGTTGATGTTCATGACACAAACGAACACTGCCAGGAGGTTGAGGTGGATGGGGAGAACCGAGAGGTGTTGAGAGATCTAGAGGTTGAGGTGGATGGGGAGAACCAAGAGGTGTTGAGAGATCTAGAAGGACCACCTCCGCCATTGTTGAAGACTGAGTCGTCGGGATGCAGCTAAGGCTAGGCAGTTGACCACCTCTTTTTGTTTATTATTTTTTTTTTTACATCCTTTGTTTTTGGACTGAAATGCCCCTCAATAACTAACTACAGATACTCTATTTTGACAGAAATTGGAATTTGTCCTTAAATTGCTTAAATTGAAAACTACAGGGACAAAATTGATCAAATTGAAACGACATGGACCAAAGTAATAAAAGTGGCAAACTACATGGACCAAAAGTGACTTTTTGCTTTTTTAAAACAAATAAAAACGAGCAACAAAAACATAGCACATATACACATAAGCTTAAAATTCAACTATTTCTCTTCATATAATGAGATAGTACCAGAATTTACAGGAAAAAAAATATATATATATATATATATTGCCACAAAATTGAGAAAACAATCTACATATTCAAAGGTCGTCATTGTCCTCGTAGTCTACATAGAGTGAAGCATCTATTTCTTTCGGCTTGATATATCCATACTTTCTCAGAAGCCAGATGATCGCCCTTATCACATTTCCGATAAACACAGTCCCCATCAGGGCCATCCATATGATCACAGAAACTTGGGTCACATGATACAGATAATTTCTGTTCTGCCCTGGCGTCATGAATATCAGTCCAATGAAATACGTCCCTGTTAGCGCAGTGATTGCGATCCACATGGTCACCATCTGCAGCCACATCCACCGCCGCCGCTTCAGCGGCAATCCGCTCACAAGTAGGAGAATTATGCTCAGAGATGAAAGGAAAGCAATGGTGCAGAAGATCATGAACTGTCCATATTGGATAGGCTCTGTGTAGGCCATCACTGACTGCCCAGCCTTGTGTGGACGCTCCACCGGGTTGCCATTGGAGTCTGTCAAATAGTCGTCCTGCCAAACTCCACCGGGTGGTGATATGCCAGACTGAAATGCCACTGTAGCGATTAGGGAAGACACAACCATCAATGAGCTTCGTTTCCTGCCCAACCAATCAATATGCTGCTGCTTCTTAACCATCATACTCATTTTCTTTGACATCAGTGGTTGCATTGAAACCGAGTTCGATGATTGCAATGTATCCAGTTCCAGATGATATATAATGGCTGCGTTCTTGTTCATTCTTTGAGCTCCAGCTCTTTGGAGGGACTCTTTGATTCCCAAGTCTCGTAAATCTCTGGAACTATGAGATAAGACGTCCAATGCAGTGAACCCATTTGCATTTTGGGCACTTACGTCGATCTTCGTATAAGTGAGCAAATAAGTTATAACCTGCACAAAAATTGACACCTTTTCTTCTCAAAACAAGGGAATGAAATTTCTAGTAAGCAATGCATCATAATAAAACAAATCATAAATTGGAATTGAAATGAAACTATAACAAATTTCTAGTAAGCATTGCAGCTGATCACATTTGAGGCAAAAATGCTTGAAAGGGTAAGACAATAACAACATAAATGTGACCTGGGGAGATTGTTTTTCTTCACTGTTTAAATTTGTTAACAATCAATTGAGCTACCTACAGCTATGTAACATTTATACAGCTCTGTTCATGCCCATGAAATGACTAATTTAGAATTCACAAAAGACTAAATCTTTCCACAAAAAGGTAAAGACTTTGCGTACCTCTAATTGTTTCTTGGCCACAGCCACATGTAAGACTGTGTTGCCATCACCATCTCTCCAATTCACAAACTCATCGTCTCTCCCAATACATTCCACCAAAACCTTCAACACCTCCAACCTGTGATGCTTTACACACAAGTGGAACCCACTCTCGCCTCCGTGAGTCAACACCCGAATCACCTCCGGTCTGACTCGGGCCAACTCAGCCACCACCGCAACTCTGCCCTTGATCACACCCAGATGCAGGGGAGTCAACCCATCGCGATCCCAGACCAAACACAGATCTGGGTTGACCAGCGCCAAATGCTTCACTATTTCCACGGACCCTTTTGCCGCCGCCAGGTGAAGCGGCGAAGAGCCGTGGGAATTCAACTCGGCGGCGAGTTCGGGCCTCCGACTCAGTAATTCTTTGGCAAAAGCAGAGTGACCCAGAAGGGAGGCGATGTGCAAGGGCGTGTCTGAGAGAGATGGGTTGGTTTTGTTGAGGATTTGAGGGTCTTCTGTGAGTAGTTCTAGGAGAGCAGGTACAGAGCCTCGCATGGCTGCTTGCTGCAACTCTCTTTCCATGGTTTTCTCTCTGTGTTTTGCCTCTTCTTCTTTCTGGTCGTCCAATAATCTAAGCAGCTTCATTTTTTTCCTCCGTGATGTTTGCGTACGAAAGATAACGGAAAAAAAGACGGACACAGCGACAGATGACCTGAAATTGACAGACCCCGTCAGTTGACGATGCCAGAGAGGGGATGTCAATGGTCCGAAAAATGTTTTTCATACATTTTTCGTAATTTTTTATTTTCATAGGCCCTCCTTCCTTCCAGGTCCTCCAAATTTGACCTCGTTTGAGTCAACACAACACAGGTAGAGCAATGGCTTTCATCTAGAAACTTTTTCTTTGCTGGGTCCCATTGTAGGTAGGACGGGTATTCTATTCACATTAATATGATATTTTAAGTTCGAGTGAAAAGTGTGACAAATAAAATAATGTAAGTTTTGCACAAGAGATGAAATATCATCACTAAGGCCAACAAAAAGTTGCTGGGTGGGGAAACGCCAACTTGGAAACAACATATTCAAGGAAATTGTAACTCGAATGATTATAAGACACATTTATTCATCATAAGTATCTAAAATTAATTATACTACAAATGCACTTAAACTGATGAAAGATTAGAAATAATGTGAGTTTGCCTTAGCCAATTGTGATGTGGTCATAGTTAGTTTCCTTTGTCGGGGCCTATGGGCCTATGGCTAAGTAGTAGAAATGATCAAGTGTGGATACTTCCATTAAATGAGAATAATACTATTTTGCTATCTCTAAATAATAACATTATGACACGCGTGATAACTTTTCTACATATCATAGCATTATTGAGTGATATTCTTATTGCACTCAAATTTTTCCGAGTGGGAGACAAGTTGGGTAAGAAATTGCAGCCTTGGGCCAAACCCAACACATGGGTTATCTGAAAAGCAATGTGCTTTGTGATGTGATTTGGGCCAAAAAAAGGAAGCCTGGAGCTCCGGCAATAAGTGGAGATTATGGTTAGTAAGATAAAAAAATAAGGGAGGTGGTTTTCCCTCTTTCCTTTTATCCACTTACACTCCCTTTTATCTTTTAATACTTTTGAATTAATATTGTTCTTTTTTATTTTTTATCTTTCCTATTCTACCCTTACTCTTTATTAAGGTTTTGATAACTGAAATTAAGAAAAGTTAACAAAAATAAAACAAAAAATATAAAAAATCTGAAAAATGAATAGAAATGTGAGTATTTGTACGCCAAATTCTTAGTTTTTTAAAAACCAAGTATGTGAGTACTATTTATATTTGTTGTAGTTAACAAATAATAAATTTTTTGGGCTAACATATAAATATGGTAGAAGAACCAAAGAATGCTTGTACCAAACTGTCATTAGGAGTTTAGATATGCAAAGAGCAAGGTATGCACAATATTGTTAGATTTTTATTCTTTCATAATATTAGTAAGTGATTGTACAGGTTTATTAAAAAGAATTATAGGGTAAAGTTAGAACAGTGAAGAGAAAGAACAAAAAAGAAAAAAATTAATTAAAAAATATTAAAAAGCAAAAAGAAATGTAAGTGAAAAAAATGAGACGGGGAAAATCAGCTCCCAAAGATAATATGCGAATTTACTAATTAAGGTGGCTATGTAAAGAAGTGGGGTCAAATCAATAAATATTAAAGGGAAAAGGTCAGCATGTTAAGAATTTCGTATCTGAAGATAGAAACGAAAAATAAAACTCCTATATTTATTTGTCCAAAAAATGATTTAAATATAGGATATCGAACCTAGTTTTCATTGAAGCTTTGATGGATCCACGACCGCAAGCCCACAGTTCAACCCATATTTGTTAAAAGTGGATCACCCAAAACACAGTCAGCAGCGGCTCCAACCAAACCCTAACCCGGTTAATATCTTGGAGAGTCCTCAAAATGATAACCGACACGTGTCCGCTTTTATCGATCCGAAAAACCCTCGCTACACTCCATAAATCCTGTCCTCTCTGTCTCGCCTTCAAAGCCCTCTCTTTCACCCTCTCTCTCCTCAATCCTTCTGCTCAATCCACTTCGCTTTCTGTGAGACTCTCCACTCTCTCTTACTTTAGATTTTCGCAGCTGGGTGGTTCGTTCCATCTCCGCCGTTGCTTTTGCAGAGATGAAGTTTTGAAGATGATGATGAGCCCTGATGATCTTCCTCAGCTGGTAAGAACCATCACTACTGATTGGGGTTTTTACATGAAGAAATGTTCCACCCATTTATGGTGATCCACGTACGGTCCCTAATCTGGTTGCGCAAGAGGAAAAAAACCAGCACCCAACAAAACCCTTATCCCAATTAGTCCAATAGCTCTCAAAGTTCTTAACTTTTAACTTTTTCTTTGGTGTCAAAGAAAGTCTTAGTAATAGTCCACTTGTAAAGTTCCGAGATTGCATTTTTACTTCATTTCCCATCCTGTATTTCTTTTTTGCTTTGCTATTTGTTATTGGGTTGAGACTTTTTTTTTAGCTCAGCTAAGTAGAACTAGCTAGTTGTATACAAAAATTTGTTCTAATAGTTAGTTTGGTAAAGGGGGATTTTGGATCTTTAATTAATTCTAAAGGTGGCGAAGATGAGCTTGAGGGCGGCCGAAAAAGATTCGGCTTCAGAAATTCATATCCCAGCCGATATAGATTGGCATATGCTTGACAAGTCCAAGTTTTTCTTTTTGGGTGCTGCTTTGTTTTCTGGTGTTTCAGCTGCTCTTTATCCGATTGTGGTCTTAAAAACCCGTCAACAAGTTTCACCCACTCAAATTTCTTGCCTGAAGATGTCTTGTGCTATGATGCGCCATGAAGGTCCTAGAGGGTTTTACAGAGGTTTTGGTACCTCTCTCATGGGAACCATTCCTGCTAGAGCACTTTACATGACAGCGCTTGAAGTTACCAAGAGTAATGTTGGGACTGTAACTGTTAGATTAGGCTTTTCAGATACTACAGCGATGGCTATAGCTAATGCTGCTGCAGGGTTGAGCTCAGCCATGGCTGCCCAATTAGTTTGGACCCCAATTGATGTTGTGAGCCAGAGACTTATGGTTCAGGGCTGCAGCACCAGCAGCAAAAACATCCTCCCCAATGTGAGTTCCTATAAGTATAGCAATGGTCTTGATGCTTTCAGGAAAATTGTACATGCAGATGGGCTGAGAGGATTGTATAGGGGATTTGGGATATCAACACTGACTTATGCACCGTCGAATGCGGTTTGGTGGGCTTCGTACTCTGTTGCACATAGGCTCATTTGGGGTGGTTTTGGTTGCTATATGTGTAAGAAAGATGAGAGTGGCTCAGCCAATAGGCCTGATTGCAGGGCAATGCTGGCAGTGCAGGGGTTGAGCGCAGCCATGGCTAGTGGGGTTTCTGCTTTGATCACCATGCCACTGGATACCGTCAAGACCCGGCTGCAAGTTTTGGATGCGGAAGAAAATGGGCGAAGAAGACCACTGACCATAATGCAGACTGTGAGGAATTTGGTGAGGGAAGGTGGGCTTGCTGCTTGTTACAGAGGGCTAGGGCCTAGGTGGGCTTCAATGTCAATGTCTGCTACAACCATGGTCACTACTTATGAGTTTCTCAAGCGGATGTCGACTAAGAGCCAAGGGAGCTACCCTTCTTGACTTGAGCAGTCAAATGGAGAGAACACAGAAAGAAGTGGGGTTTGATTCCATTTCTTGCAAATTGTTTTTACCTTTGGCAATACTGCACTGCCTACTTGCCACTATATGGAATATTGTAAATATGTATAGTGTAGTTTTCTTCTATATTTCCTCTCCTTTTTCCCCAAAAATTTATGTATCTTGCCTCTTCCTCTTTCATCTATGTTGTGCAAGTAATTCAATTTTCCATGGTTTGACTTGACTATGTGTCTATGTAGGGGATAAATAGAGACTTCTTAACATATTAAAAGGATAATATTCATATAGATCATTGCCCCCAAATAAATTAGATTTGTGATTTTCTCACATCAGGCAGATGATGAACAAGAGATTGGGAAATAAGTGAAATTTATTATGCTTAAAAGCCTGAGTTTTGGATTATAGGCTTGGCGAAATATATATTCGGATCTCTGTCATATTGATATAAGGAATCTGTTGATGCAAGACATTTGATACATTGTCTTGTGTAAAATGCTAATTTTATGGCAAGCCCACTCGCCATCCAGAAATAAAAATATAGAAATCTTGTGCACAACTTGATGAGTGGGGTGGGTGGGTTTTGTTGCACTATTTCTGTCTCTCTCTCTACATTATTCATGAATGGTGCCAATCATTAGACTCAAATAAATAAATCTTTCCCCAAAAACCCAACAATTGGCTTGGCATGGCACCCATCTGTTTAGATTATGCATTGAATTCATTGCTTTATAGTTAGTTGCTGGCAAATTGTCCAAGCAATGAACACATGGACTTAAGGCGATGGAAGCTTTTATGTGACTGAGCATCTCAATCTGGATTAGAAGTAATACAAAAATTAGATTAGTTTAACTTTCTGTCAATGGTGGTGTGCGGTGGAAGAATCTGAAGACCAGTGAAACGTGCATGAAAGACAGCATATAATGCGTGTGTAAGAACGAGGGGCTTTTGTTTTTGTTTTTTCCTGTATTGTGGAACCAAAACTCGAAACTCGAAACTCGAAAGGGCAGCAAAAACCAAAACCAGGGGCTAACCTGAATGCAACGCGGTGCAAATATCTAATTCTATGGATCATCAAATCTTAGCCACTAGTTATTATAAATTTCTATGGACCATCAGATGCAAACCCACTAGAAAGAAACAGTGGGCCTCACATGCTCTGTCTCCTCTTTCTTTCTCTCTCTACCCTCTCAGCTTATCCTCAATGCGTGACATGTCTGAGACTAACTGCAAAAGTCCCAATCAAGAAGGACCATTTTATAAAAACCAAGATCCCATTAGGCATTACACTGTAACTAACTCTCAATTGGGCGGCCGTTAAAGTGAGCATGAACGACAAAGATCATACGACCCAAGATCATGCATAGGCACTAAAAATACCAACGCCTCTTGCTAGTTAGGTCTCACGGTTTCGGGTTGCTCTATAATCTACCCATACCATACCAGATGAACATGTCACAAAAAGTTTGTTTCTATGCAAACCAGAAAAGAGAAAAACGGTTTGTTCTATGTGTATATCGCCTCTTACAACAATCCAGTCATGTGTTTGGCACATGATCATTCGTTGCCATCAGAATAATTCAATTTCTTGACACGTGATCACTTATTGCGAAAGGATAGTATACATGGAGGAGTAAAATTACCCGCCAATCTATTTTTGACCATCTATCGGGTTCATAAGCTCAGTCACTGAAATTTTTTCAACGGAGGAACCCATTGGTGTCAGCAAACAAATTTAATTCCAACTTCAAAAACCACACACCCATAAAGAAGTCTAGGCCGAAATAAGACAGAAGATGTCAAATGATCGATAAAAGTTGAGAAATGGGCTCTTAATTTTATAAACACTAAACACATCATGCATATAGATAACAAATCCCACACTGACGAGACGAGGGGAAAATGATTTCCAATCTCAATTTAAACATCCTGGAAGATGATATCTAAAATAAATAGCAGACTTGCAACCTACACAACATCCGAGATTAAATCTCCTAAAACTACAGGCAAGAGACCAACTGACAACCTGACCTACGAGACAATTAGCAGTCAACCACCCTAATACATAAGATGTCAACTTCCTCAGAAACCATTAAGGCCGGGCTCTTTTGTTGGTGCAAGATGGGCATTTGTACTGCTTAATATGCTCAGCCCTAGCTGGGGTGATCTTAACGCACTTCCCATGGAACCACTTCTCACAGATGTCGCAGCAAATCCAGAATTCGTCAGATGCGTAGTTCTCTCCACAAGCCCCACATAGTGTCTCACCATGCTCGTCCTCATCGTCATCTTCCAGACCCTCCTCGTCCTCGTCCTTTGATTGCACTGCCTTTGTATACCTGGGATGAGGCTCAGAACCACGCTGCATTTGCCAACACAATAAGTTACAAGGTGGCCAGGTTGTTCAGCAAACCAAAAACTAATAATGTATTCATCTTTTACTCTCATGTTGGCATGAAATCACAATATTTCTAGACATTTCACAGTTTATATTTTGAATTGTAGATACGTAAAGAAGAATGCAAAGTTTCCACGTTTGCACAGTTATCCCATGCCAAAAGACAACTTAAAGATTCTAGCACAACAATTTGAAATTGAAAATAGCAACTAAATTATGAGATTCAGAAACTAGCAATCCAAGTTTTTCCGAACCTTAGAGTTTGATTTAGATCTGTTGCTGCCATGATTTGAATTTGATGACTTCTCCTTCACTTGTTTCTTAACTGTCCCTGTCACAACCTCGAATATTGTTGGAAGTTCATTTATCATATTAAAAAGGCGTTTCCTGCAAAGCAGATACCAACAGCATAATGGTAAGTGAACATGAAGAACCTAAATACAAAAGAAATGCAAGACAAAACCAGAAAAGAGCACAAAAAAATAAATTTTGAGTTGTAGTTAGCAGACTCCAAGCAACCAAATGAAGGCTACGGTACCTAACTAGAACATTATCGAAAGGAATACAAAAAATGACCCTCCCTATTCCTTTTTCATTACAACAAAACTAAGCCTCCTCTTTAATTGGTGTAATGCATCAAAAATTTAAATAAGAAAAGCTAAAAGTCAAACAGCTTCAACTAAATTCCCAGAAAGATGTCAAAAAACGTAACCTGACTATATCATGAGCACCTTCTTCATTTTCCCAAAGAAGAACAGACCCAACCGCTTAAAACAGCTGTGAACAGTAGGCTACAATTTATCAACTTTACTAGTGCTCAATCAAAAACTTATATTTGTAATATTAGGCCATTGTAGTTTTCCTGAAAAGAAGAATACACAGCAAACAAACATATGCATGCGAGCACACATACATGTAACATTGCAATGTAATAGCACATAATGAAATCAACCTAGAGACGAGTACTATTAAACTAAGAGTAGGTTCCAGCAAACTAGAATATAAGGACGATGATTAAACAAAACACTAGCCTGACCTAAAAACTAAGTGATGACTCACCTCTGAACTAAAAGATCTGAACCCATTAGAATCATACAGAGTCAAACCACACGTTAATATTGTACAAATAGCCATACCTATCAGCCTTATCAAATCCGAACCTAGCACCAAAATAAAATGCCACTGCAAGTAACCATGCATCACTGTGGACAGCAACCAAAGATAACCAATCCTTTTCTTGCATTCCATCTCTTGCAAAGTTAATACCAAGTGCTGGCTCCGGAAGCTCTGGAGGAACCTCCTCAGCAGGTAAATTAACTTCCCACTGCTCGGTTGGAAATCCATAAAGGCAAAGATTCTCCTTCTCTGTCATGAAGGATGTTTAAGGTACTATTGCATGCTCTATGAAAATTAAGGAAGCAATGAAGGTATGACAGAGAAGCACACGTAGGATCAACCATTATGGAAGCATTAAACTGTTGCATTCACATAGATTTTTCACCAAAACAAAGTATGAAACTTGGTTCATAATTTCCTTTTTAAGATATTCAAACAACTTACTTTAAAAGCAAGCCAAAGTAATTCAACTTAAATTCTGAAACTTTAATAAGATATATAAACACAAATTAAATTCATTATTATTAATTTTTAAATTATAAAAATACTTACTAAATTTGCACCCACCCAAGTTGATAATGCATCTTTGAAAAAGAAAAGTGATTTCTTCACATATTCTTCCAAGGTACTCAATAAGAAATTTGGTATTATCTTAGCAATATTTTCAACTACTACAAGAGGTCAAACATAGGCTTACGTGTGGTACATGCTCCCAATCCCAACTGAAAATAAGTAGAATGCATTAATCGGAAACTCTAACAACCACTGCATCTCTAAGCATAACCTAAAGCAATGCCAATGTATGCAAATTATCAACAACGAGAAAGGGCAGACCTTTAAGCCTGGAAGCTTCTACTTCCATAAATATTTTTAAAAAAATGAAAATTAATTGCAAACAAAGATACAATTGACTAAAAGTAGAAAATTGTTAGATAAAAATATAAATTAAAATTAGATTAATTATAGGTTTTCTTTTCATGAATTACTTTAAACAAATTTTTTTTTAAAAACATCTCTTTCACACACGTGTTGGTTTTTTTTTATAGTTTTTTTTTAATTTTTATTTATTTTTAAGTACCAGAAATGATTGAATAAAAACCCTTATTCAGTATTGATTAGAAAAAAAACACATTCTGTCAATAACTAAACAGCGCCCGCACCAAAATTAACCACTGCCCAAAAAAAACTGAAGGAGAAATCCATTACCAGGGTCACACTGCTGAAAAAAGTCTTCGACCTCTGCAAACACCAAAAAGGAAAAATCACATCGAATTTCCAAAGCTTTTACGGAGAGTAGAAAGTTGACTAGAAGCGGAAAAGATAAAATATACCGGTGGTGAGAGCTTTAATCATGGCGGCTCTTCGACCTTTGAAGTCTCTGAAGACCTCCTCAACCGTACGCGGGTTGTACAGAGCACCCGCATCCATGTCTTCTTCACAATTACAGAGACACAGAAAAAAGCGAAAGACTGGAAGAAAATACCAAAAAAATGGAGGGAAAGGTTGGAAAATATTTGACCTCTGACTCTGATGAGTGAGAGAGAAGGTGTTTTGTGTGTGGGCGTGTGTGAGAGACAGAGAGAGATGGTGCGGATTTAAATCGGAAGGAAATGGATTACTAAAGTGGATTTGATAAAAGAGCGAAGAGTCCGTGAGGATGATGAGATGAGACTGGCCCAACTATTTGTAAAGCCGAAAAGCCCTAAACACGATTAGTTCTCAAATTAAGACCTTGCCACGCTGGCAGTGGCAGTGGTTAAGTACTGTTCTTCTGATTACGATGGTAGTGGGCCCGGGTTCTGAGTTCGACGAGTTCTCCAGGAGTGGGCTGTGGGCCTACAATGGCAGACAGTGATGTGGACTTTTGGGTTAATTGTCGATTTCTTTGGGAGAAATAATTCGTAACTTCCCAACTTTACCCGTGGCTGCACTGAAAAATTACAATGGAAAAAAAAAAACCAATGAAGACGTGACATCTTCAATCTTTCGACGAAAAAAATATTATGTACATGTCCATTAGTAGTGCTGCTTACGCATTATAGCAAAATAAAATAATATGAAGACAGAGAAGATCATCGTGTAAGAAAGCTGAATGTGGCCAAACCATTTCAATTGACAATTTGCACCAGATGAATGCCAAAATCCAAAGCTTCTTCCCTGACTGAAGAACACAAGGAGTCTGAAACCCAGAAAATTTGGTTATGTTCAAGATTCCAGGAAACTTACTCGAGCTTCGTGATCATGTTGAAGGAAATGATCAGGCATGCCATATAGAAGCATGGCAAATCTATGTTCTTGATCATCAAGAATTTTCACTTCTTCATGACTCCATTCTATTCATCTTAATCACTTGCCTATTAGAACTTGGATCACTGCTTATATCAAGTACCCTCTTTTCTAGCACACTTCTGTAACTATCTACATCAACCACTGTGCATCTGTTACACATATCCTCAAATATCCTCTCAGCCTCAAGGACCATCCCTTTTGCACACAGCTTCTTGACCAAAATTGAAAAGCTCTCCAAACTAATAATATGATTATTATCCAATGCTCCACAGAAAGCCTGTATTGCCATGTTCACATTGCCATCCTCACAATAACCCATAATTACACAACTGTAGAGGACAGTATCAAGCTTGTGGCCGTTCCGAAGCATGTCACCAACAAGCTCTTCAACCTCCCTCATTCTACCTCTCATATTACAAAGACTACATATCACTGTGTTATATGAAAAGAAATTTGGAGAGCAGCCCATTTGGTGCATCTTCTTTAGAAGAATAATGGCTCTTTCAAGGTCCCCGTTTTCGACAAGAACCTTGAGCAGTCTGTTAAAGCTTGAAACACTTGGCTTTAGGCCTCTCATCCTCATTTCCCTCAAAATGGACATCGCTCCATCCGGTTTTCTCATCTTACAGTACTCATTAAAAACGACTCCATATGCTTCCACATCCGGTTTCATCCCAAGATTCACTATATCTTGAAGATGCTTAACAGCTTCGTCAGCCTTTCCAACAATGCAAAGCCCTTTCAATATGGCCGTATGTGTAGCTATATTGTCCTTCACACCATTTAACCTCATCCTTGTCAACATCCTCTTTGCCTCACTAACATGACCACTCAAACAGAAACCATGAATCAACGCGTTGTAAGTAAACAGATTAGGCTCACAACCCTGCTTCTCCATTTCTTTCATACACTCCATTGCCTCCTCCAACTCACCTTTCTTACAATACCCATCAATCAAAGTTGTATACGTTACCGTATCAGGCAAACAATGCTCACTCTCCCTCATCTGACCAAAAACTCTCCTCGCACTATCAAAATCACCCTTTAGACAAAACCCATGAATCATAGTGTTGTAAGTAATCAAATTTGGCTCGCAAGTCATTTCATCAAACACCTTCTTGGCATTCTCAATTTCACCCCTTTTGCAAAACCCTCTAATCATTATTGTACAAGTCCATACATTCGGATTTACCAGAGCTTCCTTAACAATCTGATCATAAATTGCCTTAGCTAAATTCATTCTATTAGCCCTAACCAGCACACCCAGAATCGCATTATAAGAAAACAAGCACCGCCCATTCTCAATCGACTTCGCCTTGTAAAACCAATCTATGGCGGCTCTGATATCGCCGCAGCGGCCATGAGTTGTGATGAACCTACCAAGCATAAAATCATAGAGTCTATTGGATTCTTGAAGGAGTGAGGAGGCAGTGGAGAAGAGGGAGTGGGAGAGAAGAAGCTCAGTGATGGCCAAGTAGCAGTTGTGGGTGTGAGAATAGTTGTTGGGATTAGGATCAGGGTTTGAGGACCATTTGAAGAAGAAGAGGGCATGGTAAGGATTGGGCTGAGATTTGATGACTTGGATAACTAGGCTTGGGTTCAGGTGAGGTGAGAATTGGTTAAGGGGGGCTGAGCTGAGGTTTGAGGGGTTAGGGTTTTGTGGATCTAGGGTTTGCAGAAGGGAGGTTATGCAGGTCAACAGAGAGAGATTTGTAGAGGGGTGAGATGGGTTGGTTAGGGTTCTAACTGGCGTAGCCATTGATTTTCCAAAGAGCCTTCCTCCAGAGGAAGAAGATAGTGACATTGTCTCTAATTGGAGGGAACATATTTCACTTCTGGCACTAATACTTAAGCAAACAGAATTGATTTTGCACAAGCACTTTTAATTTACATAACAACTACTTGGTGTTGTTAAATGAAACTAATTGGTATACAAGCACTTTCAAACATAAATTGGACGATAAAAGTTAATCTCACTTTCATAAATTTAAGTAAAGTAGGCGACTGATTCTAACACATGTCATACAAGATAACTAATACAATTAGAAAATATAATTTTTAGCATTACTCATATTTAAGAGAAATGATATATATTACATTTTCCCCACTTTATTTACATCATGATTCTTGTGACTTGATTTGTAGAGGTGTGAGATGAGCTGCAATTGTCAAACTACAAAATGATCACCATGTTTTCGGGGGACAAGAGCCACTTGGCGGCTGGAGTACTGTTGTGGCGCGAACAGCTTTCGGAGCAATGGGAAGTAAATGGTTAGACCAGGCCATGAGGTGAAGCTGAACTCTTTCCATCTGGTCAATGGCCGAGGCAAGAGTTTCTTTAATTTCTGTGTGATCACAACAGTGTATGAGCCCCGCAGAGCTAACATGTGATGGCATCAAGCTCTTGCCCTCTAACCTAGACATCACAAGCTGGCGGCCACTTGCGTATGCTTCCTCATGAAGGCTGCCAAGCCCACAACGATCAGCAGCTGAACCTTTTGTCACTGAGTGAATGCAAATCAGTCCCTGCACTTGTTTTTAAAGCATAACAAAATGGAAGTTTAGTGTATCAGTCTGTCAAAGTAGTGGTATGCTGCATTTTTCTGGTAAGTTTTTCTGAACAAAAGTGCATGCAGGATTCTAACCTCGTCAGTGCGTTTGATGTCCAATCCGAACCGCACTTCACCAGGTTGAGGTATCAAGTCAACTAGCATTTCTGCAGCTCCAGGCATGAACCAGAGTCTAATGCCTTGCACTATTTGGACTGTTGTTGTTGTTGTTGTGTAATTTTGTTGCCTACCCCAACTCATATCCTTTCCTATCAAATTATTCTTCTCCTTCAACAAAAAAGAAAACAAAATCGAATTAAAACGGAGAATAAAATGGTTACTAACTAGCAATTCAAGATGACTAAAAAGAAAGATTGATACCGACGACACGATCTGTTCTGTTTGAATATTAACAAAAACAAGAGGAACCCCTGAAGCAACTGCTGCAGAAAACCAAGCCATGCACCTGGCTGTTGTGGCCTCAGTGCATTTCTCGCCTGGCAGTGGCATGAACAAAATGGAGCTAACAATTGTGCAACGTTGGTCAGGCAAATAGCTACCAACTTTCATCTTCCAGTCATATTTAACTCCCCTTTTGTTATATCCTCTGTACTCCACGTTTACCAAACTCCTGCTCAATTCTGCAAAATCAAATAAAACACAGATCACTCAAGGGCACACTGGTTTCAGATGAATAAGAGTTGTCATTGTCTGATTTGTGAGGACCTTCCTTAATTGTCTAACGTTAGACAATCCAAAATGTTATGTTATTAGACCGTGAATCATAACCGCTGACTATGTGGGATCAAAACAGAATGTGTGATTCTAATTCATAGTATGACAACATGTCCCATATCTATCAAGAGATCGTCACTATCTTTACTATAAAAAAGCTGTCAAGAAAAACCTACCCTGAAGCTCAGAACATTGGTCTGAGGTCAAGTCCCCCAAAATTGCAACATGTCTGTCATCTGTAGCTGCTCTAATGGTATACCTTCTCTGAAGCATCGAAATCCTTTCAGCCACGACACAGGTCTGGAGCTTGAGTGTGCTCTCACCCCTTCTCACCTTGACCCAAATGACCTCAACATGGCTGAACTTAGCAAGCTGTGAGGTAAGCTCTGACTTGGCTTTGGTAGGCACAAAAAACTCATCAGCAATAGTATCACTACTCTCAGAATTATAAAACCCTTCAATTATATCTCCAGGCAATGGCATGCTCTCATCCCACTCTTCTGGTTTCTCTTGCTTCACTTGTTTCACACACACCAGTGTCTGAGCACTGGCCATGTCTATGTTCTTCTTCAAAATGCAACAACTGCCTCCCATAATCTTATCGATCGAATTCACTGAGGATATGTTTCATCGATTTCTTAGGAATCTCCATCCATTTACGAACACTTCAAAGTTAATCTTAGGTTACTACGTCTTACACATTATAGTGAGGGAACTTGGCCATCCCTTTGGGGTCTATATATAATCATTATATTGAGATAATACCTAGACAGCCAGCTGGCCGCTCTACATGGATATTGATGTGAAAAATGGATTGGGAACCAATAGACTAATTAAGAAAAAGAGTTGGTTAAGTACAAACAAGGATCCCTATAATTAATCTTATAATACAAGTCAAATATCTGCAAATGTATAGTCATTTTCTGTACAAGTTGCTTTCAGTCTCGAGAAAATTACATTTCCTTAATAATAATAAATAATTTCTTTAAAAATTTATATGTAACCCCTCTGCACTGCAAAACTTGGGAGACAGGATATGCACTTCATTCACATTATGGGACAAGTTCAGCTATTTCTCTTTCAAGCCTAGAGATTTCAGCTTCAGCATGCACCCTTGTCTCTGCATCATCTGAATCTAAACTTGGTCTTAACCTTGAAATTTGCCTATTAATGCTTGTAATCTGCACATGTGATAAAACAAAAAACAGAATAGGTAGGAAAAATGAAGAAACAAAGAACTTCATAGAAAAAGATATATAGAGGAAGACAAACCTTTCTAGAAGGCCATCTACGTAATCCATTCCGGCGGCATATTCTTTTGACTACAGTTGGGCAGACATTCAATCTCCGAGCAGCTTTTTCAATGGGAAGATGGACGTAATCACGAAGATCATCCAATGTCATGTTTGCTGTTCTCTCCCTCTGCACTACTCCCCCAGCATGAAACAAATTACCAAGTTAACAAAAGAAAATATATATGTGTACTAATGTTTATCTAATTATTGTAGGCAAAATGTAAGAGCTTTTTGTATTGAAAAAGGTTAGCAACAACCTGTTCTGCAAGGGAAATCCTAGGATTCGTCTCAATCTCATGCTCGGCAGCCTCTGGTTGAACTGCAGCAGGTTTTTCCATATCACCTGCTGTTCCTGAAATAAATAAATAAAATAGAAAATATAACTCAACCCTTTGTTTGAACATAAAATTTCCTAGATTGCACAAGTTCACAAGGCAGATCGAATGCACGAACCTGAATCCGGTGGAGATGGTGGAAAATCGAAGTCATCGGTGGGGTTCAGAATGGCATCCCAATCCACTCCAACGCAGAGTGCCTCATAAAAGAATGTCAATGGATCTTGCTGCATAATGTACCCTTCTAGCTTTCTTTCTAAGCAGTACTGCATCAGAAATTGCTTCACCTCCTCCCCTGGTGTCTTGCAAAAACTAATTCAAAAAATAAAAGAAAAAACAATAACACAAATCAAATCCTTGGTGCCAACACTTCAATCTACAATGAAAAGGGGGTGCAAAAACTTACTCAAGCATTTGATATTGATGATTGCCAGAAGAATTCACATTGGCATTGGGCCGACTCTGAAGAATTGCGTGACAGATTACACCGAGTCTTCCATGAATTTCAAGTTTCATAACGTTGTCGCCTTCCATCCAATATGAAAAGCGAAATTAGTACAGTAATCAGCGCTTAAATTGAATAAAACCCACAAAACTAATTCTACTAATGCAAGAAAGAACACAAAACTTACTATTGAAGTGTACTATTTCCCTAAAAACTTGGCAAAAAGTACAGTTAATGGGGTCTGATGGCAGAGGCCAAACTGAAAGTGGCCTCACGTTGCCAAAACGATGATTCTGTTCATTGCCATCTCCTCTTGGGGGATTAGTACCGCTCGATTCTGTGAAAATCTGCGAAGGACCCGCTTGTGAATTAATACCCTCTCCTCCATTATCAGAACCATAGATGAAATCCCACATTGCCTGATCCATTAAAGGCTCATCAACGTCTTGAATTTCTTCATCAAACATAGGAGTTGGATTGGGGGAAGCGAGCGATCCCTCCAATGGTCGTATATTATTCTCATCAATTCTTGGATGTTCAGAATCATTCAACAAGTTCATGATCTCTGTATACGGACCGCTATCGTATGGGTCATGGTATGGTACAACAGCCCTTGGATCTGCCATGCGTAAATTATATCTTTCTACAAGACTGCACTATTCTTCAAAGTCTCCACTCAATGTGAAAGGTTTTTGTCCTTTTTTTTGTTTGAGTTTTGCAAGTGGCGCGTAAAGGGAAAGCGATCTGAAGGCCTCAAGCACCAAAGTTCGATACTTTGGTGCTTGAGAGCGAAATGGAAACAGGGTTTCTTTTGAATTGTAAAACTGGGAATGTTTGAGAGGGTGCAAAGATATAGAGGAAGAAGGCGCGAGTGACAGTTTATGACCGTTTGAGACAGAGTCGGTTGGGTTGGAATTTCGAAAAGTGTGCGGTTGTGATCGGGTGTTATGCGTTCCACAGTACGGATCTTATTCCTCTGTTCCTGAAGCCCAATCATTATGGCCCAAGTCATTCTGAAGCCCAATTGAAAATTTGCAACGCCAGCTGTCTAAAACTCTAAAAAAACAAAACACGTCAGAAAAGGTCAAAAAACGTTTTATTTTTTCTGCCAAAGTGAAAAAAACGTTTTAACGCCCCCAAAGACCAAATCAAGTGAAGAAGTGACGAGAGGGTAGAAGGAAGTGAAAGTGAAATGAAAGCAGCGCTATCGACTCTGATCAGCACCAAGAATCTTCCTCCTCACCACTGCGCTTCATCTTCCTCCTCTTCTCTCTCTCGCTCCATTTGGCTGCACCCAAAACCCCTCTCTCCTCCACCATCTTTCCTCGCCCCAATCGCACCCGCCAAGTCCCTCAGCAGCAGCAGCATCGGTCTTAGCCGCAGCTCCAAAATCCACACAGCTAATTTCTCGTCGACAATGGCCTCCGCTTACAAGCCCGAAGCAGCCAGGGTCCCGCCTGCCCTTCCCTTGCCCACCCCTCCCGTCACCAAGGCAAGCTATCTCATAATGTCTCTCTGTGTTGTTGTATTGTTTAGAGATTGGAGGTTGAATTTGAATTGGGTTTTTTATGTGGGTGGGTGCAGTTTAAGATTGGACTGTGCCAATTAGCGGTGACGGCTGATAAGGAGAGGAACATTGCCCATGCCCGCAAGGCCATCGAGGACGCTGCTGCAAAGGGCGCCCAGCTTGTTCTCCTCCCTGTGAGTTTTTACTATTCACCCTCTTACTAAATCCTTATCCTTGTGTGTTTTTCTGTTGTGTGCTCATTGACCTTACTGGTTTAAGTTGATTATGGATTATAATTAGCCTGCCCATTGCTTCTTTAAGAAGGAGAATATGTTTGGATACGGATGTTTTTCAGATAAATCAAGTTTTAGATGCCCATAGGACAATATAGCTTGAGGTCTGTATTTCTTATCATGCTTCCACGTGAAATTAGCATATGCCATGGCATAGACTGGGAACTTCATCCTCTCATAACTTCACTTATTATCGGCTATGAAACTGGGTGTCGTTTTTATTCACTGTACCCACTAAACAGAGATGTTAACATCAAAAGGAGGCGTGGAAGTATATAAGAACATTAATATGTTGAAGAGACCGTCCTAATCAGATCAAATGGTGCTTATAAACTCACCTTTTAAGTTTTTTTTTTAAAAAAAACCTTTAAGAAGCCGACCTAATCTCACCAAATGGTGTTTATCAACTCATTTTTCAAGTTGAAAGCGCTAACCCTTTGGTCTCCATTTGTGTTTGCTTCTTTGTTTGCCAGGAAATTTGGAATGGTCCGTATTCAAATGATAGCTTCCCGGTTTATGCTGAGGACATTGATGCGGGTGGCGATGTATCTCCTTCAACAGCCATGCTGTCTGAGGTTTCTCAGCGTCTGAAGATCACCATTGTTGGCGGATCTATAGCAGAGCGTTCTGGGGATCGGTTGTACAATACTTCTTGTGTCTTTGGCACTGATGGGAAGCTGTTAGCTAAACATAGGAAGGTAATGTTGTAAGCCTAACATAACGGGGTAAGTGATAATACCATCTAGTGTATCAACCAGACCCACCCGAGGAATGTGACTGCCTCTTGGACTTATCTGGATCTAGCTCAATGAATAGCATCAATCAAAATCTGGACTGTTTATTGTGCATGGGCCTGCCCCAACACAGGAGGCCTACTGCCCTGGGATGGTCTGGACTGAAAAATTGCTCACTTCATTTTCTTTGCAAATGAGGATACTTTTCCTTTGATTGAACAAACCTTCACGTTTGGGACACATGATGGTTTGAACATTTAATGCTTACCTGTCAAAGGAAATTATTTGTCAGTCTTTGCTTCTTACTGATTCCAGATGTAATTGCAGATACACCTATTTGATATTGACATCCCTGGGAAAATTACCTTTATTGAATCAAAGACTCTTACAGCAGGGCAGACTCCTACCGTTGTGGACACAGGTATAATGCTCAGTCTGTGCAGTAGTGACTATTACAACTCTCTGTTTTGGTTGGGGTCAAAGTCAAGTGATGTCATTTGTTATTTCGTTTACACAAACTCGTATTCCTTGGTTGAAAGTAATTATCATCATTCATTAAGGATGGGATACTAACTATCACATGCTTAGTGCAGAAGTTGGGCGTATTGGCATAGGTATCTGTTATGACATTAGGTTTCAGGAACTAGCAATGATTTATGGAGCAAGAGGTTAGCCTTTTCTTTTGCTTTCCATGGACATGTGCAATTAATTTTTGTTTCCATTGTTTCTGGGCATTGTTAAACTAATAAAAGTAAGGGTTTTTCTTTCTGTAATCAGTATCTTGACAACTATTTAGATATAATAAATTCCAAATACACATAATCTGCCACAGGATTCTTCTTTACATGTTAACTAATGTACTTATTATTGAAGAGGAAGTGGAATTATCTCTCGATTGTTTATTCCTTTTCAAGTGAAGGACTGTAATTTCTGCAGTTGGAAATACTGTATGGTAACAGTATTAATTTGTTGACATCAGGTGCTCACTTGATATGCTATCCTGGGGCTTTTAACATGACTACTGGACCGTTGCACTGGGAATTATTACAGAGGGCAAGGTATCAATTAAAATATTGCATAATTTATATTATTTTGAATTTTTTATCCGCAATTCTTTATGTAGTAATTTTCACTGAGATTCGCCTTGCTATGTCTTCTGCAGGGCTGTAGATAACCAGGTGGTTAACATATGTCCTATATGAGATGCACATCCTCGTTTACATTTGTTAAGAAACTTAGAGCTTGTATCATGATACAAACAGAACTTTGTGATAAGATTACATCACTAGAAGCATAGACTCAAGTCACTATTTTATTCTAATTACTGTGTTGATTATCATCTTCCGTGTTAACTCCAACAATTTCTCATGGGTGGCTTTCTGTGGGTTGTCAGCTATATGTGGCAACTTGTTCGCCTGCTCGAGATGCTGGAGCCGGTTATGTGGCATGGGGCCACTCCACCCTAGTCGGACCAGTAAGTGGATACTTACTTTTAGCTATATAAAGCATGCTTCCGTTGGATCTTTAGCAGATCCATTCATTGGCAAGTTCTCCCTTTCTACTTTTTAGTGATAAAACAAGGTTCAGCATTTAGCTACTTGTTGAAGCTTTTGCGATTGCAAGTTATTTGCATACAGAGTATCACTAAAAGAATTAAATGTGGCAGTTTGGAGAAGTACTGGCGACTACAGAACATGAAGAGGCAATAATCATAGCAGAGGTTGATTATTCACTTCTTGAGCTTAGACGGTGAGATACGGTTTCCAACCTAAGTTTTTTTTTCCTTAGATTTATAGATGAAATATTTTTTCGATATTTTATATAAGTATTTAAAGTAGTTTGTTCCAAATTATGCAGCACAAACCTTCCCTTACTGAAGCAAAGACGAGGTGATCTTTACCAATTGGTAGATGTTCAGAGGTTGAATTCTCAATGATGACAGATGGTTAGAAGATTCCTATTATGCCTGAAGGAAGAAGTGCCAGTGAGAAACCACATGTTTTACTTTTAGAACAAATAAAGAGACCATGTTATTATCGAAGACTCCAATTATTGTCGTTGTACCGAGATACTTGGATTTGCTGTGCATTTCTTTGTCTATGTTTTGATAACAAAGGTGCTTTTATGTGGAGATGATGATTCATATTCATGCAGTGCAGCATATACTTTCAATTATGCAACATGATAATAATAATAATGATCAAGTAATAATATGCACATTCTTAACAAACTTAAACCTGACTGGATCTTATTAAAACCCATTTTCAATACTATAGTGGTAAGAAGTAAAATATGCATTGTGTCGGTTGGATTTTTGGCCAGGGTTGATTCACCTGAGGTCGAGTGAATTTTTTTGAACGTTGAGAAGAGAAATACCACTAAATCAAGTTAGCGTTGACGATATAACAATTGATCGGTCATATTCTTGTACAAGGGAGGCAATCTTCCCTGCAAAGAATAATTTGATGTCGAAGCTTGAACTGATGTTTTCTCTGTGCTTCGTTGCAACTTGCAAGGTGGGGTTTTTGGAGCAAGCAGGAGGGGGGGTGTAGGACCTCTGCTGCTAAAACAGTTTTGGGCCCCGAAATTGAATAGGGAGAGAAGAAGAATTGCAGAAGGCCATAAATGAGAGAGGCCCATCAGGCCATGAAGTGTGCAAGCAACCTGTGCACGTGAAGACGTAGACCCCAGGTAGGAAAGCAGCTAAGTGCACGTGGGTACAGCATGGCAATGTACAAAATTAGCCTTAGTCCTCATCACCACTCGTCAACCCCTCTCTCTCTCTCTGGAGGCAGAGACACAAACCAGAGAGAGAAAGCTGGCTTGTCAGGAAACTCACAGAGTAAAACAGAACCCAGTAGAGTAACATTATATTACAATGTCTTGCCTGCCAAATAAATATGCTGCCAATGCTTTGTTGGGAAAAGAAAATAGCACAGTTTGTGTGTGTGTGTGTGTGTCTCTCTCCTTCTTTCTTTCTTGTCCAGTGTTCTCCTCACAGGAACTATCTTCTTCTTCACCCCCTTGGGATCCGAACAGCACATCTCTTTCACAAACAAAACTAGTGCATGTTTGGCGTGATCTTGATAAAGTCACTTCATACTTGCCCAAAAATGAAAAAAGAAAAACAAAGAAAAAAAGACAGCTCTTTCATATCCGTAAAAGTGTTTTTTATTTGTATAATTTTCTAAGGCTTGTTCCAGTTTTCTTTCACCTACCCATTTAATGTAATTTAACCTTCATCACTAATCTACGTTTGGTAATGTGGGGAAAGTAACCGAGAAATATCACTTTATTTCATTTCCCATATTTGTTTTTAGTATGAATGGAAAACAAAATTTGTATAAATTTTCAATTATACTCATATGTAATCAAATAAAAAAGAATGCATTTAATGATACATTGTAATTCTAAATTGTTAATTGGGACAAAATGGTAATGAAAAATGTTTAATTAATATTGACTCATTTTCCCAAACTTTCTCAAAATGAGGGAAAACAAAACTCAAATTGGGAGGATGACTTCACTTTCCCTCCTACTTTTCCATCGACTAGACAATGATTTCTCATGCTTGAACTTACCAAATATGGGAAAACAATTGATTTCTCATCCCCAAGTCTTATTTTCCATGAACCAAACAGGACCATAAGAAAATAATTTTGGAATGATGTTACAGCCAGTCGCTCATAAGTTCTACACATATCAACGTTTAGGAAAAAGATACGGACGAGTGAGCTCAGCTTACCACAACTCATTCAATGTCTTTTCCCTACCTTAGGCACACGCAAAAACACTTCATTCTTTACTTTTTGACTCATAGATATTTAGCTCATATGACCAAATCTACAAAGGGCATCACCCTACGGTTGGTGTTGTACAAATTAAGAGCAGTGCAGCCTCATCTTATTCCTCCCACAGAAAGAAGAAAATTTTAATCAAGGTCATAAGCTATGGCTCAGAGCACTGTTCATATGTTCGTGGTACCCTACAGAAATGAGGTGTTATGAGGTGTGCGTGAGCCCATGCTTTCTCACGTGGTCTACGAGTGCAAATACACGTTTGGGTCCCAGAAAACTTCATAATGTTTACTGCCAACGTGTACATTACGCTTGGAATTGCTCTATTTACAGCAGACAAAAAGTTTATTGAGAAGCTGGGCTTCCTTCTGTAGCCAGATATTCTCTGCTACTGTTCATAACATGCTCTATCTATTCATATTGATTCAAATTTTTTTTAACCCCAAAAAAAAAAAAAAAAAAAAAAAAAAAAAAAAAAAACAATTTTGATTTCGAGGTGGAGAATGTTTCTGAGTCATAACTTATGTCACCAGCGGATCCATGAATTTATCATTGTGAGGGCAAATGACAATGACCACTAGGTGATATGTGTACTTGTTTCATTGTAAGTTTAGATTATTTGTAGTTTCAATTCATATCAACATTGTATAGCGGTACTTCTCTTCTCAATATCGGAAGATATTCCAAATTCGAATCCCTCTCTCCTCTTTGAGTAATTAAAATATGTAATCACGATGAGTTTTGAACATATATATCAAAATGAGATACGTGAATTATAGTCCATACGTTCTAACATGAATCAACTGATTAGGTGGGTGACACTCATTATAGCGATTGAATATAATGTTACAAAAGAGATTTCATATTTAGTTTATGCATGACCTATAAGTTATAACATAGAAGACGCTTGGAAATTATGCAATAGCAAGAATTAAAGCTGTGGGTCTCACTTTAAAGCCACATTGAGCTAGGTTCCCCATTTGTAGCACTAGTCAAGTTCAACGAAGGTGACCTGTTGGCATATTTTTTCTTGGCTAAAATGCATCGATCTGGCCAAAGTCCTAAACGGAGGGCCTACATAATATTTAATCCCTCAAAGATCCATGGCCATCAAATTGCGAAAGTACATAAGATGATTGTCTAATTGTTGGTGGAAGCCACCTTACATGTATCTTATTTTAACCCTAAACCAAAATGGCAGGGATACTGTTTGAAACCCGATTAAGGGACCAAATCAAAGACCTTTCTTTGTCTTTCCACTTTATATCATAAGCTGAGGGTGCATAAAGGGCTATGGATGTTGCAGACATCATAGCTCATGTCCTGGGATGGATGAACATGAACAAACCAAAATGGGAAAATCATGTGATCTTGGCTAGGGTTTTGGGGGCAGATCCTTGGTGGTTGCCATGTAGTTTAAGGCACTGGTGGGGTTTGTTTGGATCTTGATGTAAGTCGAAGCCATCCTTTTCAGTCAAGTTAATGATTTTGTTTGTTTTAACGACTAGGAAACAAGAAATGCAAGTGGTATACTCTTGCATTTGATAATCCTAATTGCACTTCAATTACCACTTAATAGTTCATATATCATGCAGACATGGTTATTGTCAGTGCTTCTGGGTAGGGTTTAATCAATTAAATGCACTAAAGTTTCTGTCTAACCCCCATTTATCATGTATTTCAAGAGAGTTTTCGTTAGAATAAAACGTACTCGTGTTTCTCGTATTTCTCGCGTCGGTAATATAATAAATTGATATATAAGAAAAGACGTGTTAATTCCATAAAATGCATACCAAATGTCAAATTGGTCATCAATTGTATTGCTAAGAGCACCTCCAGCGCATGGACCAGCCTGGGGGAAAGGCTGCCAGAGGGAGCCCGAGGCAGCTCCAGCGCAGGGCCCGTAGCCTGGTTTGGTGGTGGGTCCCACGAGCCCGAGCAAGCCCAAGGGCAACTTCTGCCTGGGCTGAAGCCCGAGTTTTGTGACGTCAGCGCTGGCATCACGCTGACGTCAGCGCACAGTAAAAAATTTTTTTTTTTTTTTTTTTTTTTTTTTTTGGCCAAAAAATTCGAAAAAAATTCGAAAAAATTCTGAAAAATTCTGAATTTTTTTTTTTAAATACCAAAAAATTATGTATTTTTTCCCTATAAATACCTAACCATTTTATTCACTTTCTACACCAAATCTTCATAAAAACTCATCTCCTTCCAATATTTTTCACTTTCCACATCAAAATCTTGGCAAGGTAAAAAAAAAAAAAAAAAAAAAAAAAAAAAAAAAAAAAAATTTTATTCAATTTAATGTCTTTTTTTATATATATATTTCTTGCATTTCCAATTTCTTTTTTTTAAATAGATTAGTCAAGGCAAAACCAAAAATGTTATTCGAAAAATTTTATCCAAAAATTTTATTTGAAAATTTTATTCGAAAAATGTTATCTTAAATTTTAAATGAAAATTTTATAATAAATAGTGACACGTGACAACCGAAAATATAATCTAAAAAGCTTATCAAAATTAATAGTTTAAAGTATAAACAAATAGGAAATAAAGTACAATGAATAGTAATTGCCTTAGACTTGCCCTAGACTTTGCCCTCATGGGTGGAACCACAAATGCAAAGGCTGACACTATTCACGTGAATAGTGGCAGCCCTTGCTTGCCCTTGCCTTAGACTTTGCCCTTGTGGGTGGAGATGCTCTAATGTTGAAGCAGATTTGACTAATGAAATCAAATTTGAACTTTTTAACTAAAGTCAACTCATCGAGTTTTCAACTTGATCAAAGGCTCCAGAGAGCCGTTCATGAAATTCATCGCTCAAAGATGGGAAACTGAGAGGCTCCCAGATTAAATCTCCATGATTAAAGGCCAACTTTGCAGGCTCCTCCAATAAAAAAAAAATATAAACCGTGGTTAAAGGCTAGATTTTTCCCATGATTCAATCAAAGGCCTTCTTTCATCCACTTGTAAGTAATCCTCCTTTTACCTGTCATTTCCATTTTTATTTTTTATTCTTTTGGTAACAGAGCTTACCACTTTCAAAATTCAAAATATCATAATAACATCAATAAAAGCAGTATGGGGCCCCTCAACTCTTACAAGAATCACTCCAGTAAAATCAAAATTTATTTATTCATTTATAAATAATAATAAAAAAGAGATTCTGTAATTCTTTATATCCATCCACCACCAGTATCTTTTATTGGTGAATCCATCCGTTTCTCTTTTGTTTTCTTGTAGTTCCATTTGTGGGTATTTATGTAAAAGTTGCACGTTTAATACTTTAATAAAACTCGTGGTTCTACCTAAACACACAGTATAATATCTATGTTTTTATGGGGGTTGGTTAGATAGAACTAATTATATATTATTCCAATCATTAAAATGGCATACCCAACCCACCAAAATTATTAGAAGAAATAAACATTTATTGTCATATCATTAATATGACAAAACTACCAAAAACAATGTCCAAACAAGATAAGAAGAGAGATCATATTTGTAATTGTATTATTTTCCTCCTCTTTATTATGAGTTATGGGCGTGCCAGCTCAATATAAATACAACGCACCACCTCGCCCGCCACCTTCCTTCTTCAGCCTCAACATCAATTTTTTATTTTTTGGACTTTTTATATTGAGGGGAGCGATAATATATTAAACTCACACACACAACACGTATGTTAGTACTCGAACTCATGACTTTATTTAAAATATTGAATAACATATTTTCCTTTTGATTTAAAACATTCCCCACGGAATTCCAAATCTTGGTTGTCAACCGCTGGTGGACTAAACAAACCTTATTAATTACTACCCAAAATATTGAATTATATTCAGCTACAAAATATAATCACATTAATAACAATTTCAATTACCCTGGTTTTTTTTGTTTTTTTTTTCAAATTCAATTCATTTCGCTTAATCATTTGCACCTTCAAGGCCCCGACTTCAGCTCACAAAACGCGTTTTAACTTGAAAAATATGCATGAAAGAATTTGTAAAAATCCAAAAGCAAAGTTACTGTCCGTTAGGTTAGTTGCCCAAAATAATATTCCGGCTTCTTTACACTCAAATTTGATCCCTTTCTAAATATATATAGAATGAATTTAAAATATCACATTGTCAGAAAAAGAAAAAAAAAACCACAAACAAAAACTTTACTTTTTACCTCACACTAAGATGTGGACCGCCAATTATTATTACAAGGCTAACAGCAAGTGTCACGTACAAAGGCTTGTCTGTGCCATAACAGGCTTTGTCCACCCTTCAAACATGATCAACGGCTTCAAATTCGAAATGGAAGGTGAGCCATGTCAGGGGTCAGAGCGTCATTTGCTCGTCAAAGGCAGGGGCAATTTGGGCATATCAAAAGGCAAGCTTAGCGCCACGTCATCGACTGCCAATCTGGCATTGGCTCCAATTAGGATGGACATGCACGCGCGTGCTGACCTTTATAAAGCCCTCTCTCTCTTCCCCTGTTCCCTCACTCCCTCCTCCTTCTTCAAGGCGTGCCATTTTCGCTCTCATTGCTCTCTCTATCTCTAGACTAAAAGACAAGCATCGATTGCTTTGTTTCTTCATGCGTCCTTCTCTTCATTCCCAAAAGCCCAGAAAATTTCGACACTTGCTGAGCTCAAACAGTGCCCATTCTCTCAATTTCCACACCCTACAGTTCCATTGCAGCTTTTGATTCTCTGTAAGCAGACACAAGGAGACACAAAAACTAAAACTCCTCCGGTTTTCTCTAAAACCCTCAACTTTCTCTTTCTGCCTTGTTTCGTTTGATACATTTCTATCTCATTTCAGAACACAGAAAAATGTCGAGGTGGGAAAACACACTGAGAGACGATAGATACAGGCGTGAAAAGAATAACCCATCTTTCTCTTCCAGTCTTCTGGACAAAATTTACAGCTCAATTGACGAGGGTGACCCCAGAAACCGCGGGGACTCAAAGTTTTATAAAGACACAATGCAGCCAAAGAAACAGAGCAAAAGTGGGGTGAAAACCGGCAGAGCTGTTGAAGAAGACGAGATGGCCAGCCTTCGCAGAGCTTGTTTGATAGAAAAATGGATGGAGAAGAAGGTTAGCGAGAAGGTTGGAACACAGAGAAGGCAGTATCTCACCGAATTGGATAGAAAACCAGACCATGACCATGATCGTGATCTTGATGGTCTGTTTTTCAGCTCCACTTCCAGCTCTTCTGATTCAAGCTCTGGTGGGTTCTCATCCTCGGATGCTGAATCCATGTACGGCTCTAAACCAAGATCCTCATGTTTCGCTCCGCCGAGGCCCAAGCCGGTTCGCACCAGCGTCTCTGCTCGATCGGCAAAAACAGAAGAGAAAATAGAGATAAAAACAGAGAGGAAACAGAGGACTCTGTTTTATGAACAGAGGGAAGTGCATATGTTTGACGATTATCATTACAGTTGTGCCTCAGAGCCGACTCCAAAGCTTGAGGAAGGCATAATCAAGTCCAAATCAAGGGCCTCGAAGATTTATAACAATCTCAAAAAGGTGAAACAACCGATTTCACCGGGCGGTAAGGTTGCGAATTTCCTCAATTCAATCTTCACCACAGGGCAATCCAAGAAAACAAAGAGCACGTCATCAATTGGAGGGTACGAGGATGCTAGTGCAGAGAAAAAATTGAAGTCGGGGCAAGCCTCAACTTGTTCATCAGCCTCTTCATTTTCCAGATCATGTTTAAGTAAGAACTCGCCTTCTACGAGAGAAAAACTGCGAAATGGGGTTAAGAGATCGGTTCATTTTTATCCAGTGAGTGTGATTGTTGACGAAGATTGTAGGCCGTGTGGGCACAAATGTTTGTACGAAAGAGAAGATCAAAGCCTAATGCCTGTCACAGTCCCAACTGCATGGAAAATTGGCAGGTCACCGTCGAGAAAAGCAGAGGAAGAGCTTAAGCTCAAAGTGTTGGAGAAAAACAGGAAAGTAGAAGAAGCAGCCAGAGAGGTTTTAAGAGATTGCCATCGCAACCAAGTTAGGAAGGATTCAGTGAGCAGAGATTATAATTATGTTGATGATGAAGATGATGCGGCTAGTTGTTCAAGTTCGGATCTTTTCGAGCTCGATCACCTTAAGGTGATTGGGAAAGAAAGGTATCTTGAAGAACTTCCTGTGTATGAAACCACCCATGTTCGTACAAATCGTGCCATTGCTAATGGCTTAATAATGTAGTCAATAATAATGTAGCACTTTTTTTTCATAATTTTGTTTACAGCATATACAAGTATAGAACCAGATTGTTCTTAACTTCCTCCCTTTTGTTTTACTAATTAATGGCATTGATTTTACGATGCGATACAAAATTTGGACATACATTTTGAATGGTGCAGAGTGTAGTTTATTTGTCGGTTTTTGTTTGGAAGAAAAGAAAAGAAAAGAAGAGAATGCATGAAAGAAGAAGATGTGATGGCAATCTGGGGATGTAAAAAAAGGGGAAAAAGTGAGGAACAGAGAGTTTGATTTTCTGAAAAGAGAGAAAGAGAAGGTGGGGATGCGTTCATTCTCGATCATGATCTAACACTCAGATGGATACTGACAAGTGCAGATTGATAGGAACGGGAAAAAAAGGGAAGGTGGAGAGAGAAAGGAAAAGAGGAAGAGGAAAAAATAAAAAATGAAAGATTCGATGATGGCAAGGACAAGCAAGCAAGCATATCTGAGACAGCAAGCAAGAGAGAAAATGAAATGAAATGGAATGAAATTATTTGTGATGGTAAAGGCAAAGGCAGATCTTCGCCCATGGGAATAGAGAAAGTGAAGTCCTAAAGCATTTGCTTTTTCTCTTCTCTCTTTTCTCTGGAATTGGATTTTTGTAAATAAATTTGTTTCCCAACAACCAAGAAAACATAAAGACAGTTATTGCTTCTTCAACTGGCACCGGTGCTTGCTTGTGTTCATTCATGGATTCCAATTCCTCCATCCATATCAAATTTCCACTGTTTTTTTCACTTTCCCAGTGAAACTTCTGTTCAATTACAAATTATTTACCAGAATATGATATCTATCTCGGTGAACGAACAATGATATCATCATGTAACTTGTTCCTTGCTGGAATATATCGGGAACAAACCATTGTTAGATGCGTATTTATATTTCTTTTTTTTCTTTTTTCTTTAAGAAAGAACACCAACTGGCTGGCCCTATCTCTTTAATGTAAAAGAAAATTATGTTGGCAATTGACGAGGGAAATGGCTAGGAGAAAAAGAGCGTTAATATGTGATTATTAGACTTAAAAGGGATCCCAAGAAAATTGAATTAATGTTAGACTTAGTCCTAAAATGAATCGAGGAACATAGGAGGTTGACGAGTAAATTTTGAGTGCGATGATTATCATGTCACGTAATGTTAGGACAGATAACGTGAGCAATTAAAACTGACGAAACATTGTATGATGGAATTCAAAGATGCGTGATTTATTTTTGAGAAATCAGAATAAAATCCAAATAGCTAGAGTATTAGCTAGGAGGGCTCATTGTTAGTAGACCTAATAATGGCCTACTAATATATAAGATTAATTTGTAGTACGTGATGAGCATGCAGATGCAGGGGCCGGTCTCAAAATTAGACCCACGCTTAAAAAAGGAATCTCACCTTCCAGGGTCAAAATCAGCATCATCATATATGATTAACAACTAATTAATTTTTAAGAAAACAAAGCCTCAAGAACTCAACTCTATTCATTTGAGGCGGCGGTGGATTTGTAACTTATTCAACAGCAACAACTATTTCAAAGCTTTCACAATCAAGACGTACAGAACTTTAAGGGTTGAAGTTTATTACGCGTAAACATTAATTAACAATGGATTAGATTTGGGTTAATTTAGGATAATCAACACTTACTCTTCCTTGGTTATAGAGAGTCCGTACAGTGGGTGAGGTGGAGGTGGGGGTGGGCAATAATGAGAAGAAGAATAATGTGTGTGGATGGAGAATGAGTTGATGTATAATTGATAAAGACACCACCTAACTGCTTAGAGTCATTGACCCTAAAAAATAAATACTTGCCGGACCGTCCTCAATTTTCTAGCTTCTAGGCTGTACCAATTCCTAATCATATTCATAATATTCCCGTCTGCCCAATTGCTTAATTTGTTTTTTCTTTTAAATCTGCATAATTAGTGTTTTTAAACTCGATGATAAGTTATATGAGACAAGGCAGTAAATAAATATATATTGCTTGTTTGAATACTAATCTGATCATGTAAGTTGTTGTTGTCTTTTTTGTTTAGATTTTAATTTCCTCCACCAAACAAAGATGAACCCTTCTCAGTTGGTACATTGTCAAATGCGGAAAACTGTTCCCTTATTGCTGTTGCTGTTGGTGCATGTTTTTACAGAGAAACACTTGTGTGTAAGAAGGATATCATATCGCTATTTTGCTACTGTCGGTCAATTGTTGCATGTCACTCGTGATAACTTTTTGCCCGTCTCATACAAGTTTTTATGGGTTTTTATGGCATTTAACTATCTAGGTTGCAGCAGTTCCAGTTCATCAGTCAAAATCATGCCAGCAAAATGTGTGTACAAATGGCTATATTTAACATTCTGAAGTTCATTAAAGTAGTCAATAATGGGGAAAGGGGACCTAGTTACACCTTCCATGGGCAATGCCTCCAGCCTTACCCAAAAAAAATATATAATAAGTTCAATTAAAAGTAACTGCAATCGAAGGACCTTTTTGGCCTAAAAATTAATAAGAAATTCAACAAATTCCTGACCAAATGCAATACACATTATTTTGCTATTAGGAAAAACAACGATATAAATATAACAGAAACAAAAGGCCACCAGAATGCATGAGAGAACCAAGTTTTTAAAAAGAAAATTATCTGCATAACAAATTCACCATAGCATCTTTTAATTCATATTCTTGCATTTTATTTTTTTATAGCCAAGATGAGGATTTTGGTTTGAAATTGTGAAATATATTTAAGAAAACAGCGTGAAAGTGGGCAAAAGGTAAGGACCGCCAGGCTGACAGGCAGACCCCTCCCTGACCCTCCAGGCCCAGCTCAGTGAGAGGGGGAAGAGTTGAATGGTCCACACAATTGTCCTCAGTCAGTCCACACTCACTCACACTAGATAGATCGATAGACAGGTTCCCTCCGCTTTTATTTTGGGTATTTGGGGTAAGTGCGTAGGGAAAGACCTAAAAGACAAAGTCACAAAGCTAGGTCATGTTATCGATCCCGAGGTGAATCTATTTCCACGACCTTGTTAGCACCATCTCCTCTCTCCTAGGAAGTCATCCATATGTCATTGTGAGAGGTAAAGATCTCGCGACATCACCTTACTTACACAGCACGAATCTGATCGTTGATGTATTATGAATTTCAAAATTCTTTTTTAGAGTCGTCATTCAAAATTCATATATAGATTCCACTCTATCTCAATTTTTAAGTTGTATGCATTTAAATAGTATATGAAAATCTAACCTATTCATTTGGCATCTTATATTAGTTTGAACAAGTTGGGTTTGCATTAGATCTTTTCATGCTTCAAGTATAAGATATCCGCAGAGCTACTACTCTAGAGGGAGCCACATAATTTATTGGTGGTCCAAATTTTAACCCGTGAGCCTTTTGTTGTTGTAGTAAATTCCGCCCAACTGTTATTTCTTTTCTGGTCACAGACTGACAGAGTTGGCAATATCGCCTCAACCACATAAGCTAAACAAAAACAAACACTTATGTATATATGTATATCCGTCCAAACCGTCGTTTGCATGCACAAAACATTGTAAACGACAAAGATTGTGAACAACATTTTAAGCACCATTAGGCCATGTTTAAGCTTCCCTCTCTTTGCATCCACACACATTAATCACAATCAGCAGCAGGATGATGAACCATCAGAAGAAAAAGGGCGGCGCGTTGTTTGGGTGGTCTCCTCAGTCGAGCAGTGCAAAGAAAGCGACGGCGACAACGACAACAACAACAACAACAACGGGATGCTGTCGAGGGATTCATGGCTGCTCAAGCTTGGAGGCAATTAACGTTGTTCCTCCTATGAACCAAAATTCAACCTCTAAATTGGAGCTGCAGGTATTTATAATTTTGGACCACAGACTTTGGTTTAGCTTTGAATATTTTTTGTCAAATTTGTTAGGATTAGGACCACATCTCCCTCCATTTCGTGTTGTGTTGTCCGTCGACCCTGCAATAAGATTTTGGTGAGATATCATTTGGTCCAGCTCCAATGGTCAAATCCCATCCAGGATTCAGTAACCATTCAGGATCTACATATGTTATTGGGCCCCCCACAAAAAGCTTTTTGATCAGAATAAGTGAGACCATTTCTCTGTATTATGGCTAAGATCCAAAGTAGTGCATCTCTAGGTATAACTTTTTCCAGTGCTAACTTCTAAGAAAATGATTGCAATATTGGACTGCATCATTGCAATGGCGATCCCAAAGAAAATGGGTTAGAATTAGATTAGGTTAAAAATTCCATCGCCTTACATTTGTTTAGCAAAATTGTAGACTAATTATATACTGGGTTTTTGGAGGAGTGCAATTCTCAGGCAACCCAGCCCAAATATGGGGCTAACCATTTTAGCCCAAATCATTTAAACCAAGAAAATTGAATTATATGACACCCTCGTCATAGAACGATTCTATTCAACAAAACATTTATAACACTTTTTTTTTAAGAACTGAACTGTTCTCTGTGTTTTGGGCTGTAAACTAAAGGTAGCTGAACTTGAAAAGGAAGTCCTAAAGGAGAAAGAACTGCGGGCTGTGTACAAGAAGAGGATGGAAAGAGCACAAGATTATCTGAGGTGCTGCCTACAAGTAGCCCAAGATAATGGATTCTTGGACCTCATTCACAACTACAACAATAATATGGGTCCACAACCAGGCCTTCTCTCCCCCAACATTCTCACTCCCAATGCCAGCCCTCCTTTGCCAACTACTCCTCTATACCAACCGTCGGATCTAGCTGCTCTTATTGATCAAGCCCACCTAAACGGATGGTACATCCATCCGGAAGAGGTACTTCTCTCTAATTACTTGAATTTTACCTTATTGTGTTAGACTTTTAATCAAGTCGAGTCAATATTCGAATGGGAGGTTTTGATTCACAGTCTTGATTGAGACATACGCAAGCTTATACTTATGGATATGTGATAAAAATTGAATCAGATTGAATTCGAAGAGAAAATAGGGCAG